AATATCGAGCTTAATTTGATAGCGTTCTTCGAATTCCACCCTCTTTCGGTATCAAAAAACCTTTTTATTTATAACTTATTCCGCTGAGCAAACGGAAATCCGGCAACTCCAGTACTTTTAAAACATAATTAAAGTGCAATGTCAGCGTATAGGCGTATATAGAACTAATTCCTGTTTCATGAGCACATATAATATAACTAGGAGCACATCTTGGTAGAAACAACATTTTATTAATAAAATATCTTTTGGATTTTTCTATAACTTCGTATTGCTCAAAACCCTTAAACCTGCCCAGCATAACTAACCACTGTCTGTGAAACTGTCTTATAAATTTCTAATTTGCAGGAATAGGAGACATTATTGTTATTGATGAAATTATACTTTGCGTGGTTAACCCTTTCACTAAAATGACGCCCCTTGATGTAATTATTGTGGACAATCTTGGTGTAATCATTACTCCCAGGTATTTGTACTCATTGACCACCTCAACTGGGTTTCCTTCGAAGCTCCACCTCACAAATTTAGATAGCCTGCCTCCATAACGGAAAAATATTATTTTGAATTTCGCCAGATTTATATGTAAATTACACAGCAGTAGTTTTCGAGATTATTTATCATTCAATGTAATTTTAAAACTACATCGTCCGCATACAATCTGATATTAATCTACAGTATCTGATATTAATTCCTGCGATATCTATCCCTTCGCTAAAATTATCATGTAAATCGTTCCGAAAGAGCACAAACTTAGCCCAGTCGATAAAGGAGATAGAGAGTGCGAGAGCAGGGACCTAAGCAATTCCTTCAGAAACTTGTTCAGGGTGCTTAGGGTATGAACATATCAAGTCCTGACGTCTAGGTGGTGAGCCGAGAGGGTCATAATTTTTGGATTTTCGCTTATATCTCGAAAATGAAGATGCATCACAGAGAAAATTTTTCGTAACGTATAGTAAATTAAACTTTATAAAATTGTTTAAAACTTGTATTTTATAAGTTTTATTTGAATTCTGAACCGTTTTTGAGCTAAACGCTCGGAAAAAGATGACATTTTCGAACAAAAATCATTTTGCTTCACATTTTTCATCAAACATTCCTTCATATCGTCTAAGATATTCATCAGAGTTAGAAATTTATTTAAAAGAAGTTGTAGAGACTTAAATTCCCTATTATAATGTAATTTTCAGAAAAAAATTGTTTTTTTAACTCACAGCTTTTGTTCGCGTGTCTAATAATATGTGTGGCCATACTTAAAATATTAAATAAAGTAGAAAAAATCATATTAATTGAAAATTTTAAAATCGCATTTTACAGTTAATAAAAGTCTCATGATAATTTTGTTTTGTTATATTAAATACATACAATTATAAACCTCATTGTTTTCACAGTTTTCAATAGATTATTATATTACCTTCTAGAATTTGGATGGAGTCACGTTTTCATTCACTTTGGACGTGCGGATCTTGGCAAGCAAGGGTTGTTCCTCCATGGCATCTTCACTTTCAGTAGTGATTCACGGTGGGCCAGACCCCCCTAACGTACACTCCACAACATCCCTATAAATTTCATATCGTTGTGTTCTTTGCAATTATTTTTACGAAAAATAAATAAATTAGAAAACATAAATAAAAATAATAAAAACTAACTCAGGTTGATTGAATTTTGTTTTTCTTCTAATTTATTTAATTACTTGATTTAAAGTGTGTCTACGCATATATATTATTTGACAAACGAACAAAAGTTACACTAAAAACGTTGTAATATACAAAAAGTGTTGTATATCAGTTACTATTAAAACGTATGTTATGATTAATTTACAGTAGAGTATAAGAGGTTACATTCAGTGTGTGTTATAATTAAGAAATTAACTGTGTATTTATATTGTATATACTGAATAAAAAGTTTTTGATATGTGTTAATCTCGATTTTGAACATTATAAAGTTACAATACATAAGACATGGTTACATTTTACCATTTTGGAGGGGAGCTTAGGCCCAAGAGCCCCCTTCCCCCCCCCCCGTAGACCCACCTGTTTCCCTCCCAAGAAATTTTATTGCTTTTCTTTTCTAAAAAACGGTGCAAGTGAAAGCGGAAATATAAAAATTGTAATTGATTTTTTTCCTGGCTCCCAGTTTAAAATTTTTCCGCATTAAAACCCCACAAAAATATGGTTCACTCCAATTATATAATCCAGTATAATTGTGCCCTCCTTAAAATTAATAACCACTCAAAATGTGCCTCTTCAAAAATTTTGATTGTGCATCTTGCACCATGCAACTTTGTTTTAGGCACCAAACTTGGGTAGGATTTTCCATTACATATTGAAATAGTGTGACAGGGCTTAAATGGTAAATATTCAAAATGTCTTCCTCTGAAATAACTTTAATTTGTTATAATTAAACGTCTCTCATAGTTAATATTAATACAAAATGGATTAATATAAATTATAAAAAACTTTGGCGATTTAAAGAAAAAACATTTTTCTAAGTTGGAAATATAAATTTCAGAATTAAGAGTAATAATAATAATATATGAGTAGATGCATAATATACCGTCGGGAATACAATGATTTTAAAGTTTCACATATAATATTATAAGATAATGGACAGTGACAAAAAAAAGTAATGGAACATTATCGTTGTTTCATTTATTTTTTTGTGTAGTTTTATTTTTATTATATAAGAAATTGATGTTTTTATGGAAATTAAATGAAATTTCCATAGAAACTAAATAGAAACATTTAAAAATCATTCTCAAGCTTGTACACCAAAAGAGATAGGGCATAGGGTTTAGGATGTTTATAGTTAAATTAATATTATTAAAGTTTATTAATTTATTTTAAATTAATTTCAACTGAAAATAGGGTGTTAGCGATCTTAGTATGATGCGCCCACCGCATCCAAATTTTCTATATTTATAGTTTAATTATCATCTTATTCACTTTCAAAGCGACTTTTTATATTGCGTTATTTTTATGAGTCCAACTTTATGATGAAGTTTAATCTATGCAGCTGTATTTTTTTGTACAGCACTGGCGGATCCAGGGTGGCTGGAGTCCCTCAAAATGGAAAAATATGCATTTTTTTTCATTAGTCCATATTTGTTTCTGTGAGTGATCTGAGCTGAATACTTAAACAATCAAAATATGTTATCTTTAAATTATAACGCATGTATTTCAGCTACTAAGTGTAAGCACATGTAAAGAAAAATATTCAAAATATTTATCTCTACAAACAGGAGCGGATCCAGGACTTAATATTTTTTTTTCTTGAGGGGTAGGGTTTCATCCCGAGCTTTACAACATATACAAAAATATTTACTTTGAAAGAAAAAAAGAAACTCACTATATTTCACTACCTATATGAAATAATGTTTAAGTGATTCTTAAAACCCAATTTAAAAAAAAAAAATCTGCCAACTGAAGGCAGTATAGAATCCACACTATTTTCATTGGTTCCATACTTACCTTTAGCTCAAGGTCTTCTACTACAAATGCTACTTTTACTCATTTTCATCTTCCTTCTAGCTTAGAGCGAAATCGGACGAGCCGTTTCTGAAATATCAGCATATCTTAGAAAATACATTTCCGCATGCCCAACCGGAAGTACTGTACAGAATTTTAAAAAATCTATACAGCTTCATTATTTTACCAATATCTAAATTTCTTTCGACATTGAGCCAAACCAAACGAGTTGTTTCCCAAATATTGGTACACCTAAGAAAATAAATTTTCTCGTGCGCAACCGAAAGTACAGTAATTCTATAAAGTGGATACATCATCATTATTTTACCAATTCCTTCCTTTCTTTCAACTTTGAACCACATCGATCGAACCGTTTCTGAAATATTGGCATTTATAAGCAAATACATTTGCGCGTGCGCAACCGTAAGTACTATATGAAATTGATACGGGACCACCTAGGTACAAACCCGCACAATCCCTGAAAATTTCATGTAAATCGAATAAACGGTAGTAGGTGATATGCTCGTCACATCGGTTTGACTAGGGACAATAAATGATGATTAATAAAGTGTTGATTATTGGCAGCAGTGTGCATACGAGAACCCAAACGTATTAACCCACTGCTGCCAAAACCCCGTATGGCAATAATGTACGGTAGGGAATGGCCCCCCGGTAGAGCGGAAAAAAAAAAGGTTTGACTAGAGACAGATCGACAGACAGACAGAAACCGAACCAAATTTGATCTTGGATGCCTAAAACGTAAAACGCGAGTGGAAATTTTCTATTCTGAGCACAATTTTTTTTTAACCTCCCGCACGAATACTAAGCTTCCATATCTTCGGCAGTGAGGAACCAAAAATGTAATTACAAAAACAATTATATTTTTGTTTACAGAATATATTGTGATTGTTCAAGTATTTATCTTAGATGACTCACAGTAACAAATATGGACCAATATAAATATGTTTTCATTTTAGGGGTGGTGGAGGTGCTTTAGCCCAAGAGCCCTTTCCCACGTAAATCCGCCATTGCTTTTTTTTTTTTTTTTTTTTTTACACAGGCCTTCATGGACTGCATAAAAATTATAGGTAATTTCTTTCTTTTTATTTCCATAGGAATTATCATTTTAAAAAAAATAATAAAGATATCCGCTACATCTGGACAGTATATTTCTATTTATTTATATTTGATTAAAAACTAAACAATTCATAAACGTGTATATTATTAAAATTAATATCTATTTTATGTGTACAAATTATAATAATAATAAAATTACAGTGATTTTTAATGAAAGAAACGTTAAACAATCTTTAATCAGCATACAAAAAACACAACTATCGGCATTAAGACACTGTAGCTCCTATACCGGTCGGATATCTTAGAACAATATAGTATAAAGAGGAAAAGTTAACAAATATTATTGTAGTTGGTGTTAAGACAAATAGAGTAATTGGTTAATATATATAAATCACTTTGCCCTTGTGCCTCGTTGGGGGAGTGAGTGCTTCAGTAACATGGAGGTGAGCGAAGTAGAGAGGTCTACCGGATCCAAACGCCACCTCACGAGGGAAAAATGGTCTCACAAGGTGGAATTTATCCTATCAGGAATCGGTTTTGCGGTTGGTCTTGGCAACATCTGGAGGTTTCCATATTTGTGTTACAAAAATGGAGGAGGTAATATTAAATTAATCCTCAGTAGTATGTTCATTCATCATTTTGCATCTTAGTAGAACATTGTATTATTTCGACAGTTAAGAATTATTTCCTGCAATATTTATCGATCACTGTTAATAATTAACATACAAAAAAAAATCTTGAAGACTGCTTTATCATATATCAATATATATTATAAACATAGTCCGGATTTGTATGCAGTAAAACCTCGAGAGATATGTCATATACTATGAAATATAAACATATAAAATATGCAGCAAAAAATATCCAAATATTGAATAAAACAGCTAAAATATTCAAATAAACTAATTTTTTTGTTACTATTTTCATAAATTAAAATAATTGAAACAAATAAGTGGAAATAAAAATATATATCTATTAATTAAATAAAAAGTAGGGGGGAATAGAAACACAAATAATTAACAAAATAAATAAAACGCAAATGGATTTTATAAGCAACAAGTTCTTATAATACGTTTATTGAAATTAATAAATAAATTTGTTTCTGAAAAAAATTGAATATTTGGTAATGGTAATGTTGGTATCCACAGAGATAATAGAACCAAATTTGTACCTTCTTAAAATGATCGGCTTGTTTTCAATAAAATTTGTTTTGCAGCAAAAAATATCCAAGTATTGAATAAAACAGCTAAAATATTCAAATAAACTAATTTTTTTTGGTATTATTTTTATAAATTAAAATAATTAAAATAAGTAACTGGAAATAAAATTATATATGTATTAATGGTCAAAAAGTAGGAGAGTAATTGAGACACAAATAACTAACAAAATAAATAAAACGCAAATTTATTTTATAAGCAACAGGTTCTGTATTGAAATTGATAAATAAATTTCTAAATTTGTTTCCGAAAAAATCTCGAATTCTTTGGTAATGGTAATGTTGGTATCAACAGAGATAATTGAACCAAATTTGTACGTACTTAAAATGATCGGCTTGTTTTCAATAAAATTTGTTTTGCAGCATAAAATATCCAAGTATTGAATAAAACAGCTAAAATATTTAAATAAACTAAATTTGTTTGGTATTATTTTTAATAATTAAAATAATTAAAACAAATAACTGGATATAAAAATATATATCTATTAATGTTCAAAAAGTAGGAGAGTAATAGAAACACAAATAATGAACAAAATAAATAAAACGCAAATGAATTTTATAAGCAACAGGTTCTGTATTGAAATTAATAAATAAATTTCTAAATTTGTTTCTGAAAAAAACTCGAATTCTTTGTTAATGGTAATGTTGGTATCAACAGAGATAATAGAACCAAATTTGTACGTACTTAAAATGGTCGGCTTGTTTTCAATAAAATCTGATTCGCTGCAAAAAAAAAAAAAAAAAAAAAAATATATATATATATATATATATATATATGAATTTCAAAAACTCAAAAACTGCTTCCTCTTTGGAATTGTGTCGACTCAATATTTAAATTTTGAAGAAAGCGATGCATTTAATTTCTGCATTTCATACACGCGTTCTAAATAATAATAAACATTAACACTTGTTATAAAAGTATGAAACAAACTGAAATTGAAACTGACAAGGAGAGGCTACTGATTTCAAACAATTTTTTTTCGGTGATACAACATTGAAAAATATCGGGCACGTATCCCGGGGTTTGTTTCAATGGGCCCTGGGAGCCGAGGAAAAATATTTTATATATTTTAAAACAAATTTATTTTTGCCCTTGTATTATATGAGCCTTTCAGTTGACACAATGACTAACTCCAATTTCAAATTTTTTTTATTATTAATTTTATTGATATTTGTAGTGGGAAAATTTATACTTTTATTCACAGTTCTATACAACACTGTAATCAACTACTGTGGAATGAACTTACTCACTGTCTGTACAGATATGATACATTTTTGACCTAGAAATATCACTAAAATGACTTTAACAAAAAATGTTGGAATTGTAGTTAGTTATTCTGTCAACTGAAAGGCTCATACATCAATCTATTTTTTTTTTTTTTTTTTTGTGCTAAATAAGAAAAAAAAATTACCATTATATTAAATGAGTTGTAATTTATAATGAATTTCAAAAACCAAAAGGCGTTTGTTGTAAAGCAGACCAAATAAATTTTTATTATGAAAAAGCAAGCTTCGTTTTTAGTGTCCTTTGAAACTCTTAAATAAGAAATTTTATTTATTTAGAAATATAACAATCTATCACCTGGACAATAATTATAGTGATATATGAACACATTCATACCATATATACAGAAAATATAAAATTAACAAAAGTAAAATAATAATCAAAAACTATGTACAATAAAAATAAAAATAAATAAAATAACCTAAAGATAAGTAAATTAAAAACGTAAAAACACAGTCATACTCATATACAGGAAATTTTTTTTTTTTTAATAGAAATGAGATACTTGAGTTTCTTAGAGAATTTTTTTTTTTCCGGCCGATAGCTAAAGCATTCAGGATTTCCTCCAAATTCAATATTAGTACAACCGTTGGGAAGCTGAATTACTACTATTCCAACCCACATCCAAAACTTTTAGATTTCACTGCTTTTAAACTATAAATTAAGAAAAACTTTTATATGGATCAGCAAAGCAGTTCTAAATTTTTCTGGTTATTGGTAAAATGGTGGTTGGGGTGATTTATTGGCCTTGCCAATAATTTAAATTTTTCAATTTCTATAAAAATTCGTATTTAAGGATTTTTTGAGCGACGAAAGTTGAATATTAACTTTGTTTCTCCCTAAACAAATATTTATTCTAGATATCAGGCCAGGTTTGAATAAATATTATATTTGACAAACAGCTACAATATGGGGAAAATCTGGACCAACCGACAAAGAAATGTGGGAGTAAATATTTTTTTAGGGAGCAGCGAAGTTGATATTCGTTGTCCACACCCTCCAAAAAACCTTAATTTTTATAGCAATCAAAAAATGTTGATTTCTTCCAGAACTTTTTGCCTAGGCTGAACCTTTTCGAAATTTCGTCAACAACCACAAACATTGTGATACCTTTAAAATAGCTCCACCGATCCTCACAAAACATATTAAGAATTTAGAGCAGTAATTCAGCTTTCCAACGGCTGTACTAACGTTAAAATTGGTATAGATTGTATAGCAATCGAAAAATTTAAATTTTCTGCATTAAGTTATTGCCAAGGCCAAGACCCTTCGAAATTTTGTAAATAACCAGAAAAATTTTGAAAATTTTAGAACAGCTCCGCTGATCCATACAAAAGTTTTTTCTTAATCTATAGTTTAAAAAGCAGTGAAATCTAAAAGTTGTGGATGTAGATTGTAATATTAATAATTCAGCTTTCCAACAATTGTACAAACATCGAATTTGGAGAAAATCCTGAGAAGTTATGAATGCTTTCGTTATCGGCCGGAGAAAAAGTTAAAACTCAAGTATTAAATGTTGTAATATTTGATTTAAATAAGATTTCGTATTTAAGATTTTCAAACGACACTAAAAATGAATCTAAATTGTTTTTCATAAAAAAATTTATTTGATCTATTTAACTGGAAATGCCTTTTAGTTTTTGTAATTTCTGATACATTACAACTCATTTAATACAATAATCAATTTTTTTTTCTTATTCTGCACAAAAAAAAAAAAATCGAATGATATAAAATAAAATAAAAATCCAGGCAATAAATAAGCAAAATAACAACATAAATTTTGTTTGAAATTATATAAAATATTTTTTCTCGGGTCCTATGGCCCAATGGAGCGAACGCCGGGATATGTGTCTAATATTTTTCAATGTTATAATACCAAAAAAAAAAAAAAAATTGGTAGAATTCGGTATCACACTGACTGTAGCTGTGTGTGTGCTGTTTAAAAATTTAAACCCAATAAATCAGGAAATGAAAAAATAAATTTTCTTAAAATTACTGAAGCTAACTTTGTTTTGTTTATAGAAAATAAACCTACCATGGCCTTTATGTTTATACTTTTTGGTCGAAAGCGTATGTGTTTACTTTTTAATATGAATAATAAGAAATTGTTTCTTTCAGGTACAAAAATGTAAGGTTTAAGAAAGTAATTGACGTCTAAGGACATCATTTAAATACGTCTTGTTTTTTGTTATTTAATGTTAAGGTTTCCCTGAACCAACGTAAAGATATTACTTTATTAAATTTGCAAAATTAAATATATATATATATTTTTTTTTATTGTTTCAAATTTCACGAAGCTACAGTTCACATCCTTAAACTTCTACCGATCATACAAATAAAATGTATTGTTTTTAAATTTGTTTACCAATGCCAACACTTTTTGGTTCATAACCATAGGAAATATTTTATATTCGCGAGTAACTAAAATAATAAATTACAATTCATTTAGAGATAATACAGTATTTACTCGTTGAATTTCAATAAGGTTATATAAACTGAATTTTGATTTCATGGTCTACTTAAATTGTTAAATTATCTTCATGGCATTAATCAGTACACCTCAATAGTAAGCAGCTTTTTCAATTTAGAGCCCGTTTCGGTTAGGCTGGTTTTCTAACCACCACAAGTTAATATTTTGCCAAAAGGCTACATCGATCTTGTCAATTGATCTTGACACTAAAGAAACCACCTCAAGACATGATAACACGAGTAAACAAGAGACAGGGTTGACTTTTTAATAAGAAACCAGTGACAGGAGTTTATAATTCCTTAGCGCAATCAGGGAGTTGAGAGAATTGTAAAGGTTACAGAATTTCAAGGGTGTCCAGAAGAGGTTGGCATGGCGTAAGTTGTGCCTTTATAATTTTTGAGGGGGACACACACACATTTTTTTTGTTTATTTTAATTTTTTTTTTTTTAATAATTTGACGGAGAAACCGTTTCATTATGGAGGTAACTTTCAAACTAGAGAACAAGGAAAACCATGAAATAGAATGCAGGACAGACGGGTCTACGTGGGGAGGGGCTTTCGTGCTGAAATCCCCTCCCCCCACATGGTAAAATGTAACCATGTTTTATGGAAAAATATATATTTAAAAATTATTTCTTAAAGTGTTATTACTATTAAATTATTGTTCGTGTAATTACATTTAATAGCAATTCAAGAATCAGTTAAACACAATTTCATACAGGTAGTTTGTATCTTTCTTTTTTTCCAAAGTAATTATCGTTATATATATATATATATATATATATATATATATATATATATATATATATATATATATGAAAAAAAAAACCTTTAGGACTGAAGCCCCCCCCCTAAAATTAAATTCTGGATCCGCTAGTGGACCAAACCAAGCGTGCTTCTATATGAAAGTAAAAAATATAAATAATATTTAAAATGTTACTTTTGCTTGCACTTTTTTTGAGGAGAGGAGAAATAAAAAATGAAATAAACATTAAATTATAGTCCAAGAAGTTTAGACCTAAAGTTGATTACGTAGAAATAAATATTTATCAAATCCAAAAAAAAAAAAAAAAATGTTTGGGTAAATATTTGAACATATTGCAAACTTCTTATTAATTTGAAACTTAGAATTAAAAAATGTTCAAGATACATTCTAATAGCTATTCGCGTGCCGTAATATTCAAAGCCTTCTTATCCATTTGTCCTAATGAAAGAATTAATTGGAGGTAATTACTTTATGAGCTGTCGATTTTAGATAAGATTAAAAATTCATTGATTGTTTTGTAAATAATTGAATTATTTATGCTTTATCGACAGTTCCGCGTTTTTTAATTCATTTATTGTTCATAGAATTTTTTTAAATAATAAACCTGCACCGACTTGACTGATATCAATATTTATTAAATGGGAAGAAATGTATTGTTAACTTTAGAAATTAGCGAAATATATTATAATCAGATTTTTAAATACAAACAAAAAAGTAAACTACTTTATACTACTAAACTTTATACTTCTACGCTTTCAGGTGCTTTTTTAATTCCTTACACTATATGTCTTCTTACTGGCGGGATTCCAATATTTCTGCTGGAAGTGGGACTTGGTCAATACACGAGTGAAGGTGGAATTACTGCCTGGAACATATGTCCTATATTTCGAGGTAAATACTCGTATGGGAGAACAAGTGTTAGCTATAAGAAAACTAAAAATATATTACAATAATTAACTGGTTTTTAAAATTATTTAGAATAAAATATAAAAATTACTTAATCCTGGGTCAATATTGTTTAAGAATAACTGCTGCGTACAGAAAAATAAAGATTCTTTCTGGCCAAAAAACATTAGATTATCAAAAATATTTACAACAAATGAAGATTGATAAGAATAATATTCACTGCTAAAGAAAAAATAAATGGTGTCATTGCCCGTGGACGCCAAATGTTGACTGTTGAAATTGTAAAGATGTAAAATGGTCAGGATCTAGTAAAAAAAATATGTTTATTGAGAACTATAAAAATCTCTAAATGTATTTCTTGTTCGGCCTTCAAACCATTGCCCTGATGATGACATACTTGGGTTGAAACATCGGCAAACTCAATAAATATAATTTTTATTATGTTTGCAGACTGTACATCCTCACTATTTTTAATCCTTTAGTGTTTTTGTATTGTTTTATTAGAATGTTTTATTATTATTTCTTTATTGAGTATTATAACAATCTGTCTCTTGGACATTGGTTATAATGAGGTAGGATGACATTCACACTATATGTACAAGAAAATAAAATAAATAGAACAAAATAATAATCAAAAGTATATACAATAGATAATAAAATAAAATAACCTAAAAAATAAGAAAATTAAAACTAAGAAAAAAACAAAAACACATGCATACCTATAATTATTAGAATGTACGTCTATATTCGTCGTTTGTTCTATTTCATTTTTATTTTAAGACTACTACTGCAGCACTTACTAGACAAACCCACTAAACTTTCAACTATTTACAAAAGGCTCATATATATTACAATACTAAGACCTATTTGGACTTAACGGGATCGAGCTTTGGGGCTCTACTAAACCATCAAATACCTATCCTATCCAATCCCTACAATTCAAAATCCTTCGTAAAATCCTCAATGCTCCCTACTTTGTCACAAATGATCCATAACGACCTTAATGTGCCATATGTTTCCGATTTAGCTCAATCCAGATACCTATCCTTCCATAATCAACTTCTGGACCATCTTGTTTCAGTCTGAACAGAAAATGGTCTCGGGACCTTCTAATATAGAAATATAATTGGAGTGATACCAATGGGTAGTTTCTCTTCATGTTGTACATGTCATGTTACTTATTTATATTTACCTTTTGTATTTATCATTTAATACAGTTGCAAATTTCAATAACAAAAAAATAAAAAAAAGTTTAAGACTATCACGATTGGGGCCCACATTTTATTTTTTAACAGGCCATAGCCCATTACTTCACAAAGGAAGTTGAACGTGTGTGCGCGTACGCGTGAATGATTAAGCTTAATTTATTTTTATTTAGGCACCAACAAAGGTTACACTGACTGACCCCTATAGATAGAAACTCAAACAATACTGTTCGATGTGAACAACGCCTATGTATTATATGCAGAGATGGGCAAATGCTACGCTGAATACTGAGCACCAAGTATTTTACTCAAATGCTGACCTTTTTTAAATATCAAATAATTTAATTACTACTTAACTTGATGTCAAACAATTAACTGAAGTAGTGATTGAATTCCAAATAGTGATTTAATTTGAGTAAAATACTTGGTACTCGGCAAGTAGCATTTGCCCATCTCTGTTATGATGATTACAATTTAACTAATTATTCTCTATACTTTTTGTAGGAATTGGGATTGGTACAACAATCATATGTTTCGTATTGAATACATATTACATAATAATTCTTGCTTGGGCCCTGCACTACTTCTGGAAGTCCTTCGCATGGAATCTGCCTTGGGGTTCGTGTAAAAATGACTGGAACACTGAGAATTGCTTCAGAAATGATTCTTTTCAGGCAGAAAATGGAAGTAGCAGAGTGCAAGTGGACCCCGTCGTGGAATATTGGGAGTAAGCCAAAGAGATTGTAAAGTAATTTACAAATTAGAATTATACATTAGTGGTTTTATTTTGGTCTTTCAAAGATGTTTAGGCTACAAAGACTCATCTTATGACTAAAAAATCTATTTTTGCTTTGTGCCAATGCTATATACCGCCCAAATAATTTTACTTATGAAGTAGGTACTAATTTATTGAAAAACAATTTAAATCTGCAAACTGGTTTCATAAACGAAATCGGAAGGTGATCTTTGTAAGAATATTAAATCCTGACTGTTTCCTTTATACAACTTATTCTATTATATTCACTCCTTTATTTAATTACTTCATCCAACTTTTGTTTTGCCATCAAATGAACAAGTTGGGAATACCACCATACATTGTGCCTATGCTAGATTTGAGTATTCTACGGATAAAAATGTATACATTACTGAATGAAAGGCAATAACTCCTGAGCGGATTAGTATACAGGGATATCGGTACGGAGTGGGAGAGAGTTATTTTGGAAATTTGATATTTGAAAACCTACTTCAAATTGTTGATAAACATTCAACTCAAAGTATTCCTAAAATTCAAAACCAATAGCAATGAATTTTAAGTAACGGAATTCGTATCAATGCTGTGTTTGAATACAAAAGAAAAATGTGTAAAGAATTCAATATTCACAAAAGGTAAGTGGAAATCTCAAATCCAGAAGAGGCTGGATGATTAAAATACCCCTTTACAAAATAAATACATGAATGTTTTAACTTCCACTTATTTTAGTTTGTGCTCCCGAAAATTTTGTCACTATACTTAATTTGTTTCTAAATTTTGTTCTTGCTGTGGAAATTACTAGGAAATCGTATTCCTATTATTAAATTGAAAATTTTGTATTTCTCTTCTCCCTTCCGTAAAACTTACAGGGAGTGATCGAAACAAGGCAAGAGGATAGATTTTAAAAGTCGATCTGGAGGATTTAGGTTTGGATAGCAATCGTTGGATAGAGGTGTGTAAATAGCGACTAGTAGCATTGCCTTCGAACCTTCGGATCCGCTCAGTCTATTATTTCAGTCACTTACTCACCGTCATACTATCTCTACTCTGAAACAATTTCACCGTCTCCGACATCTCCTTCCATATACAAATCCCGTCAACTCCTGGTTTCCTCTCTTGTATTCCCAAACTTCGACTTTGGCTGTCTGGTGCACGGCGGACTTTCAGGAGAATTCGAGGCCAAACTTAAACGCCTAATGAAGTGCACAGTACGTTTTGTTTTCGGAATCTCAAGAGATACGCATATAACCCAGTATTACATCCAACCGCCGTCTGTACTTTCTTGCCACTTTCCTATATTTTCACAGCCTACAATTTAAATAATCCACTCAATCCCGTCCTACTAGATCCCGTACTTCCAACCTCTATCCACCTCCTCACCGAACTGCTGCGTTTGACAAATCCTTTATAGTTCAAGCCGCCTCCTTATGGAATACCATCCCTCTCTATATCAGACATGCACAATCAATTTTCTCATTTAAATCTCTTATATTTTTAAGCGCCCACTCCTTTCCCAACCCGATTGATCATGAAATGTAGAAAAGGGAACTTTTTAAGTTTCCTCAGAAATGATTTTGTCCACTTTTGATTTTGATTTTCCATGTTTGTTTTATATATATCAGTAAGTTTTTAGTATTTTTTTTTTGTTTTTCTCTTCTTCTAATATTTTAACTTTAATGAGATTTGATATTACATAATTTAATACATGGCCACACAGGCATTTCTTCTATAACTATAATTTTTACTAAAGGGATAACAGTCCCAGAATAATAAAAACATGTTTTCATTTCATTTCACTTACTCACTCACTCAGTGTTTTATTTATTTATTTAATTTTGATGCAGACAAGAGATGCCCAACCTTTTACAACACGTGCCACAACCGTACCTCTTCCCCTTTCCTCCGTCCTTGCCACCTTCGCAATAATTATTTTCATATAGTCAGTTTTCCTTTGAATATTTTTTTCATTTTGCGAATTCGAAGAATTCTCCTACATGATGAGAACATATATTAGTCAAATTTATAAGGAGGTATATCAAACTAACTTAAAAATTCACAACTAATTTAGATTCCTTCCCCTGAATACAGATTTCGAAATCTATTAGATAATAAATAATGTATGTTATTTTTTATTTTTTCCCAGGCGTAAAGTACTTGGTATAAGTTCCGGAATCGAAGAGATTGGGTCAGTTCGATTGGAGCTAGCTGTAGCGCTATTTATCGTATGGATTGGTGTTTATTTCTGTGTCTGGAAAGGCATTAAAACATCTGGAAAGGTGGTATACTTCACTGGTAAGGTTCTGACAGACATAAAATGAACTTTGAATAGTATCTACTAATTAAATACTTTAATATTTTACTTCATATCAAATGAAATAGGTGCCGTTTTTACTGTTATAATTATTGATACACAAATGCTATCCTACCTACAGATAAGACTGGCAGAAGTTGAAGATCATTTTAGCAATCCCTTCAATTAAAATACAGTAATGGCGGTATTATATGATTTAACCTACAATCAATTTTCCTTAAATTTGAATGCCGCTATATATCACTTTTTCCATTATTAATGATCACTATCTCATGCTTAATATCCAACCATAATTAAATCAATTTTGAATCCTTCTTTTTTTCTTTTTACTGGGAAGTTTTATGATATTCTTAGTTTATTTTTTTAAATAATAGAACAACAGTAAACTACAAAACAGACACCAAACATTTGGGGACACATTATGCTGATATATTAAACAAAATTAAAATTTGGTAAAAATGAAATTACAGCTACATAACAATCATCAAATAATAATCATTTAATAACAATAGTAAAAAAATAAATAGACATCTCCAAAGGTCAATAGTATCCACCATAGCCGACACCCAATTATTGATCTACAGGCATAATGATGCTCTGGATATTATATAAATAATAATAATAAGGCTTAGCGAACCCGAAGGTTCGATGCCGACACCACCAATCGCTTGTTACACACCTCCCTCCACCGTTCGCCGTCCAAACCCAGTCCCTTCAGATCAGCTTTAATGCAATCTTCCCACCTTCGCTTCGGTCTACCCCTCCGACGCTTACCATTCGGCACAGCAAATATTAACCTTTTAGGAATTCTCTCGTTACTAAGCCCAACAACTTTACAAGCCCATTTGATTCGCCGCGATGAAATTACCTCAATTATATTACACGGATATAGCTCACGCAATTCGGCGTTGTGTAACCGTCTGAACTCTCCGGTTAACTCATCCTTCTTCGGTCCGAATATTCTACGCAATACTTTATTTTCAAAAACCTTAAGACGCTGCTCATCCCTTAATGTAAGCGGCCAAGTTTCGCATCCATAAAGAACTGTAGGCAAGATAATTGTTTTATAGATTTTAATTTTTAAGTTTCGGGACAAGAGGCGCGAACTGAGTAGTTTTGTCACAGAAAAATAACAAGCATTCCCCGCCTTCAGTCTAACTTTAATCTCTTCTTCAATTTCGTTTTTTCTAGTTATCGTAGAACCTAGATACCTAAATTTATCTACCTGTTCAAACATATTACCATCTATATCGATATCACCAGTAGTATCGCCATTTTTGCAGCTAACCATATATTTTGTTTTATCCACGTTTATTTCGAGTCCTAGTTCTTTACCGGCTTTCATTAACGTTGTCGTATTTAGTTTTATAGTTTCAACGTCTTCGCTTAACAGTACCAGATCATCAGCATAGCCCAGCACGGATGTTGTCCCGCCCAAATCCAACCCTTTCTCGGTACGCATTACCTCCCTAATGGCATGTTCTAATGCCAAATTGAACAGGACAGGCGAAAGAGAATCCCCCTGTTTTAAGCCCGAACGAACCTCAAATTTTTCGGACAAATTATTACCGATTCTAACTTTATTGAGTGTCTCCGTCAAGCACATCCTGACTAGATTTACTAGTTTTTTTGGAATTCCCTGCTCGATTAGAATATTATACAGTTTCTGGCGGTCAATAGAATCGTAAGCCTTTTTAAAATCTATATACAGCTGGTGAACAATACCGTTATACTCCAATTTTTTCTCTAATATTTGCCGTAAAGAAAATATTTGATCAATAGTCGAACGATTCCGTCTAAATCCGCATTGGTAGTCTCCGATAATTTCCTCGGCGTATTCCGTGATTCGACTGGTTAAGATTACAGTGAATATTTTATAACATACCGGAAGGAGTGAAATTCCTCGATAGTTATTACAATCCGTCCTCGGACCCTTTTTGTGAATCGGAATAAGAATAGATTCTTTCCATTCTTCAGGTAATTTCTCGTTCACCCAGATCTTTTCAACCAAGCGATGTATTTTAGAAACTCCAGCTTCCCCGCATGCCTTAATTAGTTCAGTAGGAATATTATCGATTCCCGCTGCTTTATATGATTTTAATTTACCGATAGCTACTTCAACTTCCTCTTTACTTGGTCCTTCTATCAACGGTTCAGCACTCTGGTACTCAGAAGGAGGACACAGATCATAATTTCCCGTATTTAAAATATTGTCAAAGTGGTCCTTAAACTTATTCAATATGTCAACCGGATCGGTCAGAATATTGTTATTATCATCCCTAATTCCAGACGTTACGGGCCCTACATATTTACGTGATCTGTTTATACCTTTGTACATGTCTCTTACGTTATTTTCGATTCTATTAGTTTCTATTTCAATTATTTTATTTTTGAGATACTCCCTTTTTTTATTTTTGAGCAATTTTGTCGTTTCGTTCTTTGAGATTCGGAAGTATTCCAGATTGTCTTCGCTAGGATTATTTAGAGCTTTTAATTTAGCGGCTTTCCTTTTTTCGCACATGTTTAAGCAATCTTCATCAAACCACGGTTTGTTATTCTTATTTTCCTTTTTTCCTAGACACGAGTTACCGACCGCTTTAATATTATCCCTGATCTCTACCCATAACTTGTCAATATCCTCGTGGTCCTCGTCAGGAAGCTCTAAAGCTTCAAACCTATTCTTAACATCTAGCTCGAATTGGTTTCTAATTGATGGATTTTTTAATTTTTCCAAATTAAAATTCTCAAAATCGAAACGGTTTTCTTTTCTCTTTTTTATATTAAGTTTTTGTCGAAGTTTCGCGATTACTAATTCATGATCCGACCCACATTCTGCTCCGCGATAAGACCGTACATTGATTATACTGCTTTGCCAGCTGTGTTGTATCAAGACATGATCGATTTGATTTCGTGTTTGCGAATCCGGCGATGTCCAAGTATATTTATGAATATCCTTACGTTTGAACGTCGTACTTTTAATTACCAGGTTTTTCGAGATGGCAAAGTTTATCAGACGGATCCCATTATCATTACTATATTCGTGCAAACTTTCTTTACCAATCGTCTGAATATAAACTTCTTCCCTTCCTACCTTTGCGTTCGCGTCACCTACAATTATTTTCATGTAGTTTCGCGGTAGTTTATCATAAACCCATTCGAGTTTATCGTAAAATTCACTTTTGACTTCATCGTCACTGTCTTCGGTCGGACAATGTATGTTTATTAATGCGATTTTAAACCAACGTCCCTGAAATGTAGCTACCGAAATTCTATCACTAAAGAATTGTACGTCCCTCAAAGCGGATAGTAATCTACTTCTAATTAGAAACCCGGTACCTAAACAATGATTCCCGCTTCCTCCGTACCAAATAGTGTACTTTCCTTCCCTCATCGAGCCCTCCCCTGGCCAGCGAACCTCTTGCAGAGCCACGACATCCAAATTGTACCCATTTACCTCATTCGCGACCGATTTTAGCCCCCCTGCTGTGTTTAAACTCCTTACGTTCCACGTACCAATATTTAAATCCCTATATTTCAACTTGCGGCATGAATCCCCTAAAGCAGTCCCCACCCGGAGACCCGAACGGGGGACTAGTTTACCTCCGGATAATGAGCGTTTTACCTTAGGGAGATCCATGACTTTTTGTGGTGTTTGGTGAACTAAAGATATGTGAGTAGGGCGTTCAATCCTACGTCACACCCTCCAGCAAGTCTGGTGGGCCCCTACCTCCAGCAAGTCTGGAGGTCCCCTCCCTCCAGCAAGTCTGGAGGGCCCCTCTCATTGTTGGTCAGCGAGTCCATCGGACTTAGCCGGGAGGAACTTCCAAGGAATTTCCACCGACCATCCCCACATCCGCCACCCGTGGGACGCTCCCCATACGCGGTAATGAGCCCGCGCGAGGTCTGGATATTATATACTATAATTTATTTATAACATAAAATTTTAGAACATGACAATGGGGCACATTAGACGTAAGGTTATTAAAAAATTTAATGTAACAACACAATTCTAACATGTATTGTAACATGCATTATTCTTATTTTTAATTCCTTTTTTTAGCAATGAGTCGATAAGGAAAAATGGGATTGTAGTTCTGAAGATGGGAGTAAATTTCCCGAGACGTAAACGTGTAAAGTCAAGATATAAACCAATTGTTGGTTAATTGGAAGTTTTTATAGCCAAAAATTAAGTAAACAATTTTCTTACTGGATTTCAAAATATGGCCCATCGTCAATAACGTCATGTGCGCCCCATCCATTCTTCAAAAAAATTATTAAAAATCAATTTATTAAGCTCGTATATTAGTATATTAAGTCGTATATTAGTTTTTCTATATTTAAATTTCATTTGATTCAATACCTCACTAATTGGTTGCTTGCATGAATTTGTAATTATTATTCGTAGATGAAGATAAGATACAAACAATACAAACGCAAAATGTCTCGCTTTTTCTGATGCATATTTGTATAAAATATGCATAGATATTTTTCGTTAAAATAAAAGCGGTGGGGACAGAGTTACACGTCAAGAGTGGAGAGATGGTTACGTCATAGTCTGTTAGCGCCTAGTTCATACCGTTGGGTATCTTAAACTGTTTAGCTTAGAATAGTTTCCAGACTCAAAACTTCCATAAAAAAATATTTTCAAAACTGACAGTAAACACCTAGGAACGCAACTCCGATATACTATATAAAAAAAAATTAATCAAATCTACAAACAGTCCATAAAGTGAGAAAGAACATATAGTAAAGTAGAAAGTAAATCAATCACTTCATGATGGAAGCCATTTGGTAGACTAGAAATATGCTGCTCCTGGTGATGTTAAAGTCAAAAAGTGAAAACATATGTTACTGACAAGGGAGAACACCAGTAGAATTGGTAAATGTAATTATAAACCATAGTCATTTTAATTAGTGTTACAATATATCTATAATTGTCCTTATACTATAGAAAAGAATTGTAACAAAAATCTACAAGGTGATGGGAAAATATTCCCGAAACTTGTGAGAACATGTTGTTTGTTGGGGCTTTAAGGCGTAAACTTCAAGGTCATCAACGCTCTGTAGATTACTTTTGTTTATCTCTGAGCTAAATCTTTAATAGCTTTTAAATTGTATTCAACAAATTGTTTGATTTCAGGAAGTCTAGCACTAAATTTATCGTGCCTTCGTCATTTTTTAGAATATTTGATATTAGTGGTGTAAGTCCTGAATTTATTAAATTTAAGATGTAAAAAGAACATTCTTGCAAGATGTGGTTGGCTGACTGTAAGTGTATTATTGTGGTGGTGGTATTGTGGTTGTGGTTGTTTGCTAATAGCACTAGCGGATCCTGGATTTAATTTTGAAGGGAGATTCAGCCCGAAAGCTTTTTTTTCATAAAAATGACGATTATTACTTTGGAAAAAAAGAAAGAAACTAACCACCTATATGAAATGGTGTTTAAGTGATTCCTACATCCCTTCTAAATGTAATTACATGAACAATAATACTTTGAGAGATAACTTTTTAATACTTTTTTCGATAAAACATGGATATATTTTCCCATTTTGGGGGGGCTTCGGCCCAAAAGCCCCCCCCCCCACAGATCCGCCCGTTGCTAATAAGATGTTTCCTCATGAAACTTCTTAGATTGGTGTAGCATATTCTCAGTCTGTTTAAGACAACCTCTTCTTTTAAACAGCTTTACAGTGTTTTTAATATCTCTTAATTTGCTTGGTGGACTCTTGATCCACATGGACTGCCAGCCAGCTGTAAAGTATTTCTTTTTTGAGGGGATGACTTGTATCTTGCGGAGTTAAAATGGGAGCGACCCGGCCTGGAAAGATAAGCGCTTGGCTGCCACATCCGCGAGCTTGTGAGAATATGTGACAAATATACTAATTATATGTTACGAAGTATCCTTGAATGGATGAATGGAAGTATCCTCACCAAACTCATGTATATTATTAGTTTTTTATGAATGTATGTTTATAAAATATAGCTTAGAAACACTTTGACAGTATACGTCACGATACAGTTGACTAAGGCCACCACAATTCTTAGACGCACTGCTTTGTAGCATTAGCTACTGTAATTTTTAGCTTTCATTTTTTAGCTAAATGAACCTGTTTTATTATTTTAAAAGTGAAATCTCAATTTTATATAGTTCTTTATCACTAAAATCAGTTCAAATTTACTCGATTTTTTTGTAGCGGCGCTCTTTCCCAGATCAACGGCCCTCGGGCACTGAATTAATTGATAAACGATTCAATTACTATTTAATTTCGAATATATGGTAAACTTTGAATTGTATGGTTTAAAAAGTTAGCATCACTGTTACAAGAAGGAACAATATTTTAATTTATGATTTATTCCAAATATATTTAGAAAACAAGTATTGAAATGAATTGAATGAGCTCCTTAGTTCTGATATATAATAATCCTAATAATTAATAAATTTATTTTCCAGCTGTCTTCCCTTATTTCATGTTGACAGTTCTATTGATACGTGGAGTAACATTAGATGGTGCCATGGAAGGCATAGAATTTTACTTAAAACCAAATTTCTCTAAACTATTCGAGTCTCAGGTAAATATATATCAATGTGTTTATCTTGGATTATTCTAATCAGTCTTTTGTTCTGTATGACATGTCTTCTTGTTTTTTTTTCAAGGTTTGGATCGATGCTGGAACACAAATCTTTTTCTCATACGCAATAGCATTAGGGTGTATGACAGCGTTAGGTTCCTATAACGAGTTCAACAATAACTTCATTAAGGACTGTCTCTTTATATCTGTAGTTAACAGTTGTACAAGTATATATTCAGGTATTGCTGTTTTTAGCGTGCTTGGATTTATGGCAAAGGAACAAAACGTTTCTATACAGAATGTAGCAGAATCCGGACCGGGTTTGGTGTTCATAGCATACCCAAAAGCTATAACGCAAATGCCCTTTTCTCCAGTTTGGTCAGCTCTTTTTTTTTTTATGATCCTACTTATGGGTTTAGATTCTCAATTTGTTGGAGTAGAAGGGTTTATAACGGCTGTTGTAGACATCTATCCCCAATATCTACGTAATTCAAAAAGGAAAAAGGTTTTCATAGCAGTTATTTGCATCGTAAGTTACATCATCGGGCTCTCCATGGTAACTAACGTAAGTAAAGATATTTATTTTATTCTATTACACAATAATGGTAAACAAAATAAATAGAAAAAAAAAGTAAATTAAGTAACTGGTGATTCAAAGTTCGAAACAAATACAAAATTTTTAACACCTCAATCAGTAGCGGATCCAGGATATAATTTTTTTATTATTTTTTTTTTGGCCGGAGAGCTTCAGCCTTAATTAAAACTTTCTTTTAATATATATATATACTTACAACTTTTCTTTAATCGGCCTTTAAGTATTAAATTTAAACATAATTATTTAATAGGGAGTAAGATCACTTATTAATTATTCAATAAACTACTAAATGTTCATTGCTTCTATGTTTATTCGACGTTTCTATCCCGTTTTTTTTTGTTTTTTTTTTTTTGTTTTTTTATAAGTTAGCAATGAGATCCTCTTCAAAGTTTTAAAATAGAGCCTTGAAACCTCAGGCCAGGGACAAACAGTCTCAGCACCGTCCACCAGCTCAGATATTAAGATACTAAGAGTATCTTAATATCTTAACTTGTGTTTACTCTTAACTTTCAAAAAGGGAAAAGTTTCTTCGATTTAATATCTTCGGTTAATTGCAAAAAGTCATTAGATAACATTTCGTAAACTTAAATCATCAAGTCTTTTGATGAATTTTTTCTCCATGAAATAAGAACATTATTCACTTGGTATAACGGTATTTGATATATAAAAGGCTTCGTGTCATTTTGATACACTTATTTTGTTTTTTAATCGTTAAATTAAAAAAAAAATCTTAAAATTCTCTACTCAAGTCATGAGTGTTTGCGGCTGTAGCGCTCTTACTCATCCTTCGCTGGTTTTAAATAACAGTGAAGTGGTTAAGGGAGAAGCCCAGGGATCTCCTAAGCCTCGCTTTTCCCTCCACATTTGGGGAGGTCAAGATTGGTTCGGAGTTTCCCAGGCTGATTGTAGATAGTGTATAAAGGTATGCTTGTATATAATATGTTTATTTTACTTTTATTTCTATATTTACTTACTTATGTATATATATATTTACTCTTCTTATAACATTTAATTTTTTTCTTATTTCTATGTATTCTTTTTTTATTACTTTATTTATTTTTCTGTATATACGGTGTGAATGGACTCTCTGAACTCTGATCAGTGTCCTTAACTGAGACAGATTGTAATATTTCTCAATAATAAAGTTTTTTTTTATTTATTCAGAAATATTACAATCTGCCACAATTAAGGACATTTATAATAGTGTTCAGAGAGCACATCCATACTCTAAAATAAAAAAATCGTTAAATAAGATCGAAATTCACAAAAATCCACTTAAAAGTTTAGTTCTACAAAAAATGTAGGTCACCTATTTGAACCAATTTTTTTTTCGGTGATACTACATCGAAAAATATTAGACACATGTCCCGGCGTTCGTTTCAACGTGCCGTAGTTATATAGTTTCATAAATTACAAAACCGAAAAGGCGTTTTCAGTAAAGTGGGCTGATTAAATTTTTGTAATGAATTAAATGTTTATAATTTATGACACATAACAACTCTTTTAATATCATAGTCTTAATGTCTTACTCCGTACAAAAAAAAAATCGATTGGCACATAATAACATTAAAATCCTGCAAAAACAAAGGTTAAAATAAATTTTATTTGAAATTATATATATTTTACTTCCACTTACTTATAACGTGAAATAAATAGTAAAGGAGGAAAGTATGATGATCGTGAAAATTTCAGTTTTCTACGGAAATACATGTTTTGAGGTCTCCTAAGTCCAAATAAACAAATCCGGCAAAATGGTGTGTGTGTGTGTGTTAACAGTCTAGCTCAAAAACGAAAATTCCTACGGAAGTGAAATTGCATATTTAAGGTTTTTATATGCTAGGGATGTTACAGCAACTTTTTCGTCAAAATCGGCTGACCGGAAGTGGCACTTTATATCATGAACTTTACACATTTTTACGATTTTCTCGAAAACGGCTCTTACGATTTTGATTAAATTCATTATATCAGTGTAAAAGTAAACAGTTTTAAAAAAAATTAGGTTTTATTTTGATTGATTTTGTCTAACAGGGCTTAAATGGCTAATTTTCAATATTAGCTTCTTCTAAAGTACCAATCATTTGAAACAATTGGCTATTTTACATTGATCTCTAATATAATAGATAGTAAAATATTAGATATGAAAGAATTTGATTAATAAGTATTGTAGGTATTATTTAATATTTAATTGTACAGATAAAGCGAAATAAACATTAAAATTTGAATATACAAGAGTACTAATACAAATATATATACCCACAATTCAATATAAATAAATATAGCGTCTATAAGTTTTACTTTCACTTCCTCGTTGTCTGAAAATACTTATTTCTGCCAAGAAGATAGTGGTAAGTGAAAGTTGTGTGATGCACGCACCACAGCAGATTTTTTTCTCCATAGGGCCCATTGGAACGAACGCCTGGACATGTGTCTAATATTTTTCGATGTAGCGTCACCGAAAACAAAATTGGTTGAAATCGGTGAACCACTGACTTTTAACTTCTCTTGTTAGTGACTTTGTGTAATAAACCCCGGATATGTATGACAGGAAAAAAATTTAAAACATAGTCTTTGATTATTTAGGGCATATTTTAATTGATGAAAATTATTTCCATAAAAGTGTATATAAGACCAGATTTTATTTTTATTTCAGGGTGGAATATATGTATTTCAAATATTTGACTATTATGGTGCGAGCGGGATGGTATTATTATGGTTTTGTTTCTTCGAAAGTATTGCCATTGCTTATTTTTACGGTATAAACAAGTTTTATGAAAACATAACAGAAATGGTCGGCTACAAGCTACATGGTTGGTTCAAGTATTGTTGGCTATTTTTCACTCCACTGTGCACAATGGTAATTAAACATCTATAGTAATTAGTTCAATTATATTTTAATGTAAAATGTAATTTGTAGAAATATGTATATAATCCATTTAAAAGTCTATTTTATTCCATAATTCTAGGGAATCTTAATCTTTTATACAATTCAATCAATGCCACTGACATATAATCGCAAGTATATCTATCCAAATTGGGCAATCAGGATAGGATGGTGCATGGCACTTCTGCCGATGAGCATGGTTCCAGTGTATGCTATCTTATACTTCACTACAAGGCCTGGCAATCTAAAAAAGGTTTGTAGAACAGTGTTTTTCTGATTAATATTCCATGTATTTTTTTCAATATATATTATTTCCAATTAAGAGATACTTTCGTATCTGATAGACTTCATCAGTGCCGGCCTTAGACATTTGGCGCCCCCGCATCTCCCTCCCTCCTAAAGAAAATACATTTATTTCTTAGGCTTTTTTATATTGTGCAGTATTCGATTTTTTTTCACTCAATATTTCTGTAATACAGTCGCTTTAATTATAGGCTAAAATTAATTAGAAAAATTTATTCCGTCTCCCTGTTTTCTCGAAACCTTTAGAAAGCTGATGGCTGTTATCAGGGCTAGAAAGTATGCTTTACCTATGAGATATTTCTCTAAATATATATTTTTTTTTCTGAAAATTTTCCTAACGCTCATTAATTGTTCATGTAAATAGGGCTACAAAGTCATTCAAACCTGTATAAGTTTTATTATATGTCACCGGCCCTGAAAAACGTAATTACGGCTCTCCTGGGGTAAAACCAAATCAAGATTGGAATCGGAGCCCACTCAACTAGCTGGATCAAGGTGCGGCGAGGAGTACCCCAGTGCGGATCCTTGTCGCCCTCGCTGTTCAACCTGTACTGGGAAACGCGACAATATCCGCATACCTTGTAGAGCCTTCACTGTCTATCCAATAGACCTCGTCAAAGCAGGTGAATTCCTTTCCTCTGTGGAGCCTCATCACCTCGAAATTTACCCTATGGTGCCGGCGTGTTATGAGGAGGGAATTGTTGGGGCATTTTCCCTGCACATGGGCTGGTGTTTCCGACTCTTTGCAGCACTTACGACAGAGAGATCGAACTTCCTTCGACTGTCCACTGGCTCCTGGGACTCCACGTAAAGGTGCGTAATTGATGTTTAGTTTTAAGGCGTTGGACCATTCCGACCCTGAAAGCACTTGTTTCTGGCATTTGTAACTGCCGCATAACTGCCGCAGCCAATCGAAGCTATTTTGGGCTAGCAAAATACTTCAAAAGCAGACACCTCTCTAACAAGACCAAGATCGGCCTATATAAGACCCTGATTCGTCCAGTACTTACGTATGGGTCAGAGACCTGGGCCTTCACTAGAGCCAGTGAGAACCTCCTTCTGGTGAACGGAAGATATTGAAAAGAATTTTTGGCCCGGTGCGAGAGGGAGACACCTGGAAAAGGAGGAAGAATCAGGAACTCTCAAGACTGTACAGAGATCCTGATATCATCAAGTGGATCAAGATTGGGACACTTCGATAGGCGGGCCACGTTGCAAGGATGAAGGAGGACGACATCGCTAAGAGGACATTGGCTGAAGAGCTTCATGGCAAGCGAAGAGTGGGTAGGCCAAATGTCAGGTGGGCTGACTCCGTCACAGCGGACGCACGCGATCTCCTCGGCGTTAGGAACTGGGGAGCTACAGCAACAGATAGAGCCAACTGGCGGAGACTTTTGGAGGAGGTCTAGACCCGTTAACGGGTTGTTGCGCCAACTATGTATGTATGTATGTAAATGTTTACCAGCCTTTATGATCGACATCGATATTTGTTATTAAATATATACTGATTTGTTTTATAGCCCGAGATAGTATGAATCTATGGAGAAAAATCATTACAAATCTCTGAAGAAGTGTAAAGCTATATAAATACTAAAGTTGAAAAAATTGGGTCTTGTCTGATATTGGGATGGAAAAGAATGATAAGGGGTCAGAGGGAGGGGAAAGAAGGGAGTAAGAAAAAGGGTAGGGAAGGGGCCGGCCCTGTATTTATGTATTTCAAAGGTTTGATCATAGCCATTTGTTCAATGCTATTGTAAGCAACATTAAACTGATTGAACCTAAATTAATCCATTGAAAAAGAAAGATAGTTAACTGAACTATCAAAAGCAGTCTTAAGCAATACCATACACAGGCAATGATTTGAACTATAAATAAAGTAATGCAGGAACTATTTGTTAATTCGCGAAACTGAGTGCTTGTTCCCCAAACCTCATTCTTCATTATCCTAAAGTTAGAGTTTAAATGAACTTTAAAATTTTACTAGGGCACTTTTTTCAGGTCACTAAATATTTAAAGAAAGGATGCTAAATTATATTTCTCATTTTTTGGAAGTTCTTTTTCTCCTCCTAGATCGGCGGTCAGCCCTGTGTGACGACTGAAATTTTGATGTAATTTATAGTATGTCCCTACAATAGAATTTACTATGACTGACAGTGTACTCCATTAGGTTTTGAAAACTGTTGGAATCAATCACCAAATTAGGTACAGTCATCTACTAGTAGTTGCAAATGGAAAAAACACAAACCCTCAGTTTCTTTTCAGTGTATTATTATATGCTTTTTGAGCAACTGAATATGGATTTGAAGATTGAAAACAAAATTTTGAGTTATAAACAGTAATCATCGAAATTGTCTCTCTTTTTTTTAAAACATGTTTAGGAGATGCCTGGTCAGTGATTCTCTTAAAGTAAAAGTTGGTAAAAATAATATTTTAAAAAGTATATGTCGTTAGTTTGTCCATTTTCTTAATATTTAAAAATAAGAGTAATAAGATAAAAGTACAATATTATTTTATTTATTTATTTTGATTATATTAATTTTTTTTTAGACATTCATATCTGTAATTATCAAGACTTGAAATGAAATTTTAACTTTTATTTTTAATAAGTTACTGTATGAATAAAAAGTTTATTTTCAATTTTTTTTTCTGTTATTTCAGAACTAAAACTATTTCCTTGTAAATCTTCAAATAAAGGTTTTACAGAACTTTTATTTTTAAAAACTTTTATGTAAAAGTTCTGTTTATTTCACCAAAAAGTCGATCTAACTAAAACATGACTTTTATTATTAGCTACTGAAACCTGGTAATTATACTCTCAGTAAAAAATTAATACATTATAATTGTTTTCAGAAGTGGAACGCATCTACATTACCAATGAGAAGAAGCTAGTACATGTAAGAAATTTTCATAATGTTCAAAAAGTATCAATTAATTCTTTTTGAAAGTAATAGGATACTATTAATTTTGAACTTGATAATTTTAAATTCTTAATATCAATAATTACTGTTGAAAAAGTAATGAATTGTTATGGTTATGAATAGCTAGCTTAAAAAAATAAAAATTAATATTAATATAATATATAAAAAGAAGGAATAAAAACTAATTATATTTTACTAAATAAATTAATAAAATATGTGTTATTAATAGGAGTGACAGGGCAATCTGAAAAGGTATTTCAGTATATAATACAAAATAATTGTATAAGAAAAATAAAACCTGACTAATATATTTTAATATTTTCCATAATCATATTATTTGATTATATATTTTCCAATAAAGTAAGGCATATATAATTTGTACTTAAGTTTTATATTTAATGCATAAATACAGTTCTTCAGCATATTCTGAAGTTAATTAAGATCTAACTTGGGTCCCTCACACTTCAATTAAATTGATGTAAACACTGGATTTATTAGAGGGTGTCTTTATTAATTCTCATATAGTTTCTAAAATAAAAAAAATCTTTATAAACAAAAAAACAAAGTAATTGTATGAATTGCAGTATTAGAATTCATGTTTGTAAATATTTTCAAATTCCTGGTGACTCAAATTGGTGGTTATTTACTGATAATCAATCGGTTTATGTTACTAGAATTTTCTTTTCCTCGATAAGTAATCAATCATTTGTATTATGTACATAAATTATATTTTTAATAAATAAAAGTTTATATAACTTGAAAAAAAGTGAGTATCAATGATTGTATTGCCGTTTTAAGTTGATTAAAGAAATTAATGTTATTATTATAGTTAAAATGTTATTAAAAGTTTTTTTGTTTTTTTAAATTTAGAATCCTAGAAAATATTTTTAGCTTAACCAAGAAACAGAAACTTGGATTACATACAGTAGAACCACATTAATTGGAACTAATAGAATTAGTGAAAATCTGGATTAAACAAAATAACTAATGAATCCATCAAAATAGTATAAAAAATGGAGATTAAAATATTATAATAAAATCTATCCAATATAAAAGTATATGTCTATATGTATGTATATTTGTATGTATGTATATATATATATATATATATATATATATATATATATATATATATATATATATATGTATGTATATATATATATATATGTATGTATATCAACGGCAATGTATGCACCAAGGAAGTTTTGTGGATTGGGACTGATTTGCTGTCAATGGGAGGCTCTTTTGCAGCATTGGTTCATAGCCCAGCGACTGATGTCCCAGAATTACAGAATGTGCAGAAAGACTGGGAGTGGATCAGGGCCACTGAAGCGTGAGAGCTCTATGACAGTCCCTAAGAGAAAATTCTTTCTAATAATGGGCCAGCAGCAGGTGGCAAGGCATTGGATTTTGACCACAAAAGCCAATATACCAGAAACAAGTGCTTTCGGCTTTAGAATGGTCCAACGCCTTAAAACTAAACATCAACTACTCACATTTGAGTGGAGTTCCAGGAGCCAGTGGACAGTTGAAGAAAGTTGGGTCCCTCTGTCAGAAATGCATCAGAGTCTGTAACTCCAGCCCATGTGCTGAGAAAATGTCCCAACAACTCCCTTCTCATAACACTCCGGCACCTAGTTCGAGGTGATGAGAAAAAAGGAATTCACCTGCTTTGACAACATATATTACATAGACAGTGAAGGCTCTCCAAGATATGTGGATATTACTGCATTTTCCAACACAGGATGAACAGCACTGATTTTGGATCCAACTGTCCACTTTGAGAGCAATGACCTCGATCAGGCAGGTGAAGTGGAAAGGGAAAAGAAGAACATTTATGACAAATGTATCCCTTTCCTAAAAGAGAAATTCCATGAGATCTTCAGAGAGAGAGAGAGAGAGTTCACCATGAGAGGCCTCTGGTTTGGGTCTCACGGAACAATTCCAAAAAGAACAAGGAGCTTCCTCAAGAAACTAGGTGTTGATGTTAGGGATCTTGCGATATTGGCTGAGAATTTTATTTTGGACTCTCTGAGGATCCATCCACTATTGTTTATATAGTAATTTAGGATGTCTTTTATTAATTATTAATGCATTTATACATATTTTCTGGGCATTTTCTTGTATTTTTATCTATTATTCTTGGAATTGCTATAGTATATGTGTGTGGGATTTAGAGTTAAATTCCTGGGATATGATTTTTTTTTTTTTAAAGGAAAAATATATTTTATGCAATGTTAATAACTTGATATGGTTTATTGGTGATAATTTATAGGACTAGTGTTTTGAAAAGGGAGAAAAAAAAGATATGTATATATATATATATATATATATATATATATATATATATATATATATATATATATAAATGTATATATATATAAAATAATAGAAAAATTTAATGTAATAGTTATGTCCATATGGATTGATTAGTATGCTGTGTATAAAGCAAGTCTATGTAGTAGGACAGCATTACATTCGATAAAGTATTTCTCTCTATAAATGTAAATGTATACAACTGGTACTGGTACTGGTGGGAGAAGTAGTCCAGCAAGTGGGCCCTATCATGGATTTTCTTGCCAATCCCTGACAGCTACCTCGAAGTAGCTGCTCCATACTCACCAGAATGGAAGTGTCAAGATTCATATCCTGGTGCTGCCGAGAAATGAAAATTAACCGACCCAGGTGGGAATGAAACAGCAACAGACCATGAATATCTTTGGCTGCGAGATGTGGTCTCCCTACAGACGTATATAGCTTGCAGGAGCAAAGATAGCCTGGAGGGTGTCACCCAACCTCACCTTGCTAAAAACCATGGTCTCCATGGTGCAGCGGCAGGCCACCCATAGCTCCATAGATGACCCCTTTGGGACCAATCTGACAAACAGTGTTATTCCCACCGACTTACTGGGGACAGTGATATATCACATATCAGCTCAGAGTCAGCAGGCGCACAAAGACCTTTATTTCTTTCCCCGAAACTAATACATATATATATATATATATATATATATATATATATATATATATATATATATATATATATATATATATATATACACACATACATATATATATATATATATATATACACACACACACATATATATATATATATATATATAAATATATCCCCCCCCCCCGAATCCTGAAATATATATATATATATAAATTTATGTGTGTATATGCCTTCACTTATGATAAGATATTAACAAATATAAACAAGAAATTTCTGAAAAATTTATTGACAGTGGCTGATATTTCAAAGAATTGAAAGAAATTAACTACAAAATGACTAATGCTCCCACCCTTAAATTAATTTCTCCTCTATAGTCATAAGCACTCTCTCACGTTTTGAGCTGGCTGCACCAATGAGCATATACTAAATAGTTAAATAAATAAATAAATTTATCAATATTATTAAATAGCTGCCTGGACTAATAGGAACTGAAGGATTAATAGGAGTTCTATTGTAAATGTATTAAAAATATAAGAATTCACTAAATTAGCTGGTGAAAATTTAATGTGAAAAACAATTAGATAAAATTAGTTGATTTTAGTATATTGTCATTCAATAACATTCTTTAAAATGAAGATGCTAATTTCAAATTATATTAGGCATAGTAAAATATTTACATAAAATGAATTTATAAATAGACTGAATTACACTTGTGATCTGAATAAGATAAAAGTATACAGTGAACAGGAAAAGTTTTCGTATAAACATTATTTGGAACTACAAATGGGGTCGAACTAACTTCTTAAACTTTAAACTTCTTTTTTTGCTTTTTATAGAAATTAATTCATATAGACTCCTATATTATTTGAACTGTGGTAGATACATTTTAGAAAATTATAACACTTTGTTTTTCAATTATATGTAAATTAATTTATGATTGTATGCCAGCAAAAGTTTTTATACAAGGAAGTTTCTATGTAAATAAACTTATGTTTATTGTTTATGTATTCATCAATTCTTAATCTTTTCTGTGTCAGTATGATCATTTCAGTTTATCTGAATTTCATTCAGTCAAAATTGGAACGTTGCGCAGTTAATTCTAATATAATGTCTAGAACAAAAATAAATACCTCATTGGAAGCAGAGATGGGCAAATACTACTCTGAGTACTGAGTAACAAGTATTTTACTCAAATACTTACTTTTTTTGAGTGCCAGAGAATTTAATTACTGCTTAAGTTGATGTCAAACGATTTCCAATAGTGATTCAATTTGAGTAAAATACTTGGTACTCGGTACTCAGAATTGCATTTGTCCATCTCTGATTGGAAGACAGAATGAAAGTGATTTTTTTCAAAGAACAGGGACATACATTCGGAAAAAATGGTGTAGAAACAAGAACACCATTTTCTACTGTAGATGAAATATTGGTTGACAAAGATAGATCCAGCCGGCATAAAATATTTAATGAAAGAGAAGAATGAATAGTTGTCATTAAAATTAAATAAAACTCTCAAAAACCCGCAACAAAAGTAACACAAGAAATAAATGAATAAACGGAAAAAAAAGCCAATCCTGATACGACCCAGAGGATATTAAAGAAATATGCATTTAAAGACAGATTGAGTAGAAAAAATCCTTATATAAGTTTAAATAATAAGATAAAAAGGCTGGCTTTTGTCAAATAATTTATTAAAATACCTACAAATTACTGTAATTACGTTATTTTTGGGAATGAGAGCAAATTTAATATCCGTGTATCAGACGGTAGATCAATTGCGAGATGAAACCTGGGACAGAATTTAAATAGAAAAATTTAACTACTAGAGTAAAAGGTCATGGCGGGTAAGTTCTTGTAGGGGGCTGTATTTCTGCACTCGGTGTAAGAAATTTGGTTTTTATTGAAGGAATAATGGAAAAATATAATAAAACCATATATTTAAAGGCAATTTTAGTGCTAGTGCTGCAAAATAGGCATTAAACGGACATTTATGTTTTATGAAGACAATGATCCTGAACATAATAGTCCGAGATCTACCAAAGAATTAACCACTTGATCAGCAGCAGAAGGTTCGAAAATTAAAAACAGTATAGATTAACATGCTAATGCCAAAAAAAGTTCAAGTCAGATGAATAACAGGAAGCGTTTGGCATTGGTTGAATTTCAAAAAGTGACAAACTGCCAAAAATTACATGATCAGCAGCAGGTAAATAAACAATTAGAGTAGTTTCAGACCACGTTTTAGATAACAGATTTAATAAGGTCAGACAAAATTTTAGAAGTTTTATACGAATCTGAAAAATTAATTTTTAAAAAAGGGCCAAAAATCGCGTGATTAGCATCAGGTAAAAAAACAATTAGAATAGTTTCAGACCATTTTCTAGGTGACTGATTTAATAAAGTTAGACCAAATTTTGGAAGGTTTATAAAAATCTGACAAGCAAATTTGAAAAATTTGCCAACAATTGTGTGATTAGCATGAGGAAAAGAACTGGTTGGAATCTTTTCAGAACACTTCCTAGGTAATTAATTTCAAGATGTATGACAGAATTTTGGAAGCTTTTTAAGAATCCGGGAAGCAAATAGCTTCATACAACTTTGTAGGTAACTGATTTAATAAAATCTGATCAATCTTTGGAAACCTTTAGAGAATGTGGTGCTAATTACAGGTAATTAAACAAGATATATTTTTCTCAAAGTATGAAATTCGTAGTCAAGAAGGGGTAATAAATTTGCTAACAATTAATTATTAAGATCTCTTTAAATAATATAATTAACTTTTATGCATTATTTCAGTATTCAGAATAAAATTAATATAATAGAATTAAACTTTTTCCCCATCAAAAAATATAAATGAATCTCAAAATGACAAGTATCAACAAAATTATTCTTTTTTTTTTTTCTTTTATATATAAAAGATAATATATATAATATATATATATATTACAAATGAATTGTAATATGTGATTGATGAATGGAGATGTGGATGGAGATAATATAATTGTACTAAGTTAATAAAAGTTTTAAAAAAAATTGTTGTGATATTTTAAAACTAATCTTGTTCTTTATAAATCACATTAACAGTTCAATTAATTTTGAAATCATAAAATATATTCTTATAACCCATCTCACAAAATTAAAAAAATGAAGATGCCATAAAAGTTGACAATAAAAGAAATTAAGATTTTTTAAAAAAAATCAGTAATCTAATACTTTCATCCTTATAGGTATTTGTATTTATTTTTAAAAACTGACAAAGTTATTTTGTAACGTGGATAAATTACATGACTGAAACATGCAATTAAAATTAATGAGAAAAAACACAGGTTTTTCAAAAAGTTTTTTAATAAATACAATCTATAAAAGATAGACAAAAATCATTTAAAACATAAATATACCATATTTACAAAAATAAATTTCATGGAATAATAATCTTAATTTTTGAGAAACTCAACCACATAGTCAAAAATCTAGATAAAGATTTAACAAAATTGGTAAATAGAATAATAAAACAGCAATATTAAAATACAACCTGCTAACTAGAAAAACATCCAGTTAAAGAATAATACATATAACATTAAAAGATTTTTTTCTTCTACATTTTATTATTTTTGCAGACTGTTATGATTTAATAGAATATAAAATTGATGCGAAAGTAAAAAAGAAACAGAAGGTAATAAAACAATTTCTTTCCTTAATAAAGTAAGACATTCGTAGCACATACCTTTTAATACAATTTACATGTTGGTTAAATTTAATTGGTAAAAAACTTTTTTGCCCTCTTCCGAGGACTTACAAAACTATCTTTACTCTGTAGATATTATCTTTCATAGCACAGCTGTTAATATATAATAATCTACAGTGCTTATTTAATGAATGTCTATTAAACAAAATCAATACACATTAAATTTAATTTTCATGTCATTACTTTTTAGATACTTTTTGCCAAAAAAAGTATTAGTGTTTTACTTTGAAAAAAAAAAAAGGAACTAATTTAATGGTAAATCACAAAGTCATTAGTTTTTATTTGAAGTTACATTGATAAATGTTAAACATGTAGTTAAAGTAAATTTATCTTTGTAAGAACGTGAATTTACAACAGATTTAAAAAAAAAAATGTAAAAGTGGAAGTTACTCAAATCATTAAATTGCACGTGATCTCATCTAAACTTGTGTAAGAACCTAACATATTGGATGAATTACTCAACATGTGTCTTGGAGGATGATCAGGTGGAGCAGGTTCTGGAGGTGTGGCTGGAGGTGGATAGACTTGAAATCCTAATTTAAAAATAAATTAATTAAAATAAAACACAAAAAAATACTTAGCAAAAATACTAAAATTATAGAAGAAATAAACACATTATATCTACAGACTAAATATAACTGGGATAACATGTGCAAGTAACAAAAAAACAGTATATCTAACCATAAATCATATCAAACATAACATTTAGTTTAAATGTTTTAAACATACCACAGGATTATTTAAAGTATTAAGTAACAAGAACATTTTATATAAACAATTATATTATCATATATTTTAGTCCAAATCAATCCCAGCCACAGACCGGATACTGAGTGGATTACATACAAGAGAAAGTTCTAGAGGTAGTTTTTGGGAGGGGAACTATCAGGGAGAACGAACCATAGCACTGAAGAGAAATAATACCTAGTCAATGGAAATAAATAATAATTAAATCTATTACCTAACTATTTCATATCTTGAACTATTGAAAATTCTTTTTGGTATGCAAAGAGTAGGAAATGAATTAATTTCATTGGTGAATCTAAAACAATTGTTTTCTCACAAAGTGAATTTTCTTTTAATTTTCCTTTTAATTTATTTTTGGTCCTACGTTTTTTTAAATTTTTTTTTATCCTACTATGCAATTTTTTTAATATAATTTGTTTCAAACACACAAAAATAGTACATTCCCTTTTAATGCGTTTTTAAAGATTTTTTTTTTTTACTAATAACTGAGGTTATTACTTACCAAATGAGGATATTATTCCAAAATTAGGGCTCCTTATACGGTCAATGTTATTGAAGCAATATTGTTTATTTATAGTCTTTCTGTTTAGACATGATACTTAGAGGATTTTTAGTTAACTAAAATGAGTCTAAATGCCACCGAAATGCTTATGTGAGGGTTAAAATACACAAGGAATTGAAATCACATTAAAATCTTCAATTTTTGTACAAAAAGGATATTAGTCGTGTTTGGGTATTTTTTTATAGGATTTATGTAGAATTAAAAAGAAACACTTTAAATTTATAAATAAAAAAAAAATTATAAACTACTCGTAGAAATAGCAGTTGGCATCATATTTGCTAAAATAAAACCCCAAAAAGGGTGATTTTATGCCTTAAATTAAAGCTGCTTGAAATTAGTAGAAAGTACTTTATGGTAATTATCTTCGTAAGAATAACTGTTTCCTTAATATTTGTCAAAATCATTACAATAAACCAGTGGCAGATTCAGGAACTTTCTCGGGGGAGGGGGAGGGCTCCTCTGTACTAGGTTCTTTCTCCACCATTACCCGTTTTCCCACCACTACCCATCTCTCCCCACTCCTTAGCTAAGTTTAGTAGCTCAAAAGTCCTCTTTAAATGGTTTTAACAAAAGTAAAATCTATTTTTATTCAAAGTAAATTTTGTCTAGTTTACGGTGAAGCAATCGTTAATTACTTAAATTAATTAAATTTTTCGTTATTACTTCTTATTCAACAAAAAGCGTGACACATAAAAAATCACAAAACTTTAATTCCCTACTTTCCAATTGAAAATCGAACCATTATTTATATAATGTGGGTTGATGGATGACTGTAGTTAGTTAATAATTTAAATTCCTTTTCTTAGCCCAGATGAAGACCTGAAATTCGGGCCGAAACTTTGGGGAATGTGAAAATAAATACAATTATTTATTTTTACTATTTTATTTTGACTGATCACCCCCAACAACCATCCTTCTCTTCCATTATTTATATAAACTTATTGGTATTTATTGAGTTCTACTACCACTCCTTTAAATATTTCCCTCTACTTACGAGACACCCTGTGTATGGTTTTTGAAATGTAAAAAACTAAATTGCTAACACGGGTCACCAAGAGAAAACTTTATACAGCCAAAAAATACAGATTTATCTGATCTTTTTTTTTTCATGTATTACTACTAAACAGTGCATCAAAGCAAAAAATGTATTCTTTAAGAAATTAAAGAACGTCGAATTGTGTGTCAAACGAGTACCTAAACTTAATAATTTGATTAAGTGATATGGTTGAAAACCACAGTTAATGAACGCTAAGTTTTACCGACATTGTCAAAATCTGAGAAAGATTACTATAAATTACCCTGCAGCTTGGAAATGAGTTCTCTAAGAAAAAAAAATCAGAATAATTTCCGATTCCGACCATAATAAGAGACCAAATAATTAGTACCTTCCTTCATGGAAACATTCCCAACAGTAGCTATTTTAAGAAAAGAACAACACTTTCTAATGAGAAATATACAAATTATTATCGTGACCAGTTTTATAAATCGCATGGATTCTTCAAGGAGATTATAGTTGAGGAGGTTGCAATGCTTACAGATCTATTGGAACCCTAATAAAACCTCTAATAAAAGGTTGTGCGAAAGAATAAATGAAGTTCATTTTTTCAAAAATAAATTTTCCTCCATCATGTATTTCACCCGCAAGACTCAGTTTGGAGTCAATTCGAACAAACTGCAACAGGAGCACAGGCCTTCGTATCTCACGGCAGCCCAAAACCTACATCAATCTTTTCTTTAAATAGCAGCTTTTTGGAACTTTTTCAGAACTTTTTTGTACACCATCCAGGAGGAGGGTAACCCCCTTCCAGACCAGAATTTGCTAGTGCTGGTCATGTATTAATTTTTTTTATATATTACATTAGAAAATTCGTCTACGAGGATAAATTTTCCCTATATTCCTCTTTTCATTTAACAGCTACTTAAAATATTAATTTTCAAAAGGAAGGTCCTTCAGAGGATATTTGGCCCAGTTAAGGAGAATGGTGAACGGAGAATTAGACACAACCAAGAACTAGATGGGAAAGCTGAGATGGGAGGACCAAGTTGTACAGATGGACGAGACCTCAATCCCAAATAAGCTGCTGAGCATGGAGCCGGGCGGGAAAAAAAAAGTATGCAGATTGAAACTGAGATGGAAAATGAAGTAAGTGCTGATGCCAGAATCCATGGAATCAGGAACTGGTGGAGGATGCTCAGGACAGGGAAACATGGAGGAAAACTCTTGAGGCAGCTAAGATCCCGTAATGGATTGTCGAGCTCAGGATGATGATATTGATCACATTAGAAAATTCGTCTTAGAGGATGATTATTTCCTACATTTCTCCACTTTTCTTTAAATAGCTGTTTTTTGGATCTTTTTTTTTTGGAATTATTTGTCTATCATCCAGAGGGAGAAACGCCCCCTGGCAGAAATCACTAGTGCTGGTCACATAAAGCTTTTTTTTATATTGCATTATAAAATTTGTCTAAATGAGGATGAATTTTTACTTTATTTCTCTTTTCTTTAAATAGCTGTTTTTTCTCCACCATCCAGGAGAGAGATGGACGCTCCCCCTGGCTGGATCCGCTAGTACTGGTCCCAATAAATTTTTTTTTATATCACATTAGAAAATTTGTCTTAGAGGATGAATCTTTCCTATATTTCTCTCTTCTTTTAATAGGTGTTTGTCTTTTTTTTTTTTTCTTTTTTTTCCACCATCTAAGGGAGGGATGGCGCTCCCCTTATATTATATATATTTCTCTCATTACATTTATATTCTCTATATTTTTCTTTTCATTAAATAGCTGCTTTTTGGAACTTTTTTTCCAACTTCCCGCCTGGATCCGCTAGTTCAATAAATCCCTCAGATGGTATAATAAAAAAATTCAATACAATAGTATGGACCCATTTATGTATTTTCACATTGATTTTATATTCATGTTTGATTCAGGTACAAATAAAATGTTCAAATTTAAATGTCTCAAGTTCAAAACTCATCCTCATTACAAAATTAGGTGAATTGATTCCCTCTCCCCTCTTCCCATCTTCCTCTTTAATTTTCACCTCTTCTCCTTTTATCAACAATTCTTCATCATTTTCTAGAACTGGGCTTTACATAAACCAAACAAATTCCAATTGTTCACCTTTTATTGGCTAGCTATGATTTTGGGCTGCATTAGAGCAGGGATCGTTGGCACAGACTCTTAAACTCTCAGAAAAAGAAAGCAATTCAAATTATTAGAATCAATAATAGAGGCAAAGCAAGTTTTGGTATCATTAATTGACAACAATGACTTGACACACTCACAAACTAGCATGTTAGTAAAACCATCTAATAAATTTTGCAAAAATAGATGTAAACTGAAGTGGATCAAGTAAAGTGGAAGCGACACTCAACCACTTAATTCACTCCTGGCAAGTGGTAAACATTTCAGCACTCTCCTCACAAACAAACAAAACACAATAGTTTTAACATAAAGCCCATTAATTTAACATTTTGTATCTAAATATGTTTAAACTATTATAAAGGGTTCTTAAAAACCACTTCTGTCAATTTCAAAATCATTAAGTTAAATTAGATATTTTAGGACCTGATAGTCCCTTCAGAGCAAATTGAGGCATTCTTTTTGTAGTTGTTTGCTATTACTTAGATCTAAGTTTTCCAAACCTAAATGGTAATAATACACACATTCTTTTAGAAAAATTAAGTTATTTTGAAGTGTTTTTCTTATTTTATTTCTTCTTTCTTGGATAATTGGATAAATAAAAACAATAAATACCTTGAAGCATTTTATGTGGAGATACAGAATTCAATTTATGTTGATTGTCAAGAGGAGAATAAGTATCTGATTCTTCACTAGCACTTCCAAGTGTCATCTGTTCATGAGAAAAAGTAGGAGAAAAAGAGCCATCTTCGATATCATGTTTATCAAACAAATCAGGTGTTGCCCTTAAAAATATAGAAAATGTTCTAAAAATATATCAATAGTAACTGAATATTATTATAGATAACACTGTTTAGACCACCTACCCTTCCTTAGAAGCAAGTTTTATATGATATGTATGATTGCGAAGAGGAGGTAATAACTCATCATCAACCAGATTATTACTCAGTGGTTCCTCTAAATGAAAGGCTCGTTCAATTTCTGGTTTTTTCTCCCAAACTTCTTTGAAAAATGGTGTATAAAAGGCAGCTATAAATAAATGTTAATAATATTATTGGTTATTAGAACTAATATTTACAAGTGAATTAAAAAAAAACATAAAGCTAATAATTAACAATTAAAAAAAAATTCAGGATCAAAAATAGTAGGCAAGGTACTAATTGGAAGATATAAAGAAATTTAGTTTGTGGTAGATCTATAGAGTAAATCATGATTAGAATAGATTTGTTTGTACTTCAAGAAAACCCCCTCTGTATGCCAAAAATGACGAGATAGGGAGTAACCAAAGATAGGATACACTTTAAGCATACATAATACAGCAATATGTTTGAATATAGGTCTAGGTCATCAATCAATTCATAGTGACGGTGAACAATTTACCAGAAGCTGCATAGCTATAAATAGTGTGATTGCTCCTTAAAAAATTCGTAATCTTACTGTCTAAATATCATATTATTTTTTTGTTATATTATTATATTATATATTCTTTTTTTGTTAAATATAAAATATTATATTTTATTTTTGAACCATGTAGTTCAAATTTTGTAAATATTTGTTCACTAGATTTTGTTTTTAGTGATGACAAGAAATGAAAAGTCTATTGACCTTTTGTATTATAGGAAAAATATAAGCAAATATAGATTTTTATTGGCTGCAGTGGAAAAGGAAAAATAAATAATAATAAAAAATTTAATTAAACAAAGAGCACAAGTACAAGATGACAACTATAATCTATGTTCAGTCATAATAATTTTAACAATTATAACAAATTCAAATGCACAGATAATAGTTTGTAAGACAAAAGCTTCACTCACTGTCTCATAATAAACAATTTGTTAATGATAAATTATAATTTTCAAGAGTTTATTTCATCCTTTAAACATGGCAATTATTTTATATTTATTGAAGCAATACCTTGAACATTTTTGATCACTTTCAGTAGATACACACTTAACTGTATGTTTTAATTCACAGGAATCATACATCTTCATTAAATTATTAATGTTATAATATAGAAAAATAATTGATATTATCTATAAATGAAAATGGTACATATAATAAATATATTCTATATGTTTTATATTCTATATTTTTTATAGAGGAAAAATAATTTAACAATGTTATTATAAGAAAAATTTATATTCAAGCAGAGTAAAAATTACCTTTATGTTGAAATGATGAATTTGAAGTTGTAAAGTGTGCTTGCAGCCTATCTGCAGTAGCATTACCTTCAGTAATTAATAAATGACACAAATCATTTGTAAAGAAAGCATTGACTCCTCCTATATCGGTGATAGCCATAATTTGGATAGGAAGATTTGGTATGTTCATTGAAAATGCACTATAATAAAAATTCATACAAATAGATCAAATCAAAAATTGTTGGATATAAGTGTACAAAAATAAAAAAAAAATATTTTAAAAATTCGACAACTGAACATGTAATCTAAAATTTGTTTTTTTTTTGTCTATTAATTGCTTATCAATGTATTACTGATAAATGGTAGATGAGATGATACTTTATATATATATATATATATATATATATATATATATATATATACCCATTATGTATATATATATTATAGGAATTATCTATAAATATATATATACATAATGGGTGATAAATATTCAGGATGCAGTCATTGTGAAAATTTTTTATTTGTGCCGACGTTTCAACCCAAAACATGTGGGGTTGAATTCCTTTCATTCCTTCAATGATTCATATATATATATATATATATATATATATATATATATATATATATATATATATATATATATATATATATATATATGAATACATACAGTACTATACTGCTTGTGGGAGCACATCTTTCTTTCCCTGAAAGACCTGCTGTTTATGGAACAAACCTCTGGGGGGGGGAGGGGAGCTAATAATACCCTGGAAAACCAGAACCTGATTAAGATACATGGGGTAGGGTAATCACTCTCCTACACCCGTTGGTGGCAGTTGCCTCTGGTAAGCTGACAGGCCTCACATGCCGGAGGAGGGAGAAGGAATCTCAGGAAGTGTGCCTTTCCCTGGTTGGAGGTCACCCATCGAAGTACTTACCGTTAATGCACAATTTTCCTTAACTTAAATTACCTATTGCAAGCACCTTAGCCCACTCAGGCTACCTGGCCCATATATATATATATATATATACATATATATATATATATATATATATATATATATATATATATATATATATATATATAAATGTAGTTAATATATATATATATGTAGTTAATATATATATATATATATATATATGAAAATGTAGTTATTTGCTACATTTTTAATACTATTTTTACTTAAAATTACTTTCAAAATCATATTTTATTTTGGAAAAAAAGAATATCTATTAACTTACTTTAAAGTTGCCAGGGAAGCTTTCCTCTTGGTTGAGTAAACTAATATAAAGCCATGAACTAATTCTTCACGAAAAGCATTTGCTCCATGAAATGAAGATACAATAACTTCAACTTTTCTCTTTGAAGAACCTAAGAAGGTTTCAATGATAATACTTCTTTCGCCACTTAATACGCAACAATGATGACTTAAAAGCGGAGTCAAAACATTCTCAACTGAATATGGGTCACCACAGAACAAGCACATGATAATCCTTTAAAAACAAATCAAAATAATATTTATAACAAATATAATCCTTAAAAAATGTTTGATTGATTATTGTAAATAAATTAATTTTTAACCAATGAATAAATAACTAAATAAAAAACAAGAAAAAAGACAAAAAAATTTTATACATAAATATATTATTCAAGAATAGGTACATCTGTTTCATAGTACACACAAAAGTAGGGCTGTAAATAAATAACTTTCCCGTAATGTAGCCTGCCTGCTTGCACTGGTACTATTTGTGTTTTAAGCCAAGAGCACCCAACTGTACTGATAATTTGAAAAATATCACTTTACTAAGAATATCCCAATATTCTTTGTTTTAAAAAAAATACAGTTTTAATACACAAATATACACCACTATACCGAATATAATGAACCAATAATGTATTTACACCATTGAAATTACATAAAATCACAGAGCCAATCTGCATTCTACCGTAGCTATCGATAGACTCCAGCTGGTGACATTTATAAAATAATATTGAATTATTAATAGTTGACCGTTGCATTATAAAGGAAGGAGATGGTCCGGGATGGCTGTCATGAATAGGCTAAATAGTGGAAAAACTATTTTATTAAAAGCCAAAGTTTCAACCCGACTTTGCAGGTCTTTTTTAGGGAGGTGTATTCAGCTAGGAGTTTCACTTAAAACTCAGTTTTAGCACACCTACCAGAAGAAGACCTGAAAAGTCGGGTCGAAACGTTGGTTTTTAATAAAATAGTTTTGCCACTATTTACCTATTTATGACTGCCACCCCGGACCTTCTCCTTCCTTTATAAAATAATACTTTTTTTTTTTAATAGCCATGGCCAGCAGAACTTCGTCGAGGTCTCAATGTGGCCCGTGGGCCAAAATGTTTTGAGACCCCTTATCTAAGCTAATTATGTTCTCTTCACTTAGGCAATCTATTCTTATTTATACCGATAGGTAAATTACAAACTTTATTGTAGCAATATATATACAGCAAGTAAACAAACAAGTTAACTTGTAGGTGGCACTCAACATTCTAAAATTCTTATTTAATTACAAATTCTTTATATATATCTAAAACCTGTACCAGTACAACCCATGAAGGGTCTTGAGTTCAGTACTATTTAGAGAAAGCACTGTTTCTAGATCAACGGTTGTGCAAGGAGGTGATTTGACCGAGATCATGCTCAACTGCCAGGTTCTCCCCCTTTAATAAATTATTTAATTAAGGGTACCCACTTTATAGAGGCTGGTTGTGCTCCAGGAGGGTCTCCTGACCCAGGATTGCTCCACGGTCAATGAAACAGATAAATAAATTTTCTGCCATGAACCGGGGTTCGAACAAGCTCAGTACCCTACCACTGAGCTACTCCACTCCCCCATATATATATATATATATATATATATATATATATATATATATATATCTTTATATTTTCCACCACCAGCAACAGCTCACCCTCCTCTCACCAGTTTTCCTTATCACCCTCATTTAACAGTGATAATTTCTCATAATCTAACATTTCACCGACCGACCTTATTTCCTCTATAATGAAATCACACACAAACTCCATCGGACTTGATGGGATACCAGTCAAACTGTTAAAATTATGCCTTCCCGAAGTCGTTCCAGTTCTCCTTTTCATCTATAATTTTTCCCTCCAGAACTCAGTTTTTCCAACTGCTTGGAAAAAAGCATTAGTCAGACCAATCAACAAAATTCCCAATCCTACCTGTCCTAAAGACTACCGCCCAATCTCCATTCTTTCTAACCTTTCTAAACCTCTGGAAAGAATAGCTCAATCCCAAATCTCTAAATTCCTTGAAAACTCAAAACTACTCGATCCTCTCCAATCTGGTTTCCGACCTGGCTTCTCCACACAATCCGCCCTACTAAGAATTACCAATGACTTACATACCGCAATGGACGAAAAAATGTTAACTGTGTTAATACTTCTCGACTTTTCCATAGCTTTTGACTCCTTAGACCACTCTATACTCTATACTAAATTAAAATCTCTATCCTTCTCCAACAGCTCTATCCTCTGGTTGCAGTCTTTCCTATCTGACAGAACTCAAGCAGTCAGCATTCCAAACCAACCCCTATCTTCCTTTCTTACACTGTCCTCTGGAGTGGCCCAGGGTTCGAGCATTTCCCCTCTCCTTTTCAATTCCTACATAAATGATCTTTCCAAATCCATCTACCACTGTTCATATCATTTATAAGCTGATGACACCCAAATATATTTTTCCTTTCATCCTTCTGAGCTACAAGTCGCGTTCGCCAATATTCAGGCAGACCTAGATAGGATCAGTGCCTGGGCAAGTCTGAATAATTTAAATCTAAATGCGATGAAAACTCAGGCCATTATTATAGGTTCCAGTCCTATTCTTAAATCCATCTCCTTCCTTCCTCCTTTAGTCATCAACGATCATCCTGTCACATTCAGTTCATCTGTTAAAAACCTAGGAATCACCATAGACAAAAACCTCTCCTGGAAACTCCATATCGCCCTTATCTCCCGTAAGTCAATAGGTACCCTTAAGCTATTTCATCGCTCCCGCCACCTACTCCCACAACCCATCCGCAAGCTCCTTGTATCCTCTCTCATTTTCCCCCACTTTGACTACGGCTGTGTGGTGTACGGAGGCATCCCGATGGTACTCGAGGATAGATTGAAACGACTCATGAATACGTGCTTAAGATTTGTCTTCGGTACATCAAGGCGATCTCATGTGTCCCACCTTTACGACGAGTTAAAGTGGCTCTTCCCTTCTTTCCGCAGACAATATTTCCTCAGATCTTTCTTATTCCAAACAATCAACACCAGACACCCTTCTTACATCTACAGTCTAGTACAGTTTAAACCCGTGGCCCACTCCCAGAAAACAAGATCCCGTGTTTCCGACCTTTATATCCCTTCCCATAGAACTAAGACGTTTGAATATTCCTTTATTTCCCGATCCACAGCCTTCTGGAATTCCTTGCCATCTGGAATCCGCCATGCCTCTTCCTTGTCCTCATTTAAATATCATCTCTACCAATTCCTTCTCACATCCCAAAATGACGTTATACAATAAAATAAATATTGTGAAACAGATTTTGATTGAGGTGAATGGTTGATAAAATTTATTGAGTCTTAATTTTAAAAATCAACCCATGCTTATTTTATTTTATTTTTATTTTCATTTAAATAATTTTTTTTTATTTCGTTTTTTCTCAAAATTTTATTTTATTTTTACTTGTTTTAATTTAATTTCACTGAAGGTACTGTATATATACTTTAATATCGATTAATGTAATTTTTGGCCAGATGTAGTTTTTATTTTTTTGTTCATATCTGTTATTCATAAGGGACCTTGTCCCAGAATAAAGTTTACTTTCTATCTATCTATCTATCTATATATATGTATATAAAGTAAAATCAGCATTGAGCCCAGTGCAAGTTCAGCAAGGCTTATTTTAAGGTATGTTATTAATCATTACATTCAAATTTATAACTAATAATTATTTTTTAAGGAGATAATCGCATAAAGTGGTTTGAAATAATTATTTTGTTTTTAAATTGGTTAATATTTATAGAGAAAAAGTGTAATGGGACAATTAAGAGAACGAATCTTATGAAGGCTAAGTGGACAATCTAAGTTTTTTATTCGAAGGAAGACTTGTTTTTAGTATAGTCATGAAAAATAAAATAATATACAAAAAATGGAAATAATTGTAATATAATATGTCTTTTTAAAGCAGGATTTTTGGTTGTTGCTTAAATATAGTTTCTTGTCTATTGGATGAATGAAGATGAAGCTTTGAAAAGCACAACAAATTTTTAGGTAAACTTGAAGATAAGCAAATCAGCACAAAACATTGCCTGATAAAATAAAAAAAGAAGAAAATGAAAGAAGTTTTAAAAAGGTGAAATTGTTTTCCAGATATTTTATACAACAATAAAATATACAATATAAAATAAATGGAATGGAATTTCTTATAATGAATTAAATGGAGTACCTAAATGATTGACTAGTTTTTTTAGATAACACTACCGATTGTGTTGCATTAAGGATTTTGGAGATTTTTTTTTTTAAGGTAAAAATAAAATGACAATAAAATTTGAGGCATCTCATACACAATTCACAAAACTTGAAATATCCCTAAAAATGTATGAGTTTATTTTAAATTTTATTAATTAATTATATTTATGTTATATAATTAACATAAATATTATAATTAAAAATTTATTTTAGAATTAGAATCAGATAAAAATAATCAGTACATCATAAAATGCACCATAGTGATTACAATTTAATATAATTAACAATAATGTCTATACCTTATATCAGGTTCTATGCCATCTATAACTGACTGATAAACATTTCCAACTCCCACTCGCTCATGAATATTCTGTAAAAGTAGTCTAAGAGCTTTCTTAATCAATTTAGAATTAAATTTTTCAGCATTATACAGTTCATCCTCCAAGGAAACATCAACAAACAGACATTGCAAACTAAAAAAAAAAATAATAATAATAAATAAAATTTACATGTACATTGAAATAAATTTTATATAAAATATAGAGTATATCCATTCAATATTGATTGGGCATTTACATGGGGAAAAAATCATGTAAATTTGAGCTACAAGAGAATTCAAGTGATAAAGAACATATAGACGATTGAGATTGTATTTTTTAAATAATAAAAACAGGTTCATACATAGCTAAAAACTTGACATGTCAGTATAATAGTTGTACCTGTCATGGCTACTGGAGGTGTGGCCTGACTTCACTAGTGTGTCGTGTACTGTTGCCAAAAATTAAAACAAACAAGATACTGCTGTTAAAAAGGAACAGGAAATATCAAGCCAGCATGTGAGAAGAGGCAAAATAAAGAGAATGCATACAAAAAAAGTGCAATGTTAAAAGAAAAAATTGTGATTCCTGATCCTTTGAGATATTACAAAAAAAAAGGTCTAAGCGCAAAGGCAGCCATTTAAGAAAATTGTGCCTTAGAAGGAGAATCAGTTATCCATCGAAAAACTGCCGCACTTTGGTCCAGGTGTGTCAACAATGAGAATATGAGCCTTGCAGATGAACCCAGATCAGAACACCCATCAGTCATTGATGATGACGTTCTTCTTGAAACAAGGACCCACACACAAATGCTTGTGATTTATCAGCCGTAGTAGGGGCTTCTAATGGCACAGTGGCTCATCATCTTAAAAATTTAAAATAGTGTTTTGCATAAAATCTTAAGGCCATAAAAAAATATCTAAAAAATTGGGTCGTGCAGAATTTAAGACCAAGGTCTGACCCATATGACTTGACAAAGGTCCAACCTCAGGTTGTGATGGCCGAGTGCTGGAGTATTGCCCATGGAAGCATTCTTGTGACTAGCAAACACCAGTTCGAATTTGACCTGAGAAGAGTTGACTTTTTTATTTTGTGGCGGACCCACGGAAGGGAACTCGACCTTCCCTCTCTGGTTAGAATAGATATGGTTCTACCTCTAGAACAACATCCCCCCACTGTATGCCAGAAATGGTGAGTATGGGGTAATTCAATAAAAAAAAATAAATAAAAAAGGATCCAAGCCCAGCAGTGAGTTGATATTAACAAAATTTTGCTTAAAAATGACAGGTTATGGAAAAAAATCATCACAAGTCCCGAAAAATGGATATTTAAAAAAAAAAACCTTGCAAACATAAGCAGTGGGTACGGCCAGGTGAGGCTACATAATTGGAGGTTTACCAACATTTTTTTGGGAAAAAAGTGAAGCTGTGTGTTTGGTGGAACTTTTAAGTTGTTTTGCATTTTTAACATGTTCCTGATGGTCAAGAAGTGAACTTAAATCTTTACTGTGAACAGCTAGACAGAGTTTATGTAGTTTTGAGAGCAAAGTACCCTACTTCGGTCAACAGGAACCAAGCCATTTGGTAACACAACAATGCCCTTCTGCATATCTTTCTCGTTTGACCAAGAAAAATTATCGGAACTGCAAACAATAAATTTTTCTTCTCATCCTGCATATAGCCCAGATAAGCACAATCAAATTATTTTTTTTTTTTTGTTTTTTTTATCAATAGTCCATTATTTAAAAGGTCACATTTTTTGATAATTAACAGGATGTGAAAAATGGATGTGAAGAGTTCTTTGCCTCAAAACTAAAGGAGTGGTACCGGCACCAGAGTCAGTTGCTGGCAGAAAGATGGGTGAAAGTAGTTAAAATCAATGAACTTAACTTTGAAGTGTAGTAGAAAATAATGTTTAAAATATGTAATATGAAATAAACTATACTTGTGATACATACACACACATACAATTATTAAAAAAGAAATAAATATATTTAAAAAAAAGATAATTATTGCAAATACAAAGACTATACAATTATAGTACAGAATCAAAATCAATTTAAAAATAGAACAGATATAAACAAACCTATCTGACAAACTCTGGCCTTCTTCATGTAGTTTCTGAATCTCATCTTCTTCCAAATGAGATTCTGCGACAAATAACATAACCATAGGCAAACCTTGAAATGGCAGTCTGTCTTCTTTTTCTAAGTTTGAAACAAGAGTTTTTTCTAAACTTTCACGGATGTATTCAAAGGAAGAAGAATCCGAATAAATGCAAAAGCATCCTGAAAAAGTAATGGCAGAATGAAAAATAAATTAAAGTAACTAATAGAATATATATTCAAAATAATATTTTATAAAATTAAAATAATAAATTTACTAATACGATGAAGAAAATAGAGCACATCAGTTTTAAAATAGACAAAAAAAAAAAAAAAAGATACATTAACAATCTACAATTATAACTTGCAATTTTACTTTTACTTACCTATAAATGAAATATATAGTAAGAGAAAAAATTGCAGTAATGAAAATGTAAAATGATAATAACTTACAATCTTATTTTTACTTACCTATACATCAAATATACAGTAAGAGAAAGTATTACAGTTATGAAAAATTTCAAATCCAAGTTTTCAACAGATACAACAGATTTTGAGATTTCCTATGTCCAAAGTACTAAGTTTCCTAAATGCCATTAGCGGATCCAGCAGGGGGCAGGAAAAAAATTCCAAAAAAGATTCCAAAAAGCAGCTATTTAAAGAAAAGGGGAATATAGGGAAAATTCATCCTCATATACAATGAATATCCTAATGCAATATAAAAAAAGTTATTATCGTGCCCAGCACTAGCAAATTCTACCAGGGGTCGCGTTCTCCCATGGGTAGGGCAAATAATTCTGAAAAAGTAACAAAAACACCTATTTAAAGAAAAGAGAAATGTAGGGAAAATTCATTCTGATGCACAAATTTTCTAATGTAATACAAAAAAAAATTCTATCGTGACCAGCACTAGCGAATTCTGCCAGGGGGCGCGTCCTCCCTTAGATGGTGGAAAAAAGTGGCAAAAACACCTATTTAAAGAAAAGAGAAATATAGGGTACGACAAGAAATATCGAAAAGCACAAGCGGAAAAGGATTGAGGCCAAAAATAAAGTTATAGAGGCCAAGAGGACAACCTGGGAAGATTTTGGACGAAAATTGGAATCGGATTTCTACCAAAATGTAAAGCTATTATACCGAGTCCTCAAAGGATTAAGAAAGGAAAGATCGCCAACAATGAAATTTGTCAAAGACAAGGAAGGAAACATTCTCAGGCAGAAGGATGAGATAATGGAAAGGTGGAGGGAATACTTCCAAGATCTGTTGAATGAAAATGAAAATGGACAGATACCCTGTGTAGATGAAGAGACAAGAGAGGTAGGTCCTTGGGAAGAAGACAACTTTATTGACGATGACGAATTGGAAGAAGCAATCTAGAGTATGAAGCTAGGGAAATCCACAGGTAGTGATGGTGTAACTCCTGAAATGCAAAAAAATACATGGGGCCAAAAGGAAAAGAAATCTTGTTGCATCTGCTAAACTCAAAGTGGAAGCAGAAGAAAATATCAAAGGATTGGGAAGTGGCCATCATCGTCTCTATCTTTATTTAAGAAAGGAGATATCAGAGATTGTAACAACCACCGAGGCATATCTCTGTTGAGCATACCAAGTAAGATTTACTCAAAGATCTTGGAAAAGAGAATAAGAAGAATCGAAGGATTACTTGAAGAAGAACAATACGGATTTTGGGAAAAATCGTAGCACCCAGGATCTTATCTTTACCATGAGACAAGTTTTCGAAAAAGTATTGGAGAAAGAAAAGGAAATGTTGGTGAGCTTTGTTGACCTTACAAAGGCCTTCGATCAGGTGAGAAAGTCTGATATCTTGGAGGCCTTGAGAGAAAAATGGATTGATCAAGGTCATGTCCTGGCAGTTGAGAGTCTCTACAAGAAAACAAGAAACATAGTAAGATTTGCCAACTGTACTTCACAGGAAATCAAAACAACAATTGGAATCCGGCAAGGTTGTAGTCTTATTCCACTTTTGTTTATACTAGTGATGGACTCAGCAATACGAAGGGCTAAAGAAAAATGCGGAAATTTCACCTGGGATATGCCAACCTGAGATCAGTGAACATCTCAATAGTTGCATTCGCTGATGACGTTATTTTTTCGGACAGTGACAGGAATCTTCAGTACAATATTAATAAATTAAAGGAAGAATTACAGAAGATTAATATGGTTATCAACCCTGTAAAGGGTTGGGAAGAAGCCTAGGAGAAATATGTGCATCATCAGAGCGTAAGACAAAACCCTAGAGCAGGTAGAAAAATTCAAATAATTGGGCGCACACCTTAATGAAAATGAATACATCGATTCAGAGGTGACTGAGTGAATCGTTGCTGTGAGCAGGATGTTTGAAGCAGTTAAGAAAGGTTTTCTAAACAGGCTTGAGGTGGAAAAGAAAACAAAAGTAGCTGTTTTCAGATAGACATTTCTTCCCATTTTAACGTACTCTTCAGAATCATGGATGCTGACAAAGAACCATCAGTCAAGGATACAAGCGTCAGAAATGCAATTCCCTCGAAAGATTGAGGGGAAAACGAGAAGAGACAGAGTATGCAACACCACCATCAGGTCGAACCTCAATATTAAGCCGGCCTATGATGTGATTGAGGAGAAACGACTGCGATGGCTAGGACATCTTCTGCGGATGGAACCAAACAGAATAGCTAGCGAAACCTATCGAACTAAAGTAGACGGCAAGAGAGGAAGAGGATGGGCTAGAAGGAAATGGGAAGATGAGGTAAAGAGCGATTTCCAGAGAAGAGGTCTTCAATGGAACGATAGAGGGCGTCTTGTTGAAGACCGGCCGAGCTGGAGAAGGCTCTATAGACTTCCTCCTCACACTGCTTAATGCGGTTCAAGAGGATGGATTATGATGATCATGAGAAATAAAGGATAAATTTATTATTATTCACGAATTTCCTAATGTAATAAAAAAAAATTATAATCAGAAATAGCACTAGCGAATTCTGCCAGGGGGCCCTCCCTTGGATGGTGAAAAAAAAACGCTTATTTAAAGAAAAGGGAAATATAGGAAAAATTCATCCTCTAAAACGAATTTTCTGTGATACAAACAAATTATTATCATGACCAGTACTAGCGGAACCAGCCAGGGGCATGCCTCTCTCTCTGCTGGATGGTTGGGGAAAAGTTCCAAAAAGCAGCTTATTTAAAGAAAAGAGAAATATAGGAGAAATTCATCCTCATAGACGAGTTTCTAATGTAATATAAAAAAAAATTATTATCGTGACCAGCACTAGCTTATTCTACCAGAGGGCGCGCTCCCCTCTGGATTGTAGAAAAATAATTTCGAAAAAAAAGTATCCAGAAAACAGCTATTTGAAGAAAAGAGAAATATAGGGAAAATCATCTTCTAAGACTAATTTTCTAATGTGATCAATATCATCATTCTGAGCTCAAAAATCCATTACGGGATCTTGGCTGCCTCAAGAGTTTTCCTCCATGTTTCCCTGTCTTGAGCAGCCTCCACTAGTTCCTGATTCCATGGATTCTGGCATCAGCACTTAATCCATTTTCCATCTCAATTTCAGTCTGTCCACTTTTCTTTTTCCAACCGGCTCCATGCTTCTTTGGGATTGAGGTCTCATCCATCCGAGAGACAACTTGGCCCTTCGATCTCAGCCTTGCTATCCGGATATATTTCACCACATTTGGCTCCTTGTATAAGTTAGCTAGTTCATGGTTGCGTTTAATTCTCCATTCACCATTCTCCTTAACTGGGCCAAATATCCTCCGAAGAACCTTCCTTTCGAAAACTAATATTTTAAGCATCTTTTTTAATGAAAAGAGAAATATAAGAAAAATAAGTAATAATTATAAAACTTACCATGGGGCACAAATTCTGATGATTGAAATGAATTTTGAGGTAAGCTAACATCTCCATCTATTATTCTTGTTTCTAAAGTATAAAGATGATAATCTATTTCGATATCATCATCTTCACATAATGACTGAAAAAAAATCAATAAAATAATTGACTAAACCATAACAAAAATGTCACAGACTTTCATAGAAGTTTTTATAAAAAATAATTTTAATTGTGATTCTCACTCTATTGTACCCTGTAGTTTATCGAACCTTAATTTATCATAATCATTTTTCATTGTCAATGTAGTGTGTGGTAGGTATACTTTTATCAAAATACTATTTTAACACTTTTTAATTAGCCCAGTAAAGATCAAGGAATAAAATACAGCATTAGGAAAATAAAAACTATAAATCACTCTTTTAATATAAGAAACAAAATTTCATATACCATAATCTACTTCATTTACCTAATACTATTTGTATGTCTGTCTCTTGAATCGATTTGTAATAATAATAATAATAATAATAATATATATATATATATATATATATATATATATATATATATATATATATATATATATAGATGTTAGGTTGAATAATCAACAACTTCCATTCACTTATCCATCTCTTTAATGTACCATATCACTAACTACTAGTTTTTAGCAGTTTACAAACATTAAAGATTGTGAATTTGATCTTTATCATGTCTTTTAATTGACTCTGTTCATATTCATATGATTTTCAATAACTTATTTTATACTGTTATGATAGTTCTACTATAGTTCTGGTTTTTATTTTGTTTATTTAGATAAAAACAATGTAAACCTGTGATTGCAAAAATTGTATAGATCTGCAATATGGGTCATAACATTGGCTTCCAACAAATAATTTTTATAATTTTTAGATTTTCTTGACCATCACCCAGACTATCTTATCTTTTAGTATCTATAACATGAACTAATAAATATACAACACAATAACATTCCAAAAACTAAGGAAAACTATTCAATTTGCTGAAAAGTACCTTCATTTCTGATGAAAATTCATCCGCTAAACCATTGGTTCCTAATATGACCAGATTCAACTGGCTACTGCTACTGTTTAAAGGCCAGTAAATCCCTTGGTTCCAAGAACTTCTAAAACAAAAATAATAATTAAATAAATAATAACATTAATAACTCGTTTCGAAGAAATATTTCATTAAGTATCAATAAACTGAAAATCAAAAGGTAATGATTTATATTAATATTTTAAATTTTATATTTATTTATAGCGATAAATATTACATATTACATAAATTAATATCCTGCTGACTGGGAGGACCTTCATAATATTATTATATATATGATGGAGAGTGGGAGAGAGTCATGATAATATTTTGGTCTTTCCTGTAAGAGATAATCCAGTCAGAGGTTTCTTATAAGAGTAACAAGACTAAGAGACACCACTGGTCTTCAAGTAAGGAAGGAGTCTTTGCTGGATCAGCTCTCCAATCAAGTATTAAAAATAAAATACAAATACAACTAACACTCTTGGTGAATTAAATAAAATAAATAAGATAAACGAATGGAGAGAAATGGAGTTTGGATGCTCAATTGATTAGCGAATGGATACTGAAGAATGTCATAATAAAATAATTTATAAACAAACAAAGAAAAAATAAAGTGGAAATATAAATATGGGTGAAAGCTCATATTCATATTCATATTCTTGGGATACACCAAGTTTCTAAACAACAAGTGCTCTTATTTAATTGATAAATTCATTACTTAATGGGAAAATACAGTCCCGAGGCGCTGACCTGGATGGGTGCTTATTGGGGGCACCGATCTTGAGGGGCACTCCTCACTTGTTAACATTAAAAAAATATATAAAAACGTATTAAAATAATTAACTTTAGCCTATCAATAAAGTAACTGTATTAGAGAAATATTGAAAGAATTAAATTGAAATACTACATAATATAAAACAGCTTAGGAAATAAATTTATATGTTTTAGTGAGAGGGAGATGATGTCATTACCCGAGTGCGTCAAATGTCTAGGGCCAGATCTGAATGTGACAGTTAAGTGTGATTTCTGTCATCTTCTTGCATAACTGTTGGCCAAAGAAACAGTACTTCCTTACAAAGAACTGAACCCAAGACCCTTCATTTTTTTTTTAATAATAGTATGTATGTAATTTTACACAAAAATTAAGGTTTTACAGTAAACTCTCTATCATTTAATGTAATATCAAATATTGGTTGGTTTTTAACATTTAAAAATACATGTTGAAAAAAATACTAAATTAATTTTACCATTTTGTGAACCAAGGAAAATGGAGTATACGAATTAACAGATGGATAAATAAGAGATTTTGTTATATACAAACAAAATAAAAGTTTAATTTCAGAAAAAAATGAATCCTAATCAATATTCAAATTGAAGTTTAATTAATATACAGGAACTATGAGCTACTTGGATCCAACAGAAAATGATTTTAAATTTCAAGCAGGTATCTTATTATAAAAATAGAGACACAATTTATAATCTTTACAACGGCTGGCAGCACTTTTTGGATTCCATTAAACCCCTTGGGTTCAAGTAGCCACATGATACAGTACCTTAAATAAATTAAAAAAATATATAGAAATAATCAAATACCTTTGCACTTTATTAGATAAAATACGTTCAATAAGTGCATCCATGCAATTAGGAAAAGCTGGACAATGTTCTCTAATAGGGCAATGAACAAAACCAAGATGTTGAAACAGCATTAGTTTTCTATCTTGGTCTAGTCTATCAAGAGCTTTGTACCTAAAAAGAATATATATCTATATATACTTATTTATAATTACATAATATTAAATTGAAAACTATTAAAATATTTGTTATTTTCAATAACTTTACAGAAGTATGAAATTCATGATAGTAAATACTAAACCAAAATACAACTAATTTGAATTTTTAAAATTGCAAAATAGAAGAATAAAATAATTTTAAAAACATAAAACCAAATTATGATAAATTTAGTCAGCCAAAAATGGAGTTGATTTTAAACACCCTTCACATAGTTTTAATGAAAATAAATTTTACTTGTATCTAAAAAAACTTTTCTAGTTTACCAAGCATTAATTATCTCAATTAAATAAATTTCTCATTATCAATTCCTATACAACATAAAAAATCGGGTGTGCGCAATACACAACTTTTACTTACAGCTCAACTTTGAATAGAAATTATTTTCTGGCCACGTTGGGCTATTATAAAATTTTTGAATTGCATTTTTAACTCAGCTAAAGCTAAAAAAATACAGCTAACAAATCATAAACACTATTAAAATAAGAAAAGTTTTATTTATTATATCATCGGTTGATTATGGATTGTACGATCCGTTGATTGTGGATTGTACAACTATTAGTTATTAAGCTGTTGTTTTCCACTACTAAGTTTACTAAAATGGAATTAGGAGATTTGCATTGTCTGTCATAGACAGGTCAAAAATTGTCACACTAATTGTAAGTGGATACTGTTGGAATATCACAAAAGGAAATTTCATCAAACTATTCACTAATTTAATGTTCTATAAGGTTACATGATGATTTTTCAGAATAAAAGGACAATAGATACCTAAATATTTAAATATAATATCAGATCTAGAGCTATTAAACTACAGTAAATATATTTAAGGTTATAAACGTATCTATGATATATTTTTATATTTCACTTCTTCTTCCACACAAGTACAATGAAATAGTAGTGGGTACTGTTGGAATATCACAAAGGGAAGATTCATCAAATTATTCACTCATTTTATTTTTTAAAAAGTTACATGACAATATTTCAGAATAAACGGACGTTGATACCTAATTATTTAAATACTAGTGTTTGCCCAGTGGTCGAAATTCGACCAGAGCCATTAAAAATTTGAGGATAACATATGATTAAATAAAAAATAAATTAAATAAATAAAGAGTAAATCACGATTCAAAAATCCTCATTTATTAATATAAACAAAATTTCAATTTCAATAAAAAATCGAGCTTAAACTACATAAAATTATTCATAAATAATACAAAATGGACTCATTTCCATTTAAAATATTTATAGTTACACTCATTCTTAACTTAAATACTGCACAAGCATTAGATAATGGAACACTAAAGAGAGTAAAGTACTAACCGGAGCTACTTTAAATAAAAAATATTTAATTTCCATTTTAATTTATGTGTGTTATTATCACAATAAATTAATGTTATGATTAAGCAAATAAAATATAAATTTAAATTAGCAATTTCAATTCACTATAAATCCATTTTTATTCAGAACTTCTCTGTAAACAATATTCTATTTGAATGTTCTGTTATTGTTTAGTGCATAGCCTTGCCCATTGTCATTGAAAATATAAATTTCAATATTTTAAATGAATGTGCTCTACTTGCTGCCATATCTAATTTTCCATGCAATAATACACACATTTTTCTAAAACTTTGATCCTGCGATTTGATTATGGTCACAGCAAATGCAGCTATAATAAGAAAGTCGAATGTAAGTATTGTGTCAGAAAATATTAAATTAATTCCACGTTTGTTTATATATATATATATATATATATATATGTGTGTGTGTGTGTGTGTGTGTGTGTGTGTGTGTGTGTGCGTGCGTGCGTGCGTGCGTGTGTGTGTGTGTGTGTGTGTGTGTGTGTGTGTGTGTGTGTGTGTGTGTGTTGTTTATATATTCCATTAATTGTTCCATTAACTAATGCTTGTGCAGTATTAAGAATGAGTATAACTATAGAATTTACTTTTAAATTTAATTTATGAGTTAACATTCCAATAACATTCAATGATATAATCTCCTCAAATAATAGTCCCGATTTCATTAAATATAAAATTTGCAATTTATCGAAAACGAAAATAATTGAAATCGACATTGCAAAAGAAAAAGTACTAAATGTTTAAAATGATATATTTCTACAACAAATAGTCGGATTTCGATGATTTTTTTTGTATTTTGTAGGGAATTCGGAAAGCTTTTAAATAAATATTGATATTATCCATACAAAAGTGTGTACTTTTTGAGTTATTCGCAAATAAAATACTGAATTAATCATAAAAATTTATGCAGCTTGTTTCGGGAAAGCATGTTATATACATAAATTATTACATAAATTATAAAGGTTTCAAGGGGAAGACTTTAGCCAAGTTTCATTGAAATCGTTAAAGCCGTATTGGCGCTACAGTCTAAAGCGAATCACGTTTTTCGGCTGCCATTTCGAAAGGAAAGGTCTGATGATAATGAAACGTATACAGAAACACTTCTAAATATTATTGCGACGTTGTGTCAAAATTTAAAAGAAATCTGTGAAGAACTTTCGGAGATTAGCCGTTTTTAACAAACTACCATTTATATATTTATTTACAAACCATTTCATACTTTTATTTATTGACAACACTAAAGCTCGCCAATAGCTATTAAACAAAAAAAGAAGGAAGAAAATTGGTTGAATAATAGAGGAGTAAAAGGGGCTAAACCGTTTTGTGTTTGCCTATTTATATAATGATATAATATCTTATCTAGAGTTAATACTCTATGGTAAATATATTTGAGGTTGTAAACATATCCATGAAATATTTTTATGTTTCACTTCTTCTTTCACACAAGTACAATGAAATAGTATTTTAAACAATGGCATTGGCTTGAGTTGGTGGATTTTGAATTCTGAATAGATGAATTGATTTTGGACTCTTGGATAAAGAAGTAAGAGGTTCAATCTGGAAAAACTGAAGGTCCCTGACACCAGGACACAGTATATGGCACAGCTGGATGAAGACCTGTGCGCTCAAAGAACTAATGGTGACACTAACTTTAGGTGGAAAGTCTTTGCTCAGGCAATGGTGAAGAATGCGGAAAAGATTTTAGGATGGCAAGACAGAGAAATCCGATCCTGCTCCTGCTGTTTTGATGAGGAACGCGAAGCTGCTACGTACCAGAAGAACCAAGCATACAAGGCCATGGTTAATAAAGCGGCAAGGAGAAATGTTGAGGAATATTGACACGAAGAGAAAAGTATGCATCACAGAAGGAAAAGAAAGTGGGAGCAAGAGGAACTGGAGAAGACAGAAACATTTTTGGGAAATTCCGTGATTTTTATGGGAATATAAACAGAAGCCGAAAACCTACTCTAATGACTCTTATATCTGCAACGACCATGAGGGGAATCTGCTTTCTGACAAGCAGAGAGCCCTGTAGCAGTGGAGGCATCACTTCAATGATCTCCTCAATGAGCGACCCTTGGGAACATAATGAGGAATTAGGGAGAGAAGATCAGGACCACAGGGAGAAAGAAATAGATGAAGAGCCACCTTTCAAAGATGAGATCCTCGATGCCATCAACCGATTAAAATGTAACAAAGCTTTGGTTGCTGATAGACTCTCCGCAGAACTCATCAAGTGAACTGGTGAGGGATATGCAGGATCTCCACATCACCGTTTGGACAGATGAAATTTTATCAGACCCATGGACTAAGTCACTCATCTGTGCTATATTTAAGAAGGGCGATCGGCTAAAGTGCTCCAACTACAGAGGGATCTCTCTCCTGTCTACCGGATACAAACTCCTGTCAAACACCCTCTTCAAGCGTTTGCTGCCCCATGCAGAGAGGATGCTCGGCAGATACCAGTGCGGATTCAGAAAAGGGAGGTCCACGACCCATCAAATATTCTGCCTCAGAATGATTCTGGAGCGAGGAAGGGAATTCAAGATTAAAACTCACCATCTCTTCATTGATTTTAGAGCAACTTATGATAGCGTGAATAGGGAAAAATTGTATGAGGTTCTAAAGCATTTTAAGATTCCTAGCAAGCTCATAAGCCTCGTGAGGCTTACAATGAACAATGTAAGCTGCATGGTTCAGATCAGTGGAGAGAGATGGGAGGAATTCTCTCAATAAAGGGATTATGCCAGGGAGATGCCTTAGCCTGCCTTCTTTTTGATTTTGCACTCGAGAAAGCAGTGAGAGATGCTAGGATATAGACCAATGGCAACATCTTTAATAGATCTGTACAGCTCCTTGCGTATGCGGATGATATAGATATCATAGGACCTTTTCTTCCAGGCTGTATCGGACGCTTTCCTTGCTCTGATGGGTCCTGCGAGAAGATTTGGCTTGGAAGTCAATGCTGAAAAAACAAAATATATGGTTACAGGAGAGATGCCTAGACCTGGAAAGGAGGTGACTTTCGGGGAGTACCAATTCGAGAAGACTAATGTTTTTGTATATCTTGGCTCATTGGTAACTCAAGACAACGCACCTGAAAAAGAGATTCGGCGTAGGATCATAGCAGCAAATCGGTGCTATTTCGTTCCAGAGTAGAGATCTTTCCAGAAAATCGAAGCTTTGTCTTTATAAGACGATAGTGCATCCAGTCTTGCTGTATGGTTGTGAGACTTGGACTATCTCCTGGGCTTGTGAACAGGAACTCCTAGTCTTCGAAAGAAGAATCCTCAGATGCATATATGGTGGTGTTCTCATCTGAGGAGAGTGGAAAAGGAGGAAAAACCAGGAGCTGTACACCATGTTTAAGTAGTCCGATATAATTGCAAGAATGAGATGGACAGGACACGTCGTTAGGATGGGCCATGAGGATCCACCAAGGCAATTACTGATGGATCCAGTCCATGGTACCAGGAGAAGAGGAAGACCAAAGCTGCGATTGGCTGATGGTGTTGCAACAAATATGCTGGGGCTTCGGAATTGAATGGCAGCTGCAAGGGACTAAGACAACTGGCGGAAGCTGCAGGAGACCAGGATTCGATACCGGATTGTAGAGCCACGCTAACTAACTAACTAACTATTCAATCATCAAATTCTTTCAAAAGTTATATTTAGCATTTTTTTTTGTAACTTTTAATAATGAGAGATAGTTAATTATTTAAAATAAATCATAAGGGTATCATCATAAGGGTACTTTAGAGGAAGACACATATGAACATAGGGCATTTAAGCCCTGTAAAGTGACATCAACAGGGATAAGACCTAAATTAAAGACCACTTAATTATACAATGATATACCAAGTTAAATCAAAATCGTTAAGAGCCGTTTTGGAGAAAATTGTAAAAATGTGTTTTACCGTTGATATAAATTGGCACTTCTGGTTAGCCGATTTTAAGGGAAAAGTTGCTGTCACATCTAAGGCATATACCTATCTTAAATACGTAATATCAGTTTCATACGACTTTTCGTTTTTGAGCTAGATTGCTAACATACAAACACACAGACCATTTGTCGGGACTTGGTTATCTGGACTCAGGGTACTCCAAAATGTGTATTAACTTTGAAAACTCAGATTCAAAAATTTTCACGATAGCAATACTTACCCTTACTATATATTACATTTATACGTAAGTGAAAGTAAAAAAACAGTGTAATTAAAAATGGAACTTCTGTCTGATCTATAAGAAATTTTTTGTTAGTCTTAAAACATCACCTTCTTACATATTTACCATTATTTACAGAACAACTTTTTTATACTGTGAAGGTGAAAAAATGGTAAAATGCATAATATAATTGATAGATTTAGCACATCGACTGCCGTAGTACTTTTAAGGATTACAGTGTAATAAGCTAATTTAATTGAATCATACATATTGTTGTTGAGCTGGGGTGAATAAAAAAGAATTTTACCTTTTACTTTGTCTCATGTGCAGAATTATAAAACCATAAAAGAGATCTACCGGCTAAACTTGAACTTAAGCATCTTTATAAATTTAATTGTAAATCTAGAAAGAAGGAAGTCTTCGGGAATTTTGAGTGGTTACTAATAGATCAACATGCATTGCTATTTTGCAAATGTCAACCCTTCACATTTCTCACTTATTATCCAACTAACTGGTTCTAGCTGCTATATGACAAGCATTTGCATGGAGCTTTTGAATGTGATAGCTTGTCTGCCCCATCTAGCTGGTTTGTTTTAGTTTTCATCTCCTCTTTGAGTTGGACTTAATGTGGTTAACCATTATTATCTATTGGGACTTGATTTATACCCTACCATTTCACATTAGCTTCAACTCTCATAATTTCATCCATTTTCAACCAATGATTACAGCAAACATCTGATCGTCAATCTAGTCTAAGAGACATTCTTTTCGAATTGATATGGAGAGACAATTCCATCATTGCTGTAGATCTTCGAATGGCATGCTGGTATAAACTCTTGAAGAGCTAAGAAATAAAGTGTAGTAATAAGGACCTGAGTTTATTCCCATCCCCCTTCCCCTCGCTCCCCTTCATCTAAGGTTTTAATTTCTATTCATCAAGGGTTATGTACATTAAAGTTAAGAAGAGGATTAATTTTTACCATCAAAAGACTGTTGATAGTTGCTTAATGTTAATTTGTGTAGTTTAAAATATAAGTGGTAACCTTTTATTTTATTTATTTATTTATTTTTTTTTTATATTTTCTTAATGCATACAATTTGAGAATATTAAAGAAAAATACAGATTTGTCATAATATAATTTTAAATCCAATAACTTTATTCTTTCCTGCCCTTTTGAAAAAATCTCTTTTATTTTATGTAGTTCAGTCAGATAACACAATGATAGTATAACATAATCCAAAAGCAAATAGAATGTTTTTTTTTAATTTTTAAGAATTATCTCTTTGTTGGCTTAGATAACAGACATTTCTCAATTAATTTTTTATTAATGAAGAGAAGAATAGTTGGGGTGATCAGTCAAATAAGAAGACAAAAATAAATGATAATATTTATTTTGACATTTGCCGACGTTTCGACCTGAAGTTCAGGCCTTCATCAGGGCTGTCTCAATCAGTGTTGAAAGGAGAAGCCGCTTACTTACCTTAAATATATAATTTTAGTTTCATATGACTTTTCATTTTTGAACTACACTGTTCACAACATGTTTGTTAGACTTGGTTATTTGGACTCTGGAGAATTCAAAACATGTATTTCTGTTGAAAACTCGTATTTAAAATTTTTTATGATCACAATATATTCCACATATAAATTTTCATTTCCCTTGATATATATTTTGTATATGGGTAGGTGAAAGTAATGATTGATAATACTATTTTGCTGTACAGAAGAAAATATAGTTTTGTGGACCTTTTTGTGATGGTAGAATGGATTGTCTACTAGGTGATTATTCACAAAGAACTCTATATGATAGTTTCCAATGGAATTCATTATTTTTTCTCTACCATGTTGAGCAATGACTCCATGCCCACTTTGATGATTTCGGCCTGTTCTAACATTGAAGTCTCCAAGGATTGTAACTTTCCTGTAATTATCTCTGCATTAGGAAACTAAACTTTCCAAATTCATGTAGAAGCTCCTTTTCAACGACCATTGCGTCCTCAATTGGAGCATATGGCAGAATGAAGGAGATTTTTACTATAGTAAGCTGCAAAATAGCCAGAATAACACATGAGACTGGTTGCCAATATAAAGAAATGTAAGAATGTATTTAATGTCATTGCATAAGGAGAAGGCACGTATATTATCAGAGATTTTGTTGTATTTATGCACAGATAAATATTTACAAAGAATTAATATATTTTTCTTCCAATAAAGGACAGTTATTATTTTGATAATATGGGTGTAGAGATGGTTAGTTATTACAACACATACTTTTGAAACCAACAATAAATAGGTAGATTACAATCACTCAAAGAAATCTTGTGAAATATCTAAAGAAAACGAAATCTATTTAAATATCTGAGACTCACCCTATATGGGAGGGGAAACTTAGGATAAAATAGAAAGTTGGACCTAAAATTATAACTAAATTTAAAAAAAATAAATATATTTTTCCAGTTTTTGAATTTACGTGTATTTTATTAAATGCAAATAAAATGTTAATGACAACATATGTTTTTTATTGTTGGACTGATAGTAAGAGACAATGGAATTACAAAATATGAAAAATTGTGTGAAAGTGATAAAGTTTGGTAAATTCTTCCAATAATATTAGTATTATAAATCAACTATTACATATTAAAAAATAATCATTATTTATTAATATATGACATTGTATAGAGGACTTGAGAATGAGCCAATGAGACCTGAAATGGTGATTATGACATGAATAAAAAGAAGTCAACGGGTAATTTATTCCTTGAAAATACCTTAAATGATATTACATGAAAGTACCCTTGAAACATAGTACTTGTATTAGTAACAAAATATATATAAATAACTATTTAATTAATGTTAGGATTTCTGGCACTTCAACAAAGCCTTGTAATTTCTATAAAATTAAAAAATAAGTTTTCACTATTTTTAATAATTCTTCACAAATTACATCATAAAAAATAATTTATGATGATAAAAATATGTTTTTCTATCTTTATTTGTTTAAAGAATAAAGATTTCATATGAACTGAATACAAAATATGAGTGCATTTTCTTCAGCTTTAAAAATAAACTACAGAATGGGAGCATAAAAAAATAAATATGTAGATAACTTACTATGTAACATTTAAATTCTCAATTTAAAAATACAATTATGTTTTGAAAGATCCATAGATCATGTAAAATTGGAAACTAAAAAAAAAAAAAAAATAAAAAATAATAAATAGAAATAGGATTTTAAAAGACAAAACACAATAATGATAATAGTTTAAATCAGAGCTAATGCATGGGGATCAAATATTAAAAGGTAATACTAATATAAGAACAAACCTGGAGTCATCTTTAAGAGCATCCGTAATTTCTTTTATATCATCTTGTGTAATTGTGCCAGTAGGAGCTATGCTCCTGAAGTGGTAGAATAAATCAGCATTTTCTAATAGCAATTCCTAAAATAAAATAAACCATCACTAAAACAAATAATGAAGTTATGTTATTAACCTTTAATTGATTAATTCTACATATTTAATTGATATTTTAATATATATTTTATTGATCATATTTTAATTTATTGATTGATTAGTGGTACATACCGGATTGCACATTTTATTTATTTGAGTGTAAAAACTTCAAACCCGATAATCAATCCATTCCAAAATCTGTAGAACAACATATTCAAATTTAATATTGCACGAAATTACAAGCTTTGCTGTTTTTGGCCTAAGTTGCATGATTTTGATTTTTGTTGCATATAAATATATATGCGTGTTTAAATATTTAGCTTTTTACTATCTTGCCCATATTATATTCATAATTTAATATAGAAACATTTGAGGAAGGAAAATTATTTTGTGACAAGAAATGATTCGAATTTAACATTACAAAAGGTGGAAGTAAACACAAGTGAGGAATATTCCTGGAATATAACTTGCCTAAAGTATTGGATAACACATGGATTAATCACACAATTTTACATATTTTGGGTTTTTATTGCACAATTTTACACATTAGTTTTTTGCTGCACATTGTTCAGATTTTTAATTCACGGAGATCTGGTCTCTACTTATGGCATAAGAAGCATTAGAATCAGCATCAATCATCTCTAACTTTTTATCAACAATGAAGTAGTGAATTATTAGAATCTATTACTGAGGATGTGAAACCTGTTCTATAATTGTTAACACATTGTCACAGTCTAATCTAACAGGTAATAACATATCCAGCTGGCAAAAGTCTTTAACTGTTGAAGAACCTGGATGGTCAAGTCTCTAAACTCAGTGCTGAGTTTAAGAACATGCCCCATCCATCCTAACCATAATAATTTGTGTGCATAAAAATACAAATGTAAATAATATTGACATTGAACAAATATTTTCCTTTCTTTACTTTACAATGTTATGAATATCTAGTTATACGACACCATTAATTTCCATTTTTTTTTTTTTTTTGTATAATATACCAAAAAATACAGATGTAATCTCTCGCTCTATCTCAAAACAGTGCAAAAAAGTTCTGCCTCGCTAAATGTGATTGGGACTAAGCGAATTCTTCCTATTCATAATTGTTGTGCTGTATTTATGTGTTGCCCACATTTGGGTCATTCACAGGTTAGCACACATTTCCATTTAGCAAGAATGGTGTTGTGAAAAGGAAACAAACAAGAACCGATACAGATTGAAGAAGATGCCAGAGAGTGCCTTGGGGCAGCAATGGAGAAATTACCTATGGACCTATGTAAACAAAAAAATAAGAATTATATCAAATACTAATTGTGTTTTTATTGAAATGAGTAACTTAACATGTGATAGTTTTGAAAAATGATAATTTTTTAATTTAGACCTTTTTTGCACCTTTGTGATTTTAATACAAAAATACACATTCTGCAAGGAAATTAGGAAGAGCGATTTCAGCTATCAGATTCACTACGCCAAGCGTCCATGCACAGAGGGAACCTCCACAGCCCACACATCTAAAATGTCCTTAGGTTGTAGCCATGGCCCGGAGAAGAAGAGGGATTTCCTGGTCACATCTCATTGGCATTTTTGTCTATCTCTATCGGTTCTTTTCCCCTCTTTACAATACCGTTCCAGCTAAATGGAGAAGTGTGCTGCTCAGCCTATCCCCAAAATGTGGGCGATACATAAATGTAGCACAACAATAATGACTGAGAAGAATTCACATAGCCCCAATCACATTTAGCCAGACGGAACTTTTTTTACAGTGTTTCGAGTTAGAGTGAGAGGTAACATCTGTTTTTAGTAAATCTATAACAATTAAATGTAACATTTAAAACCTGCATGATTTACTCATTAAATTATAATAAAATTAACTGTTGGCTACAACAGCTTACATTACTATAGATTTATACCTTTTTTTTTAATCACAATTTAATTCATAAACAACAATAGTATCTACAAAATTTATCCAAATATAATCATACAGTCCATTTTCTTAATTACAAGGGAAGTTTGGTAATTTAAACACTTTTATTTATAGCAAAAGTGACCATGCTTTTTAAGCCACCATATTTATCACTTAATCTACTAACATAAATAACATTTAATCACTTTTACAATTCATTGCTGGATATTAATATAAATTATTAAGGCTTTTAACTAAAAACTGAAATTACATTCATTCTGTTAATAAAGAGAAAATATTAAGTATAAGTACTTGAAAGTTATGTTTTGCTTTATCCACAATATCTTTTTGATGACGATCATAAATCTGCTGGCATTCTTGTTCTGATAAATTTTCAAAACATTCTCTACCCATGAATAATACTCTAATTTCAGGAAGCAGTTTTCCAGGAGTGACATAACCTGTATCTTCAAGCAACTGTTTGAACTGTTTCTTCCATCTATGAAAAAGAATAAAAATTATTTATTAATACATTCTCATGGCTATAATAATAAAATACTAAAATTGGCAGCTATGGAGTGACTTTTTGACAAATTGGTAAATGATTTTTTATTTGAAATAAATAATATACATGACAAATACATGTAGGGGGAAAATAAAATATAAGTCTAAAAGATTTACAATTTTTAATAATATTTAAGCTTTATACATCACAATACCTCAATAAACTCTTCCAATATATTAAATATATGTTGGAATAAGTCTAGAAAAATTATTTTGAGCTTTGAATTTAAGCAATAAAATAATTTTGATTTGAAAATTAACTCTATTAGTTTGTCCAGTTTGTTAAAACAATTAGAAATTTCTTCTGGACAGAATCATTAAATGAAATCCTAACAAAACTGATCCAAAAGGTTACCAGGGACAAATCATCATTAAGTTAAATCAATAACTAATATTTAAAGCATAACTTGATGAACATAAAACTTTTAATCATTAATATGTTCTAAAAAATGTAATATCAATTAATTAAATTAATGGGCAATGGAGAAATGCAAACTAATGCAAATCTGAAGCTGAAAAAGTTATTACTATAAAGAGTACAAAAAAATTAACATAAACATTTCACACTTGCTCCTGTTCTTTTTCCAAGTCTTTAAGAACACATTTAAGAAGTCTGCATAATGAAAGGCTAATATGGTGTCGTTAAAAATCTATATACTTACACAGTGGAACCTCCATTATTGAGGATAAAATGGTAAATCCACTTTTCAGGGCTCTATAGAAAATCCTGGATAATCAATTTTTTGACTATGCAATAATTAAAAGGATGATAAAGAAGAAATATAAAAATATTATATTTAATATTAGTAAAAAGTATATTCATTGAATTATATATATTCGCTGTTCACATTTTTATTTATGTAATTACAGGGTGATCTTGATAATCTATAACCAAACAACAAAGAAAAAAAGTTAAAAGTTGACTGACGAAAGATCGAACGGAAAATGGCTCTGTTTCTCAGTACATATTACTAGAATTGCTTCATGCGCCAGTGTCAAAATCGTATTGGGATGTCTCTGAATAGAAAACATTCAAACTAGCCGATCATCCAGAAGTTGAGGAATCTTTATGTGTGGTTTTTGCGGCAGATATCACACGGGTCCAATTTCTGAGGACATATTAGCTGAAAACGAAAAGCTTTTCTTTTTTCTGGAAAGTAGTATGTTATTCTTTGTTATTTGGCAATGATGACTTCCAATTAATAACAATTGAATTTATTTGTTTTATTTTCAAATTGCATGTTGACAAGTTAACGTTATAAGTTTTTCTTTAATAATTATTTAGGAAGGATGACAAAGCAGATTTTAATGCCAGTAAGGTTGGCTTGATAATTTCAAAAGCTGGTATGGTAACGTTTTTTATATTAATTTTTATTTTACTGGAAAATTTCTTTACATCTATTCTATTTTTCATTATAGATTTGTCATAAAAATGTGTTTACATTGTTTTTTTGATTTGTTATGCAATGTGTTTACATTGTTTTTTTTATTTGTTATGCAATGTTTTTACATTAGGAGGACTGGAAAGTAATGTAGTGTTCTTACATTGAATTCAAACACATAAATTTCACACAAGTTCTTATTTTTAATCATTGATGGAATCACCCTCATTGTCAACAACCTTTTGCCATCTAGTGTGTAAATATTCAATGCAGGATCAATAAAAATCAAATTGGTTTTTGAGCAAAATATATAGAAATGGCATTTTGGACATAATTCAAATTTGCAAACCTTTTGCCACTTAGAAAGTGTTGAAACGATCTGAAGAAATGGAAATCCTATTGTGCAACATTGAACGAGTATAGTGGATGAGGCAGTACCTCCCACCTCCTATTGATTAATTTTTTCCAGGGTTCCTCTTACGCAGTGCGATCTTGTATTTTCTACTTGCAGATTAACACCTTTTCTGTAGACAATTGCTGGCCACTTTTCAATTAAAAATTGATTAACATGATCCAATGGTTCACAATAAAGATCTGCATTCACAGTTTGTCCAGGTATCAAAATGAGCAATGCTGGGAATACTCCACCAAACACATAAAATGGAGTTTTTGGGGTTCGGCCAAGCACATAAGCTGGCTTAGCAGAACTTTGTGGCGATTCTTTTGGAGAGAGCCACTGCCTTTTGGATTATCATACAGGATCCATTATTCATCTCTGGTGGTTAAGTGATCAAAAAACGCTTCTGTATTGTGCAATTGAAGCAATAAGTAGCATATGGTGGTTTCCCAATCTCCTGCAAATGTTCTTGGATGGTCGACCATGGTTGTTTAAGACTGTTTGACGATTCCTCGATTGTGTGACAAGAATTTGCTTCCACATCCACCCTTAACACATCATTGTCTAACATTGTTGATCTTTCTGATCGATAGGAGTTGGAAAGATCAAGATTACCAGATTTGAACTTGAAAAACCACCTTTGGCATGAACGTTTAATGCATTTGGATAAACACTGCAAATGTTTTTGGTAGCAACTGTTGCGTTACTACCCTTGTGAAATTCAAAAAGGAATGCAATACCGGATATGTATGTCTTCTGGTATTTGGCTGGCCATTTCACCAAAAATTGTAGCAAAAACAATTTTATTTTTTGCAACTAAAGATGTCACATGTCACTATAACCTTAGAATATTTTTTTTATAACCATATATACGCAATGAGCTGCCAAATGGACAATCAAATAGTGAGATGCACAGAAACGACATTACTTCATGGACCCCCTGATATTTAACTGACAATACATATATTTACGTTACCTGCGTATTTTTTTCATCTATTTAAATTTAACCTTTGGTAATCCAAACAGGCCATGCAATCTATGTTTTTGGGTTATCAATACCGTCCTGTACATAAATAATTTTTCATCACGGATTTTTTTTTTTGTTTTGTTTATATTTTATATTTTTATTTTCCTTATTTCCTCTATAATGATGATTTTGTTATAATTCTGTATTATTCTGTTCAAAATAATTCAACAAAAGTTTTGATGTTTCATTGTTTTATCTATTTCCATTATCGTGTAAAAGAATAACTATAAAAGGGAATCATTTATGTTTCAATTATTGACTCATTGAAAGTATGTACGTATCTTTAAATCACAATGTAAAAATTGTTAGATTAATCTACACTTCGAGCTAGTAAGAACAATCACAAGAAAAACTTTTAATCTTTGTTCCCTTAAAAGACCTAGGCTTTCATTCCTTTCCAACAGCTACTAATTTAAACAGATATGATCCTGATGCATGGGAAGAAATCATAACAAAGTTTTTCTTTCTTCAATTTGTGATGAATAGCAGACTTTTCCAACAGAGACACACAATAATGTTTAAAAGGCATAATTTTGTGAAATAATAGATTTTTCTGCATTGTAAGTTTTTATTAGTTGCTAAATTTTATTTCTTATCCTGCAAATAGAAATTTTCATAAAATCCAGTGATTAAACAAAATCAGCACTATAAATCTAACTGCTTAATACCATATTATAATACCATACACATTAAGCTTAGCAGACAGAAAATGTTCATTTTTTAAAATAAAACAATAGAACTTTTCACTAGCCATTGGCCCAAAAATAGGAACTTTTTCAGGGCATTTTTTTTCGAACCAACGAAAAATAGCATAATCGATTTCAGTTATAGTCAAAGTTTTCATTGTTTTTTCGGATGAAGAAGAAACTACTATTTCAGCCAATAAAGAAAATTTTTTCCCTTTACCATACAGTGAAAAACTTGTTCACCAACTCGAAATTTTATGGACACTTTTTTCAAATTGGAAGAAATATTTTTAAATTGGTGAAAAAAGTGTGAATGGAAGATCATTGTAACAAGAATCTGATTTGCATTAACTGATTTAACTTTTAAAAAATCTCTCAAGATGGCAAAACATTAAAAATTCTAAGAAAACAACACTTATCTTTTACTTGAGGTAATTGATAAAAAAAAAAAAAAAAAATAGAGTGGGCTTAGGATTGTTATTTGGATTCCTAGATTGTAAATACCCTGGATAATGGAAGTTCCACTATATATCTGTTCAAACTAGAAGTAAGTTATATAAAAAAACTGTCAAATATATTAAAATTTGTCTCAGATGCCTCTTCAGAGGCAATGACAAGAAAAAAGTCTACCCATTGCATTATGAAGCTAATTTGAGAAAAATGCTTTGGAAACAATTCATTTGAGTGATGAACGAATTTCAGCAGAGCACATCAAAAATAACTTGGAGATAAAGCAAGATTACAGTCTAATTTTACAATTTGAAATTATAAGAAGAGAATAATCTTAAAGAAAATATTATCCATCAGATAATGAAAAGTCTTTTTTATATTCGAATAAAACTAAATACGATAAAATTCACTGAAATCCACATTCTTTAAATTAAACTTCAAATAACAATACTCAATTTTAACTTCAAGCAACAATTCAAAAATTTACCTTCAAGCAACAATTCTCAAATTTAACTTCAAGCAACAATACCATGCTGTTCACAGTATGACAAATATGATTTTGTGACTTTCAATCAGAAATTATTGACACAAAAGAAAAAAAAAAAAGTAATAACTTTTTGTTTCTAGAAATAAAATTTAAGACTAGTAACGTATAATTGATTATATTTACTTGGTTCCAAATTTATAACAAACTACATGAATTAATTTTACATATATAAAAATGTTTAATTTTATTAAAAGTTTTTATGACTTTTTCCCCCTCGCTTTCCATTAGTCCTTGTACTTTTCTTCAAGCATAAAATTCAAAACCAAAGCAAAATATTATTGAACCAGATTAATGGTATGACAATAACAAATTAACTCAATTTATTATATATGAAGCCGACATATCATCAAACTTACTGTTCTAGGAGAAGATTCATACATTTTCAACACAAGTGGTTAAAACATCATTTTAAAGTTTTAACATTTTTGTAAGGCAATGTAGTATTAAAAGTATATTTAAAAGGTTTTCATAATTTAAAAAATGACAATACACTATAATTACAGCAACAGAGAATAAAATCAACTTATTATGTAATAGAAATGAATTGTAAAAACTACAAAAATAAAATGATGAATGTATTCTTGACCCACATGTAACCCATTTGAATATCACTGTAACCCAAAATAATTTCATGAACTAACTCAAAATCAATATATTCAACCAATTACAACAAAAGTAAATTTTTTAACTCACCATTCTTATTTTTATCAAACAATTAATAAGTAACTTATTAAATACACACACACACACACACATATATATGTATAAAATAACATATAATTACTAACAAAACAATATTTCATGATTAAGAGAATAATATATTACAATTTATTAGTTTATTTTTAAATAGTTTGATCATTCATTTCTGAAAAAGCTGATTTTTCCACAAAATAATAATCACAAAAGAATTACATAACATAAAAAAGAAAGAAAAGATTTTTGGATTATTGTGGTCTTAGTCAAGCAGCATATTACTAAAGTTTGTCAAGAAGAAATGTTAGTATAGTATTAAACAATTGTTGAAAAAAATATGGTCAATACTTATTAATACATCTGTTGAATTAAAATGATTTAATAAATAAATAGGATAATACACAGTGTATCACAAGCAGATGACAATATGCATGGCACCAAATGACCTTCTCAAGTGCAAAAGGAAATTTTTACTATCAAATCCAAAAACGTTTTTTATTTGAGAGAAAGTGGACCTTGATATTTTCTCAAAAACATTTATTAAAAAAATTAAAACAATGATATATCATTTTCCTGCTAGGATAAAATAAAATATGACCATGAACTCATATTCTACATTAAATTTTCTGTGAGAAGCCAATGTTTAACATAGAAAATCTAAATGATGATAAAATTAAATCAATTAAACGTAAAATAAAAATTGAATACTTGATGGCTGACCATTGTTTATTACTGCGTAGTAAGGAGATGGTCCAGGGTGGTGGTCTTTAAAATACATACACACATATACGTTTTTTATTTGAGAGAAAGTGGACATTTATATTTTCTCAAAAACATTTATTAAAAATTAAAACAATGATATATCATTTTCCTGCTGGGATAAAGTAAAATCTGACAATGGACTCATATCTTACATTAAAGTTCCTATGAGCAGCCAATGTTTAACATAGAAAATCTAAATGGTCAAAAAAAATTGTTTTCAATTTTTAAAAATTTTTATTTGGCTTTAACTTTCGGAATTATGTATGAACCATCTTCACCTATAGTTTTGCCACGAAACACTCTTGAGAAATCATACTTCCTCATTGATACAGTTTTAACCACATGAGAGATTATGGCATATAAATGATATTTTTGTGTAGTTTAACACCCTTTATTCTTTCCTGAGTACATAGAATTATTCAAATTTGATAGTATTATTTTATGATAAACTGTTCGAAAACCTACACATCTCATAATAAAAAATAATCCTGTGTTCTATCTCATTCTATAGAAGATCTAAGAACCGATTTGCATTCAACCAATCAGGTATGACAATTTGCACCTGACAATTGACAGGTATGACATGCCACCCCAAAATATTCAAAATATACACTGAGCTAATGCTGAAACATTGAACTGGAATTCCCTCACACTATCTAGATTATCAAGAAGTGATAATTTTGTGAATCAAATATTCCAGCATGCATTAATGTAGTCTCATCAGTCCACATGTCTCATCTAGGAAAATGTCCTGTGGCCATGATAATATTGTAAAAATTGAAATTCCATCCTTGATTCCAGATTACTAGGTGTCAGCTCCTGTATGGTATAAGGTGATAAGGATATGGATCTAAAAACCATACTGTGAGATGTACCTATTAGATTTGCAATACCGTGGGTAGTTGTAGTTGGGTCATTGTTTAAACTATACAATATATCTAGTAAGTTTCACCTGGAGATGGGCATATTTATATTCAAAAATATAAATACGAATACCATTTATATTTATGGTACTAATGAATATATATATGAATATATTTATATTCATAAAAAGAAATATTAATACAGATGATAAGTATTCGCAGCTGTAAATATAAATACGGCCGTATTCACGATTGTAAAAGTGAATACGACTGTATTTACACTGGTAAAAGTGAATAAGGGAGTATTCATGTTTATTAAAATGAACACTTATATTTACAGAAGTTAATGAAAATATTTTCACACAACCTTATTAGTGAATACTCTTATTTATTAAAAAAATATATATTTATAAAATTATTTATTAAAAAAATATATTCTATATATATATATATTTTTTATATAGGATTATATTTTCCTTTTACAATATGTTATGTTAATTATGTTACAATGTATTATGTTGTATTAATTATCACTCGTTGTGTTTGTACGTAATATAAATTCCCGAGTCTTTGTATTTACACTTGTAAAATTGAATACGGTATGGCAGTATTCACATTTATTAAAATGAATACACTTAAATTTACAGAAGTGAATGCAAATATTTTCATACAACCTAATTACTGAATACTCTCATTGATTAAAAAAATATATATTTATTAAATTATTTCTTAAAAAAAAAGAGTATTCACTAATAAGGTTGTGTGAAAATATTTTCATTCACTACAGTAAATTTAAGAATATTCATTTTAGTAAACGTGAATACTCCCGTATTCACTTTTACTAGTGTAAATACAGCTGTATTCACTTTCCAATCGTGAATACGGCCGTATTTATATTTACAGCCGTGAATACTTATCATCTAAGTATTCACGGGTGTAAATATAAATACAGCTGTATTCACTTTACAATCGTGAATACGGCCATATTTATATTTACAGCCGTGAATACTTATCATCTGTATTAATATTTCTTTTTATGAATATATATATATATTATATATATATAATAAATATATTCACATTTATATTCATCAGTATCATACATATAAATGGTATTCGTATTTATTTTTTTGAATATACCCATCTCTGGTTTCACCTACGTCAACCAAAAGGTTGTCTTGAAACTGATCTGGTTTCCCTCATAACCATAATCCAATAAGCATTTTCTATCATTCTCTGAATAGGAAATCTTTGACGATCAGAGAATTAATTTTGAAATTTTTGTTCTGCCAGCAGACCATTGCCTCTGGCAGCAATAAAGATATTTGTTATTGATCAGTTCGATCTTTAAACTGTTTCCATTGTTCATTGTTGATGTTCAGTTGGATCGATGGTATCAGTATTATCTTTTGTAGTTATTTTAATAAAATAACATAAAAATGAATTGAGAAATTGGAAAGGCCCCAACAAAGAAATAAAATATTTGAAGACATAGACATCTATTTAAAAAGAAATCTATGTTTTTCAAAATTAAAGTTGCCATAATTTCACATATGGTTAAGACTTCGTCAATGAGGAAGTAGGATTGCTCAATAGTGCTTCTTGGCACAACTATTTGTGAAGATGGTGTATAATACCAGATGTTGATAAGAAAGTTAAAGCCAAATGAAAATTTTAAAAAATTGAAAACACATAATTTTTATTTTATTGTGTAAGGAGATGGTAAGGGATGGCGGTCATAAAAAGAGTGAAAAACTATTTTTATGACTGCCACCCTGAACCATCTCCTTACTCAGTAATAAACAAGGGTCAACCATCAAGTATTTAATTTTTATTTTACTTTTAATTGATTTAATTTTATCACCATTTAGATTTTCTATGTTAAACATTGGCTTTTCACAGAAAATTTATTGTACAATATGAGTCCATGGTCAGATTTTACTTTATCCCAGCAGGAAAATGATATATCCTTGTTTTGATTTAAAAAATATATTTTTGAGAAAAAATAAATGTCCATTTTCTCTCAAATAAAAATTGTTTTCAGATTTGCTAGTAAAAATTTCCTTTTGCTCTTGAGCAGTCCTGCTTGTCATACACTCATCTGCTTGTGATACACTCCATATGTTTTTTGGTATAAAAATTTATCTGACTTCATTACCTGTAGGGTAAACCAGATTTCAGATGTAATAGATGGTGCATAATAATACATACAGAAGACTCTCCCATATCCATATTAATATGGGCTGGGGTGATTCGAATATGGTAGAGTGTCTACGATATAGATATAAGAAATACAGAAAAATGTTAGTAATTATATATTTTTTATTTTATAAAAATAGTGGAGTGGGGGAGAGAAAACCATTGGTCTTTATAGTCACATTTTGGACAAAGCAAAGTATTTTCTTTCATTCAAGTAGCTGAAATGAATATTATTATTAGCAATAAAACATGCAGTTGTCATCAATAATTAAACTTTGGACAGCCTATTGCAACACCAACCCAAAAACTATGGATTGTTATCTTATGCATCAGATTCACTTATCAAATATTTTTTATAAACCAAACCAAACAAAAATAAATAAATTCATTAAATAAGTTCTCTCTACACATAAATGATATTTTTAAAAAAATCTAAATTATGTCATTAAAATACTTTTAAAATGACTAACACACTAAGCAGTGTATGGAATGACCCAGAGCAAGGATATACATTATTATTATTATTTTTTTTTTACAAAGGTAAAAAAAATAATAGATGAACTGACTCTGATTTCTTTTGTTCTTGTTGAAATGCAAGAACATGGGTTTTAAACACTGTTTCAGCTTCGCTTGTTTCTAAAATATTGGCAGGTAACCTTCTTTCCCGACTATCTCCAGGTGTGTTCCAGTCTGTTTCATTCCAAGATGATTCTTCTCCTGATTTATAAAAGTGGTTATTGAAATCTGGATGGTCTTTAATATGTTGTAATACAACAGGCCAGTCACTAGACATTACAAAATACATATATCAGCTCATAAATAATTATTTTATAGAATTTTTATGATTTTTAGCATACCAATCTTGAAGGAGAGATATATCAGGAACCAACTCTTGTAAAACATCAGGAAGAATTTCAATACAACTTTGTACCTTCTTTGCAAAATGATCATCCTTCAGCTTTTTTACATGGCGCCTGAAAATTCGTTGAGTGTTTGCACTGCCAAACTCGTGCGTAAACTTTAACAAATCCTCATGTTTAGCAAATTTTTTGTAAGTTTGGCTCCACATAGACTGATGATCAGTTATCTAAACAAAGAATATACTCCTAATAAGCTATAAATTTAAAATAGTCATTCAAATGAAAAAAATCAAGATTTGGACCTTTCTAAGCTAATGTGTCAGGTGGCGAAGAAGCCAGTGGAGAAAATTTTATAATCCCATAAAATTATGTCTAAAAATTTACATTTTTAGATTTCAAAACAAACTCGTATTTTACAGTTTTAGTGGACTCTAAAAACGAATCTGAATCATTTTTTCATGAAAAAAATTTACTTGGCCTACTTTACTGGAAGCCTCTATGAGTTTTTATTATACCTTATAATTGGTTTAATACAATTAACAAAATGTTTTAATTATTTTACACAAAAAAAAAAAAAAATTGGTTGATATATAGTAACTTATAAATCCATGCAGAGCAAAATTAGAAAACAGTAACATAAAAAAAACAATAAAATTTTATAAAGCTTCTTTTTCTCGGCTCCTAGGACGCATTGGCAAGAACCCCCGACATGGGTCGAATATTTTTCAACTTAATATCACCAAAAAAAGTTTCATTGAAATCGGTGACCCCACGTTCGTAACTTGGATCTTAATTCCAGCCTTAAGCATTAGAATTTTTCAAAGTTCATGACCTCAAATTTTAACCAAAAATTATCAATATGGTTGTTGAGTAGAAACAAGTATGTCAAGGATTTATCAATAAATAACTGTCCATTTCTTGTTTTTTCCCATACAAGAGAAATTCCTGTGCAATATCTGATTTTCAAGGAATTCCAAGTAGCAGGTCACTCTGTTAACCTTTGGTATGAATATCATTCCAAATGTCCTCTTACAAGCTTTTAAAAAGAAAGTGGGAGCTCAGTCTGATGACAGAAAGCAGCTATACTACAGCATGAAAGCGACCAGGCTGGACTAAGATTTACTGAGTGTTTCCAAGAGATGCGTGTTTCAAGATTTGGTAACCTGTTAATAGTCAGCAATCCAAGCTTATTTCTTGGCAACAAATTTAGAAACTGATAAAACTGGATACAGATCCCAAATAATTGACTACTATAATGAAGAAACCCCACACATTCAAGTCTCTTCTTAACTTATCACTGATCAGGTGAAGCAGATATTCAGCAAGAAATTTCTAACAATGGCTGAAATACATGGCATAAAAGAGAAGGTAGCATGCAGGCTAAACCTGAACCTCACTCAGAATATAAGGCCATCACAACCACAAATCATAGAGGCTCTCCCTTACGTGAACCAGGAAGAGCCTTTAGATACTATGGAGGACATGGTGAACTCAAATAATATGGAACAAGCTAGCATCCGTTCCAGTTTAATTACAGAACATTAATAATGCCAAGGTATTCCCCTCGAGAGTCGTCCCATCATCCCTAAGGTACCATATTCTAAAGCAACATCAGTGGATAATCTGTTGCAAGAATATATTGCAGCTGATTGTGACATGGATGAAAGCAGGTACTGGATATATATAGCAACAAGGTCCATTGTAAAACAACTGAGAATATTAAGAGAAGTGGATCCTGCAAAAGGAAAGAATATTTCTACTGTTAAGAATTTTGATCCACCTTGGAGGAGAAGGTTGAAGCATAAAATTGAGGATTTGAGCAGGAAAATTGAGGTTCTCACCAACTAACTCAATAATCCTGAGAGAACATCAGCAAAATTGAAGACTGATTGATAAGCTCATTGTGAAACACATAGGTTCCGTCAATAGATCTGAACTCAATATCAAGCTCTCAGAACTCATGAAACAAAAACTTGTAGTTTATGCTAACATTAGATAATCTTCTGTAATTGAATACAAAGGAAGACTCATTTTCTTTGTCACACCCTGAGGAGTCAGCTTTTTCCAGTTATTAGGAAAACATTTGGAGCAGTTCAAAAAACTTTAATTAGAATGCTTTCTGGCTTAGTAATTTGCATAATGAAACAAAGGATGTTCCTATCATGCAATGAAAATTAATGCCGATGATGTACAAGAATCTATCAAGTGTGTACAGAACTGAAAAGCACCGGGGTAAGATAAAATTCAAAACTATTGGCTCAAACACTTAAAATTTTCTATAGACCATTGGCCTCTCACTATCAGAAACTGTTGTGCAATTCAGTCATACCTCCAAAGGACTTCTACTTAGGAAAGACACACTTGATTCCAAAACAAAGAAAAGAATCTCCAGAACTGAAAGACTATCGACCAATAACATTTCCTAATGGAGTTTACATGCTTTTGACATCCATAATCAGTAATAAACTAATGGGAAATGTACAAAAGAACAACCTTATGACACAGGAGCAGATTGGTTGTAAGTGAAACTTTAAGGGATGTAAAGAGCTTCTTATTGTCGATTCGTTCATAGCCTGTCAAGTATCAAAAAAGGTGTGCAATATATCTCTTTCGTTGATTGACTATCAGAAAGCATCTGACTCAGTCCCTCATGACTGGTTGATTGAAGTACTTAAGATTTTTAAGGTCGATCAAGAAGCATTGCAACGACTTATGAAGCTATGGGAAGTATTATCAACTAAAAAGAATCCCGTCGTCTCAGAGAACATTCGCATAAAAAGAGGAATATTTCAGGAGGATTCATTAAACCCTTTATGGTTCTGCCTCACAATTAATCCTCTAAGCTCTATTTTAAATCATACTGGAAAAGGTTATTCTCTGAATCAGGAAACAATAATTTCTCATTATTTTTATATGGATGACTTAAAGCTCTATGCAAAGAATAAGAGAGACATGAGAACTCTTCTTGAATTGGTAAGGTCATTCACTGAAGATAATGGGATGAAGTTAGGAATAGATAAATGTGCAGCACTTAATGTCCACAGAGGAAGATATAAGGATTCAACTAATATTGAACTTAATAATAGTGGTGTCATCTAGCAACTTCAGGTAACTGACTCCTACAAATAGCTGCTTCTTTGACATCTCACAGCTGCTTAAAATAAAAAAAGAGGTCAAAGAAATCTCTGAAGAGGAATTTAAGAAATGGGTCAGGATACTCCTAAAAACTAATTTGTTAGCAGAAGATTTGGCAAAAGCTTTGAATACCTGGGTGATTCCTGCGGTTACATATTCATTTGGAGTTATAAAATGGTGCGACACGAATTTGGAAAAGATGGACCGCTTCTTAAGAACTCAGATGGTAAAATCACGGCAACTTCACCCAAATTCTTCAGTGCAAAGGCTATATTTACCCAGAAAACATGGCAGTAGGGGGCTTCTTAGTCTGTTAAAGGCCTGCCGCGAACAAGAAGCAAAGCTGAGGAACTATTTCATGAACAGTAGTTCACTGCTGATGTCGACTACTGCCCTGGGCCTTAACTATACAACCCTGAATATGCTTTATCAAGAACAAACTAAGTTAACTGAAGATAGCCTCACTGAATCAATTAATAACAGTATTCATGGCAGAACACGGTACATAGCATATATATAATATTTTCAAAAAATAGCAAAGATGATCCTGTCGGAGCTGAAAAGACAAATTGAATATTTGTGTGTAAAATAGAATGTTTTCCCTTACACATTCGATTAAGAATTCTTCCATATCCATAGCATATTTTAACTGAACCAAAATAAAATAATTTGAGAGGTTGTGCAGTGAAAATGATCGGGAAAAAAGGATGACGCTGAGGCCTGACAGTTGTGTGACAGTGGTGAGTAGGTGTGGTGGAGGAAGCAGAATCAAGCAGAGTCAGCTTCCAAAAGCTGACCCTTGCTACGCTGCTCAGCTCAGCTCCTGGTGGCTGGCCTCTCATTGAAAACTTTTGTTCGATTTTGGAAGCTGATTCAGCTTTGCTCCACTGCGCTTTTGGTGGTCGGTCGGCCTTACGCTGGGAGCTTCACAAAATTCAGAATGCAGTAATACTGGGAACCGCCTAATTTGGGAACCGGGGAATTAAATATTCAATGAACTGTAACCTTGACCTCAGTCCGGGTCAGTGAATTTATCTGGCATAAAGCCGAAAAATAAAAAAAATATAAACAATTATAAGTTTATTTAATGATATTTACAATTTACAATAAGTACATAATAATCGGTCATGTTTTTGTGTAAAACATTTCACACTACAGTAGTAAGTAAATATTTAGTTTGGCATAAAGGTAGATTTTTTTTCAATATTAAAAACTGGGTATTCATAAGATATTAAAAAATTATAGAAAGATACAGCGATTTTTTCGAAGACTTTTTCATACCACTGTATTAAAATTTATATATTTTAAGAAATCCTTCCATCAACGCTGATCTTGTCAATTGGCTGATCTAAGAATTTGATTAAAATAAGTTAATTCTTATAAAGAAAGTAAATATGAAAAAAAAAAAATCCACCATAATACCTGAGAACGGATGAGAGATTGAAATGCTTCTGTTGTTACATCTAAATGTTCTTTACGTGCACGAGCAGCTTCTGCATATGAACAAATTTTTATTCTCCCTTTGTTTCGATCAATTAGTTGGGCCAAAGTAATAAATGCAAGATCAACATTAATGTTTTCATGAGCAGATGTCTCAATAACTGGAATGAGACCTTTGTATTCCTTTCTTGCCACAATTTTTTCTACTTCTTTGATATACATCTCACTTCCATCATCATTTTTTGTGGTTACCTACAAAAAAAGATCAATAAAATAGAATTAGTAATAGGACCACTGAATGATTAGTATAAACCTCCGTCTCTGTCTCTGTGTATGTCTGTATTTGTCTCCCTCCCCTCCCTCCATGAAATGACATTTATGAGGAATTGATCAGGGGGTACAGTCAAATAAATACTAACTTAAAGAAATAGTATTATTTAATTATTATGCCGACGTTTTGACCCACCTTGCAGATCTTCATCAGGGCTACAAAAGATACAAAATATAAAAGGTACATGGTGAAAATAACATAAATGAATAATAAGTAGATATTAAATAAGAAAAAGGTGTCTAATAAAGAAATAATAAGATGATATCAGAGATATAGATATGGTGGGTCGAAAAGTCGGCATAATAATTAAATAATACTATTTCTTTAATTTAGTATTTATTTGAACGCACCCCCCGATCAACTCCTTCTCATATTATATCACGGTCAACCATCTGTACATCGAAATGACATTTAAATCAAATAAGTTGAATTTGAAAATCACTGCCAGAAATCATTTCTCTTATTTGATATTTTTACTATGATTATTTATTATTTAAATCATTAAGTAAAAAAAAAAAAACTTTTAAACAAGCTAAATATTAACGAGTTTATAATTGTATATATGTAAATACTAGCTGGTATTAGACAGACAGTTATATTGTTGGTTACAAGTTCTTATTTATGTAAACACATAAGTAATAACTTGTAATTTAATTTGTAATTTTCACACATTGTTAAGATAGACGAAGATAATTATGAACTGATGGAAATTTCTGAAGACAAACATTCATAATTCAATTTACCAGAAGGTTATAGGAATTTACATCACAAGGTATTGTTAGTTAAATCTACTATTATATTTGCTGTTTCCGCAATCAGACCAGTAAATGGGTATGGTAAAGTAGGAATCAAAATATATGAAGATACTAGGAAGGTGTATTTTGATGAAAATGATAACATTTGTTTTCATAACATTCCATTAAACTCCACCAACTTTCCTCTCGAACGGAGTTGCAGGTCTCAAGCCCTGGTAAAGCAGGAGGGGCCCCATTGCAGCCAGAATGGGTGCACCTTATTGGAAAACGTCTTTGGTCAGTATCAGCAGTTTTACACCTATGATATGCAGTAGTGGGGGAGCTGGCCAGACAGCTCTGAAGAAGCAGCCCTTCTATTTGGCTTTAGGAGCAATGGGCTCATAACTCGCTCTCCCGAGACAAAACAAACTATGAAAAGTTCAGAAAGAAATAGAGCTGATCAGACTTTATGGCAACAGACATGGCGCAGGGAACGGATAACACGAATGGGTACATGGAACGTTAAAGGCTTAAATGGGAAAAAAGTAGAATTGGTCGAAGAGAAGAAAAGAGTGAGGTTAGCCATCCTAGGAATAACAGAAACTAAGAAGAAAGGCAAAGGAGAACAGAGGATAGGAGACCACATATTATTATATACCGGAGTCAATCCAGGAGAACATGAATTTTACCAAAACTTGTAAAGGACTGGAAAGCTGTTAGTGACAGACTCATGCGAGTAGAAGTATGTAGCAGAGATGTCTCATACCTTCTACTAATAGCCTAAGGACCAAATGATAATGCAACTAGTCTTGAAAAGAAAGCATTTTTCAACTCTGTCCAACATGAGATCGATATATGCAAAGGAATACCTATAATTATGGGGGATCTAAATGGAAGAGTAGGGAAGGATGTGATCAGATGGAGTGGCGCTTTGGGAACAGATGATGAGGAAAGATGTAACCATAACGGCAAAAGAATTCTTAACTTCTGTCTTGCAAATGATATCCTAGTTGGAAACAGCTTCTTCTCACACAAAATGATCCACAAATATGCCAGAGAGGAACCAAGTCGAAATGAAAGGTCTATTATTGACTATTTTCTAATACTACAAGACCAAAGAAAATACATAGTAGACAAAAGAGGCTACAAGAACCACAACAGGACCGTCAAACCAGACACCTATGTTTAAAATAAAATAATAATAGAAAAATATAGACATATATTGACTAAAAGAAATTTGAATTTGGTAGAATGAAATCAAGAGAAGCTGAAATAAAGTTAGAAAGACAAGAATGCTTATTACTTTACGGGCGTATAAACGTTCTATTCCAGATGAATAAGAGATAAAGATGGAAATTAAAAATTTACTAGAAGCTGATCTTATTGAGGGGTCGGATTCATCATTTACATCACCAGTAACCCTTGCATTTATTTCAAGTTGTGTAAAAAAAATTATGTGATTTTCTATGTAGTCACCTTTAAGTACCATACAGTGTTTTCAGCAAAAATTACTACAAAGAACTATTGCAAAGCTTTTATTTATTGTTTTTCTGTGATATGGGATGTATTTTTATAAACATAATTGATTAAGTACACATTTTATTTATAAAAATAAAAATTATGATTTTTCATATACTTTTAATGTAAAGTGGTTATAAAACTGTGTTTTTCTAACACATCTCTGTCATAGGCATTGATCTGTATTTGTAAGTGACAGATGTAATGTTTCTTACTAAAATTAACGTTTAAAATAAAGAAACTTACTGATGTGCTTCAATTATTTTCATGATAACGTAACTATTAGGGCTAGAAATATTATGATTGCCACTTTTAAAATTTGCAGCAATTCCTATAATACATATCTGTGTGAAAAACACAATTTCATAACTTCCTTACATAAAAAATATTTGTATTGATATTCTCATATCATGGAAAAACAAGAAATTGCAGTCACTTTTGCAGAAAACACGGGTACTTTTAGGTGACAGGATATAAAATCACATAATTTCTTTACACAACTTGAGTTGAATCTCAAATTGTTTCCCTAATAAACTTCAACTTAATTAATATAGACTTAAAGATTATTAAACAAGAAAGTTTTCCTAAAAGTGAGGTAACTGTAGGACAGTTAAAGGATAATAAAAAAAAATTACAAATAATTTATGACTTTTTTTTAAACGGAACTTAGCTATGTTTAGCAGCACAATAGTCCTCTAAATAGTTTTAACAATGACAAACTTTACTTTTGTTTAAAATAAATTTTATCTAGTTTATGGAGCAATGTTTAATTACTTAAATCAAATATTTTTTGAGTTATCGCTATATATTCAACAAAAAATGTGACACTTAAAAAATCACAAATCTTGAATTTCCTACCTTTCTGCTGGGAATTGGGCTATTGTTTATATGGAGTTTTTTTGTAGCTCTTGATGTTTACTATCAACCTTTTAAATATTTCTCTCTGCTTACGGAACACCCCTTATATATATATATATATATATATATATATATATATATATATATATATATATATATATATATATATATGAACATGAGCCTTTGAAATCTAGTACACAGTCAGATAAGTGTCAAGACATGCATAAAAAACATATTAGCCAATTCTTGATACCAAGTCTTATTACCTACCGCAATTCTTAATACCGATTCTTATTACTACATGCAATAAAATTAATTTTTTTCAGCAATAATTTGAATTTCAGAGAGACTGATATTTGAAACTTTTATAACTACCAACAAATTTACTCACTAAAACAACAGGTTTTTTTGTTTTCACTATGTTATTTAATATGGTGCAAACTGCATCAACTTGCTTTTCCACTGGTCTGTTGGGTACCGCACTAACATCAAAAACACATAGAAAACCATCAATACTTATTTTTCCATCCGGTAACACTTTTTGTTCATACTCCTTTTCAATACCTAAATCATAAATAAACAAAAGAGTTGATATTTCATTTTAAAAAAAGTTTTCATTTATACTATAAACTAAACTTTCTAAATTTCTTTTGCAAAAAAAGTAACAAAATTTAGTAATAAATATTCATTCAAAGGTAGAAAATATTTAAATACTTTGAAAAATCAAAAATATACTACTGATCTACATTTGTAAGATTTATCAGTTTATTCATATATGATCATGTGTCCTGAAACTCCAAAAATTAATGATTACAAAAGTAATAATGATCAAATGTCAAGTAGACGGAGGAAAATTTTAAGAGCAACAGAAAAAAAAATCTTAATGACTTTGATGATATTGAAGATCCCTAAAGTTTCAGACATCATTCACATTAAATCCTGTGTGACTGTATAAATTTATGAGGCTCATACCAGACTTTTTACAAAAGCATTGTCTATAAAAAAAAAAAAGAAAGATAGCTAGACAACTATCCCAATTTAGCTATTAATAGGGATAATTGTCAACCTGGTTTTCTTTCTTTTTGTTTTAATAAATCAATAATAAATCAAATTAACACATCAAATCTCAAGACTGATCTCGAACAAATTAACCTAGCACAAGCACACAAAAATCAATAATAGTAATCTAGATACTTAAAAATATATTTATTACCTAACTGATTTTTACAAATATACATAAGCTTCTCAGCAGATGATATCTTGGTTGCAGCACATCTTTTTACATATGGTTCCATCTTTCCACCTAAAGCACAAAATTAACAAATGATGAACAAAAATAACATATTGGTACAGTATGCACACCAAGTAAGTTGCATGAACTGAAATAATAAAAGGAGAAAAAATTATTATTCTGAAGAATAAGTCCCTTTAAAACAAATTATATTTAAACTTACGTTGACCAAAACTGTGTGGACCTACTTTCTTTAAATTAATTCATTAATACAATAAATTGAAGAGAAGTTTGTTCAGGTTTTCAGTCAATGAATATATAAAGTAAAATTAAATAAATCATATTCTTCAGATTATATTAATTTTTATTTCCTTTGTGCTGACGTTTTGGTCTAAATTTTAAGCCTTCGTCATGGCTAAGCCAAGATAAGATAAAATTTAATAGGGGTATGCATGCACTTGTAAATGCTTAATATGCTATCATACTAAGAGTCAGCAAACATTTAGAATGAATGATAAATAACCTATCTGTGCTAACATGCTAAAGTGTTATTAGTTACAGTAAGGTTATGCTTATACTGTAAACAAAGTTTGTGAGTTCTTAATTGATTTACTAACATTTGATTTATTTATTTTTTTTATTTATTTATCACGAAATACAATAATCTGTCACGTGGACAATAAATATAGTGAGATATTAACACATTCATACCATATATACAGAAAATGTAAAATTAACCAAAGTAAAATAATACAATAAAAAATAAAATTACCTAAAGATAAGTAAATTAAAACTCAGTCATACCTATATACAATCAGGCAGGGAACCCCAAGACAGGCATCCCTCCAACTATAGAGGAAAAAGGACTCCCAAGAGATCTCTGCACTACTCTCTCAACCGCATTACTGGTGCTAAAGCCATTGGAGATTGAGCGAGAGCGCTTTAGCCACATATACTTATGTCTTGAGTGGAGAATCTGGCCATTGCCAGAACTCCAAGATATATACTACAAAAGATCTATGGGCCACTGCCGCTTCAACCTTCGAGGATTATTGTAGGGATGAGTGGAACTAGATAAGGATTGTGCAAGGGGATTTGGATGTTATGTAAGGTTCTGATGAAATTTGGAAACATTTTCAGGGATAAGGTCTAGGAAAAATGGAATATTAAGGTCATGATGTAGGGTTTTGTTGGTTATGTAGAACGGAACATCGACTATTGTTCAGAGGACTTTGGACTGAAAGGATTGGATGCGTTTGATGTTAAAAAATTTAGCTGTTCCCCAAAGTTGAAGTGTAGGTCCAAATAGGTTTCAGGATTGTCCAGTATATCAGTAATTTGTTGTCAATTGAATGTTGAGATTTTCTAGTCAGCAGTCTGTATAATTGGCCATGATTTATTTTTAAAATGACAAAGCGAAGTGAAAAGACTAAATTGCTGGATTATTTGGTTAAAAATGCTTTATTAGAAAGCATGAATTAAGATTCACATGATTCAGAAGGCAAAGAACTTGATGAGTACATAGATGAAATCTTAGCTGTCTTTACATTTCATTTCTGTGGATAATGTACACAAACCAAGAACAAAGAATCAAACACATCGAAACCTTACAATAACCTTCTCTGTGCGTTTACGCAGTTAGGAACACTTTACAGGATCCTAGGCTGCGTTAAAATCGAGAGTGCTAGCGTCCATATTTAACACACATTTCGTAAATAATTTCCTCGACTTTACACATTTAAGAGGTTTACAATACTTAGCACTGGTTGCATGAATACCCCTATACTATAAATACTGAGGAAATAGAAGACAGTAATTGTAAAAGTGTGTATTGAATATTTAATAGTTGACCGTTGCATTATAAAGGAAGGAGATGGTCCAAGGTGGTGGTCATAAATAGGCTAAATAGAGGCAAAACTATTTTATTAAACGCCAACGTTTCAACCAGACTTTGCAGGTCTTCTTCAGGGCTAGAACGGACAAGGTACAAAAAGATAGAGAATTGTGGAAGTTACATAATATTTAGACGAAAAATTATAAACAATGTGAATAAGCTTATTAAAATTATAAACAGTAAGTACATTAAAATATGAACAGGAAACTGAACAGAGTACAATGTGAATAAAAACAAAATGGAAGAAATAAAACGTACATAAAAATAAAACATAAATATAGAAATAAGAGACCATACATTGCAGAACTAACTTAGAAGAATAGAGAGGGAAAAAAATGAATAATTATAATTATATTTGGTTGTACATATGTAAGAAAATTACATTTAAATATTAGATAATATTGAGACATGGTTAAAAAGTAAAATGAATAAAAAGTGAAATCAGATGATCATACATTGTAGAATGTAATGTAAATATAAAATTAAAATAAATTAAAAGAGAGATTATATAGCATTTCCAAGTCAATTTCAACCTTTTCCAAGTCAAATTCAACCTTTTCCAAATCAAATTAAACTTTTTCCAAGTCAAATTCAACCTTTTCCATTTCAAATTAAACCTTTTCCATTTCAAATTCAACCTTTTTTTATTTATTTAATTATCTTTAATTTTTCGATGCGTGGGTCTGTTATCGTATGAGTAGTTTTTTAAAATAACCTCCTTTTTAAGATTACGTGACTGCGTTTCGAATTATTTAAGTTTTTTTGACTTATTCGATATAAGGGTGTATTTTTATGTTTCCCGATCAGTAAATTTTTAAAATGACATCTATTTTATGTTTACGCCACTGTGTTTTGATTTATTTAAGTTTTTAGAATTTATCCAATATAAAGGTCTACTTTTTTGTTTCCGGAGCCGTAGATTTTGAAAACGACCTCCATTTTAAGATTAGGCCACCGCGTTTCGACTTATTTGAGTTTTTCGGATATTTTTCATATGAGGGTGTATTTTTATGTATCCGGAGCTGTAGATATTGAAAATGACCTCCATTTTAAGATTAGGCCACCGCGTTTCGACTTATTTGAGTTTTTCGGATATTTTTCATATGAGGGTGTATTTTTATGTTTCCGGAGCTGTAGATTTTGAAAATGACCTCCATTTTAAGATTACGCCACCGCGTTTCGACTTATTTGAGTTTTTCGGATATTTTTCATATGAGGGTGTATTTTTATGTATCCGGAGCTGTAGATTTTGAAAATGACCTCCATTTTAAGATTAGGCCACCGCGTTTCGACTTATTTGAGTTTTTCGGATATTTTTCATATGAGGGTGTATTTTTATGTTTCCGGAGCTGTAGATTTTGAAAATGACCTCCATTTTATGATTACGCCACTGCGTTTTGACTTATTTAAGTTTTTCGAATTTATCCAATATTAAGGTCTACTTTTATGTTTCTTGAGCGGTAGATTTTGAAAATGACCTCCATTTAATGATGACGCCATTGCATTCTGACTTATTTAAGTTTTTCGAATTTATCCAATTTAAATGTCTACTTTTATGTTTTCGGAACTGTAGATTCTGAAAATGACCTCTATTTTATGATTACGCAACTGCGTTTCAACTTATTTAAATTTTTAGAATTTAACAAGTATAAAGGTCTAATTTTATGTTTCTGGAGCAGTAGATTTCCCCCATTTTGTAAATGACCCAATTTAAAGTTTATGCCACTGTTTTAGATTATAAAAGTTTTTTTTTTTACTTTTTCGGTATAAGGATCTACTTATATGTTATCCGAGAAGTATTGAAATTTTTCTAATCTTTAATATTTAAATTTATCTAATATTTAAGCTCCATTTTATGATTAAGCCGCTGCATCTTGATTAATTAGGCTTAATTTTGGATTTTTCCAATACAAAGTTTCATCAATATGTTTTCGAGTATGAATAAATAAATAAATATTATGAAGCTAAAGTTAAGTTAACCACACAATACAAACTAAAAAGCCGTAAAGCAACTGGTAATAAATTTAACCTTCCGTATTCAGATTTTTCAGCTAATTGTTCGAAATCTTATAATTTTGTGATAGGAGACCACAACATTAAAAAAGATAACTAAAATTAAATTAAAAATGAGACAATACATATTTTATTTATTTTGATTAGATATTTTTATTTATTTATTGAAAAATAAATTAATCCTTCGTATTATGTTTTTTATTCGAAGGAAAAATCAAAAACACTTAACAAAACCGAAACACAGTGGCCTAATCTTAAAATGTAAGTCGTTTTAAAAACTAAGGCTCCAGCATCATAAAAGTAGACCTTTAAATTGGATAATTTCAAAAAACTTGAATAAGCCGAAACGCAGTGGCGTAATCTTAAAATGGAGGTCATTTTCAAAATCTACGACTCCGGAAACATAAGAATACACTCTTTTATGATAAAAATTCGAAACACATGAAGAAATCGAAATGCGGTGGCCTAATCTTAAAATGGAGGTCGTTTTCAAAATCTACGGCTCCGGAAACATAAGAATACATCCTCATATGAAAAAAATCCGAAAAACTCAAAGAAATTGAAATGCGGTGGCCTAATCTTAAAATGGAGGTCGTTTTCAAAATCTACGGCTCCGGAAACATAAGAATACATCCTCATATGAAAAAAATCCAAAAAACTCAAATAAGTCGAAACGCGGTGGCCTAATCTTAAAATGGAGGTCATTTTCAAAATCTACAGCTCCGGAAACATAAAAATACACCCTCATATGAAAAATATCCGAAAAACTCAAATAAGTCGAAACGCGGTGGCCTAATCTTAAAATAAAGGTCGTTTTCAAAATCTACGGCTCCGGAGACATAAAAGTAGACCTTTATATTGGATAAATTCTAAAAACTTAAATAAGTCAAAACACAGTGGCGTAAACATAAAATGGATGTCATTTTCAAAATTTATTCATCGGGAAACATAAAAATACACCCACATATCGAATTTGTCAAAAAAACTTAAATGATTCGAAACGCAGTCACGTAATCTTAAAATGGAGGTTATTTTCAAAACTAGGTACAGGACAGCATAATACTAGCCCCTAATAAATCCGAATAGGTACAATAAATCGATATCCGTAAGTGAAAATTCTACTTAGGAGAGCATAATAATAGACTTTCATATTGGAGGGGGGAGGGGATGGCCATTATTTAAAAAAAAATATAAAATTTACAAAAACTTAAAACATTAATTTGAAATGAAAACGGTTGAATTTGAATTGGAAAAGGTTTAATTTGAAATGGAAATGGTTGAATTGACTTGGAAAAAGTTTGATTTGACTTGGAAAAGGTTGAATTTGACTTGGAAAAGGTTGAATTTGACTTGGAAATAATTGAATATCACATAGAAATATCACACTGAAAAAATCTAAAATGTTAAAATAAATGGATATGCAACTGCGTAATCAAATTTTTTTTTGTATTTTTTAAAAGCTATGCCTTCGATAATATAGTAAGTGGCCTTCATTTCGAAAAAAATCGAAAATTGACAAAAATTCTAAAGTTGAATTTGAAATGGAAAAGGTTGAATTTGACTTGGAAAAGGTTGAATTTGAAATGGAAAAGGTTTAATTTGACTTGGAAAAGGTTGAATTTGATTTGGAAAAGGTTGAAATTGACTTGGAAATGCTATATAAAGCGGAAATACTTGGAATAATGAACAATTAAATTGAATTAATCCATAAAAATTCGACCGTTATTATGAACAAGACCGCTATTTCCTGAAATGAATACACATATAAAATGCACCAACTACTTTCAGGCCAAACAATTACCCATACACTAATGTTAAAATTCAACCAACACATTAAAAACTTACTTGAGACCAAACAAACTTTTTTTTTTTTTTTTTTTTTTTTGTTCTTCCCTACCTCGCCTTTTAGGCTATACGGGATTTTCCCGGGCCGGTGGGTGAGGGCGGGGAATTTTAAATTCCCTCCGGCACCGGGACGCGAACTCGTACTTTTTATATCATCTCAAATCTCTGTTATCCGGTTGCCAGGCAACTAGCAGTGCTGTGCACACGCTTTAGCCTATTCGGCCACCCCGCCCCTAGAAACAAATTAACAACAACTTACAAATTAACTGTCCCACTTACTACAACCTTATATCTTACAACTTCTTAGCACCCCACTTATATGGACTCCCAAAAATTCACAAACCTGGAAATCCCCTCCGCCCTATCATCTCCAATATTAACGCCCCCTCAGCTAAACTCAGCAAATTTCTTTTACCCTCTCTCCAAAAACTTAGTCACAATAATCTTTATGACATTAATAATTCATTCCACCTTAAAGAAGAGTTATTTCCTCTCCATATTTCGGAAACTTTATCCTTGTTTCCCTAGACGCCGAAAGCCTACTTACCAACACCCCAACAGACAAGGCCCTCCACAGTGTTCAGAAAAACTGGACAATCATCGAACCTCACACCACCCTTAACCTCTTCTCATATATCGAATCCCTTGAGCTTTGTTGCAGATCCGGATACCTCACCTTTCAAGGAAAATTCTTTAATCAGATTTCAGGCCTAGCCATGGAAAATTCTTTAGCACCAGATATTTCCAATATTGTTCTCAATGACCTTCTAAACTCTATTATCCCTTGTTTTCATCAAGACATCATTTTCATCAAAAAATATGTCGATGACCTCCTCTTTGTTCTTAACCCTGACAGCATCCCTGTCCTCTTTCCTCATTCAACTCTTACCACCCCCATTTCTGTTTCACTATAGAGAAAGAAGTTAACAATTCACTCCCCTTTTTAAGACTTCTTCATAATAAAAAACACTGACGGCTACGTTTCTACTGACTGGTACACTAAACCCACGTACTCAGGCAGACTACTCAACTTTTATTCTCAACACCCATATCACAAAAAAATCAATACCGCCAAAAACTTTATTCACCGATTCCTCTCTTTACCTGATCCACAATAACACCAAGCCAACACTTACAGTGTCAAAAACATTCTCCTTTCCAATAATTTTCCTCTTAACACCGTACTTAAACTTTTAAACTGCTATACAACCAAAAAGAGTACAACCTCCCCTTCTCTCAACTACCCACAATCACCTACCACTCCTTTCATATACAAATCTCTCCCATATATTCCTATTCTCTCAGATAATACACAAAAATTCCTTTGATGATGTAGAGATGGTTGACTGTATACGAACATAGAATATTGTTCGTATCTTCTATATATGTAATACTAGATATTTTAACTACATTGTCACCCACTATATCTCTGATATAATCTTTTTATTTCTTTATCAGACAACTTCTTCTTATTTTATATCTACTTATATTCATTTATTTTATTTTCACCATGTACCTTTTATATTTCATATCTTTTGTAGCCCTGATGAAGACCTGCAAAGTGGGTCGAAACATCGGCAAAAAAATTAAATAATACTATTTTCTATAATTTAGTATTTATTTGACCGCACCCTCCAATCAACTCCTTCTCATAAAAATTCCTTTAATAGACTATAACCAACTTAGGTCTTGTCCTTAAGTCCCATAACAGACTTTCTTTCCTTTTCACCAACTTGAAGGATCTCATACTTTTACAACACCGATCTAATGTAGTTTACCGGATACCTTGCTCTACTCCTAATTGTAATAGCTCCTATATTGGTGAAACCAAAAACCATCTCAAAACCCGCATTTTCCAACATAAAACATCCATAACTTCCCGCGACACTTCCATCTTCAAACTATCAGAACATGCCTTAACCCTCAACCATTCGTTTGATTTTGAAAAAAACTCTATTCTTGCCACAGTCCCTAACCATGAAAAAAGACTCATTTCCGAATCCATCCACATTCACATGGAACAGAATCCTGTTAATCATAAAGTAGATAAAAATGCATTTCTTTAACATATAGACACATTTTAAATCTAATAAGTGAAAACTAACTTATATATTACATCCTATTATTTTTATTTTTTTCTACTTTCAATTTTTATTGATTAATTCAATCTAATTGTTCATTATTCTAAGTATTTCCGCTTTGTATGATCTCTCTTTTAATTTATTTTAATTTTATATTTACATTCTACATCAATGAATGATCATCCGATTTCACTTTGTATTCATTTTACTTTCAACCATGTCTTAATATTATCTAATATTTAAATGTAATTTTCTTACACATGTACAACCAAATATAATTATAATTATTCATTTTTTCCCTCTCTATACTTCTAAGTTAGTCCTGCAATGTATTGTCTCTTATTTCTATATTTATATTTTACTTCTTCCATTTTGTTTTTATGCACATTGTACTCTTATCTATAATCCCTTAATTCTATTCTATATGTATATATTTATAATTTAATATTTCTATAGATATAGTATTTTTTTCCCTTGTATCCATCCATATCTTCAAATTTTAGATACTGTAATTTTCTAGGTTTTTCCCATTACCCAAACAAGTCAGCAAATTCCCCAATACCTGCCCTTACCCTGGTTTTCCAGTTCTAAGTGAAACTCCTAGCTGAACACACCTGTAAGTCTCTAATTTTATTTACTTATTTATTTAATTTTTTGGTTTTCTTTTTCTTTTCTTTCTCCACATTCCTTTATGTCTATTATTTCATATTATATCCTTTTTCCTTTTCTTTCAATCTCTCCTGTAGATCTGTAGAAGTATATTCACATTTGCATATATTATATATTACACTACAACAATTGTTACCATCTATTTACTTCAGTTTAGGATCTTGTTACTTAGCTTACTCTGTTTATATTTTAATGTACTTACTGTTTATAATTTTAATAAGCTTATTCACATTGTTTATAATTTTTTGTCTAAATATTATGTAACTTCCACAATTCTCTATCTTTTTATATCTTGTCCGTTCTAGCCCTGAAGAAGACCTGCTAAGTCGGGTTGAAATGTTGGCTTTTAATAAAATAGTTTTATTAATAGTTTTAAGCATAACTATTATTAAATTTTTTACACACTCAACATAAACAGAGCAAATAAAAGATTCAACTTAAATATTCAATAAATATCACACATGCAGATAAACTCTTAAAATAAAAATTCACAAGTTGGTAGTACAGAAAATGAAATGTTTATTCCAATCAGTTACCTGTTTAGTAGTATACCTTTAAAAGCTTGAAATGATGAATCATCAATAAATTCAGTCTGTTCCACAACTTGAAAATGAAAATCAATGCCTTCATCAGATGTTTTAACAACATCTCCCCAGTACAAAAAGTGGTCATTATTTACAACTCTACCACTAAAATCACTCTGAAAATAAACAGAAATAATAATGTAAGTAGTACATAAAACTAGATTAAATTGTTTTAGGTATTTAAAGAAAAAAAAAAAAATGGAAGCATAAAAAATGTGTGTCAATACGATATCTTTTTGTTTCAAATAATAATTAATGCTAATTTTAAGGTAACAAGTTGTGTAAGTTTAATTGCTGTTGAATATTTTTCTATTATTGGAAGCGTGGTATGTGGAAGATGAAACTCGATACTTTTTTTTTGGTTCTTCCCTTCCTCACCTTTTAGGCTATATGGGGGTTTCCCGGGTTGGGGTTGAGGGGGAGGGGACAATTTAAAATAACCTTCGGCACCGGCACATGAACTCGTACTTTTATTTAATCTCTCATAACTTAGGTTATCTGGTTGCCAGGCAACTTGAGGTTTGCTCAGAAGGTGCTGTGCACACGCGTTAGCCCATTCGGCCACCTTGCCTCTTTTGTAGATCAATCCTGATTCAAGTTTTTACAATGTCTAATAATTTATCTGTACTAATGGAAACTTTTCAAGCCATTTCGCACTAGGAGAGAGCTCCCTCTCTTCTGCTTTGGTTAAACCAGGGCGTCTAACAGCTTGCTAGCCAGATCAGGCATAATAGTTTCTTTGATTACATTGTAAAATTTTCAAAATTTAAAATTCAGTAAATCACCCTAATACAAGGTTATATATTCAGAATTGCCAAATGTAGATAAATAAAGGTGTGGTTTTCAGAAGCATGCAAAAAGGCAATAGAAGAAAAATAAAATTTAAAGTCCTCAACCTAGCCAAAACTGATCAAGTTGCTATGGAAAATTATAAAGCACCAAGGATAATATACACAAAATTATAAGATCAGCAAAAAGGGAATTCGTCAAAGAAAGATTGCAAACCATTGAGGACAACTGGCAGACTGGAGATATAAGGGAATTCTACTCAGGCATTAGGAAAGAAAGGGTAGGTAAAGCGAGGGGTGTATAAAGCGAGAAATACACAAATGTGAGGAAAATATGGCATTCTGATGGCATCTAAAGATATCGAGCGTCTGGAAACAACATTTACAGTAGGTTCGAAGAAGACAATGACAGAGGTCGTGGTGGCCAACCCAGAAGTTGAAAACCCAAATATACTGGATATTGAAATAGCTAAAAGGCTTAAAACAAAAAACGCCGCAGGGATGGACAACCTACCATCAGAATTGTTTAAGAAAGAGAGAGAAGACTTAAGAGCCAAGTTACTACCACTAATCCAGAAAATATGGATGGAGGAAAGGATACCAGAGATTTGGAATACAATCCTAATCTCCCTTATAAAGGCTCCGTTTATGAGTGTTCCTACATTACTACATACTGTAATTACTATTACAGAGGCATAGCAATCCTTGGTTATTTACAAGATAATGAACAATACCTTACTAAGCTTGATGTGTATTACGAAAATATAATATTATGTGTATTACGAAAATATAATAGGCAACCACCAAGCTGTATTCAGAAAAGGGTGGAGCACGTTAGACCAGATCATCCTAAATCAGGAACTCGAATGATGGGAAGTAGCTCAAGAAATCCATACTTTATTTGTCGATTTCAAAGCAGCCCTATGACTCTGTGGATAGGAACTTTCTTTGGAAAATCATGTCTAAACTGGGAGTCCCCGGGAAGTTGGTGAGATTGACAAAGGCGTGTACAAATGATCCTAAATGTTGAGTCCTAATACAAGGAGAAATATCTGAAGCCTTCAAAGTTCAAAGTGGCTTACAGCAAGGAGACAGACTCCCACTCATGTTGTTCAACTTAGCGCTAGAGAAGATGATAAGAACAACATTATGAGAAAATGGAGGGGTGCACGTCGGAATGAATTATAAAATCCTTGAATATGCAGATGATATAGCAGTACTTCAAAGCAATCATAAGCACATTGGGAAAGACTATGATAAAGGAATCAGAGCAAATCGGCCAACAAGTAAATGAAGATAAAACAAAATATATGATAATAAGCTGAAAATCTCACCCCAATAACAAACAGCACCAGCGTAAAAAGAAAATTGACCCCAAGAGTAGATAAATTTAAATACCTTGACTCCACAATAACTTCAATGAATGACCAACAATCAGAAATAGATTAGCGTATAAAAAACGCAAACAGAGCTTTCTTTTCCCTTTAAAAGGAATTGAAATTAAAAAAAAATCTCAAATTAAGAGTGTACAATGCTATGATAAAGCCTGTTCTAATATACAGCTGAGAGACTGGGTAAATAACCAGCACTGAGAGAAAAATCCTTCACACGATAACCGGAGCTATCTGGGATCAGAATTTTAATCTATGGAGGAAAAAAACCAATAAAGAGATACTTACAGACATTGGTCAATTATTATAACATGATATGAAGGCAAAGAGGTTAAGATGGACAGGACATGTAGAAAAAAAATACAGTTAACTTTTCGAATATCAAATGCATCCAACTCTATCAATACAAAGTCCTTATAACAATAACAATAAATGCTCTATTTTATGTAATACATAGCCCCCTACATTATATTTTCCCTTAAGGTTTTACAGATTTTGTAAATCTTTAGCCACTTGAACCTGGCTGGCTATTTTACATGCTACACATTACTAATATACCACTGATATTCTATTCTATTCTATTCGAATATTTTACACATTTTAGTAGGAGTTAAGGTCACTTCATCATCCCACTTAAGGAGAGGTCCTCAATACCCGAAAGGACGAACATACTCTTGGGGCCGCAAAAACTGGGAAAACTTCTGGAAACGTATCATACTACAGAAGAAAACTCTTTAAAGACCAGACTAGCATAAAGCTGTCTGGATAATGTAAGGTGATGTCCAGACAGGCTCCAACCCAGGAATATAGTTCAGAAGAAATCCATCTTACTATACTCAGAGGGCATACACCTATAATATGGAGTGCGAGGAACCTGATGGGACCATACCTTACCCGAAGATCTTAACCAGTCCCAAACTAGCCACACAGCCCGAATAGATAAAAGAGTGCAAGCACACCACGGAGAGGGACATCATCCTACTCTTTAGCTTTCATCCGCTCATCTGTACACTATACCAGATGACTGGCCTGAAAAATGTCATGACCAGCTGAACACTGATGTACAGCGAGCAGTCGCAAACACACGACCACTACGACCACCACGGCCGTATTACCAATTTGATCGGGAAGCTTTCCTCCCCTGACCTCAGAGCACGATTGGTCTCAGGCTCTGCGATCATTACGATCGCTACGGCTTTACATCATCTGCCGATAGTGCAAGAGGATGCCTGCACATCCGCAGTCGATGAGGGACGACTCCAACCGAGGGCTCTAGCCGATAACCGTCCCTGACCTTACTGTACTCAGTGGGAGATAAATTGGAGAAAAAATTGAATCCTAAATATAAAGGCCCATATAAAGTAGTTTGGGTAAGGCCAATTGAAGAAGGTAGCCAATTAGTGCTAGCTAGTAGACGGCAAAGGGAAAAGTAGTGACTCTCGTACATAGGAAACCCTATGACTAAGTCTTGCTTGAAGAAGTATTTATGGATTTTTTGTTTTTTTCTGTAGTCCAAAGCTATTTATTTCTCTTTACCATTCATGACTCAACGGTAAGCATGCTAATTTTTTATTTCATTAAGGAATTAAAAATTATTTTTATATTAGTGAAACCAGATGGGACTGTGTAAGAAATAACAGCATTCGTGCCACATTGGGAGTAAAATCTATAATAGACGGTTTAAATGGTTTGCCCATGTTTGTAGGCTGAGAGATGACCAAAAGGCCTGCTGGCTGATGGAAGCAAGACCAATAAGAAAGCGCCCAATTCGTAGACCAAGAGATTTTTGATATTTGATAATTTTTAAACAATATTTCTAGCAGTTAGCAGCTTTTCATTTTGTTATTTTAACTCTCCTGTAACAGCCTCATCAAGAACAAATTTCACAATTTATCCTTATTATTTAGTGAACTAAATTCACTTAACAGAAACAGTCTTAACTGTAGTGCAAAATAAAGAGTGACATAATGGGCCTATGAGGTTCTCTTTCAGATGATAAAATCAAACTGAAACGGTCTGGAAAACAAGTTCCAGATTTTTAAATTGCACAATGCTTGTGTTTGTACACTATTATAGATATTTTCTGACTATAGTAAATAAACAATACACATTTATTTATTTTAAAAATATTACATGCATTTGCACATGTTTATAAATAAAATACTATGTGTTATATAAGTCTAAAGGAAATACCTGACTTAATACTGAAATGTGATCCACATAATAATCGTCTGCTATATCTCTCATAAATCTATTGCAAAGACAAGATTTACCAACACCGACTGCACCTTTTTCCTTTTCTGTGCCTGAAAGGCCAACAACTGATATATTAATACACTTCCCCATGTCAAACTTCCGAGCCATCTCATTGATCTACCTAGGAGGAGATTTGATTTTGTTCATTTTGATCCGAAATCAACAACTGAAAAAAAAAATCTATCATATGCAAGTAGAAGAATTATAATAACTCTTATAAATAATAAAATAACTCACAATATTATAAATGATTAATTATACACAATGTTCAATAATTAATAATATCAAACTCAAAAAGGCTAGGTTAAAGAATTGAGATAACAGTTAATGTATGATTTTTAAATAACCAATATAAATACCTTTAAAAGTATCGAGAAAACCATCATACGAAAAAAAAAATTGGAATGATAAATAAACACATCATGTAGATATCACTAATAAAAGATAAGGTTATCAAACTAAGATAAAATATATAATTCTTACTTAAGTGAAGTATGATTGTTTATTTACATTCAAAGCCCTTATTAAATGAATGGATTATCCCTAGACGAACAGGTTACTAGTATTTTCTGGAAAGATTGAGTAAGCCGAAATTCAGCCCTTGCGTTCGCCATGAAATAAAAATCAACTTGAGAAAATCAAAATAGAGTTGTCTTCATCCTCTTGGCGTTGAGGAGGAGGGGTTGTATGCCCTTATCCCCCTATTACATGGGTACCATCCTTCCCTGCCTGTTATCAATATTTCCTTACATTTCAAGATATCTTATATTATTTATTATGTATAATTTCAAAAATAATATATATGACGATAAAAAATTAATATACTGGTCATACGAAAATGTAAGTGGAATAATTTAACCTAAAAATGACAATGTGTTAAGTAATCTAGTGAGAGGCCAACCTCCTCCCTCCTTAGAAAAAGCATACAAGATTGGAAACCAATAGAAAGCCGGATGGATCCAATGGTAACGACCCTGATGGGAATAGGAGTAAAAACCAAAAGATTTGACTATGGCTACATGGAACATTAGGACCATGTTGTAGTCGAGGAAAATGAATGAAGTTGTTGACGAATTAATGAAATACAAAATAGACAAGACAGTGCTCCAGGAAATTAGATGGGCGGCCCAAGGACATTTAGATAAAAAAAGGCTTTATAATTAATAAATCAATGAGGAATGCAACATTGAGTTATAAAACTATTAGTATTAGGATATGTAAATTGAGGCTTAAAGGAAATATTAGGAACTTAACATTGCTGTCAGTACATGTGCTTACTGAAGATAAGAATGATGAGAAAAAGGATGCTTTTTAATGATGTATTAAGCAGAACTTGTGATAGTATCCCTGGATACAATACAGTTATTATACTCAGAGATCTAAATGACCAAATAGGTAAGGAAAGCTATTTAACCCTTTAGATGTGCAAAGTCAATATAATGGCTCCGGAAAGACCATGCCCCTGGTGCTCTGAGCCAATATATTGGCTTCAGCTCTTTGTTGTTTAGTTGCACAAAACCAATATCTGGCTCGTTACAGAGCTCACTATTGGGAACTCCACGAGTCATAGGTTGTTGCAGGAACCACTAGATAGCATGAAATCTATTATTTCGTAGCAGATACCCTTTAGGGTGAGGGCTCTGACCTCAGCCTTTCATATACCTGCTACTTCCACTCCTATTTCACCTTACTCTAGTCTTTTCAACACATTTTAGCTCTAAAACTAACAGCAGTTGGTAGTGCTTTGAAGTGCGAAACTTGATAATGAGTTTTAAAATCTTTAATGTTTTTTTTTCAAATATAATTTTTTTTTAAAGGAAGGAGATGGTCCGGGGGGGTTGCGGTCATAAAAAGGCTAAATAGTGGTAAAACTATTTTATTGAAAGCCAACGTTTCGACCCGACTTTGCAGGTCTTCATCAGGGCTAGAACGGACAAGATACAAAAGATAGAGAATTGTGGAAATTACATAATATTTATACATAATTTATAAACAATGTGAATAAGCTTATTAGAATTATAAACAGTAAGTACAATACAATATGGACTAAGTAAGCTAAGTACCAAGATCCTAAAATAAAGTAAATAGATGCTAACAATTGTTGTAGTGTAATATATAACAAATGAAAATGTGAGTATAATTCTACAAAAAATACAGGAGAAAAAAAAAATAAATAAATAAATAAAATAAGATTAAAGACTTACAGGTGTGTTCCTCTAGGAGTTTCACTTAGAACTGGAAAGGCAGCGGTAAGGATTGCAGGTATAGGGGGGGGGGTTAACATGTGTTAACTAAGTAAAGGATTGCAGGTATAGAGGGAGTTAACATGTGTTAACTAAGTAAAGATTGAACAACCCAGGAATGTATAGTACCTAGGAATTTTTGAAGATATGGATGGATATAATGGAAAAATACTATATCTATAAATATTAAAATTATAAATATACAAGTAAAATAGAGTTGAGAGATGTGAGAGGTATTTCATGATTCTAGATCAGAGTACAAAGTGAATACACCCAAAATTGGTAAAGAGTAAAATGTAAATATAGAAATAACTTTATTAACATACATACATTGCAGAGCTAACTTAAAAGTATAGAGAGGGAAAATAAAAAAAAAAATAAATAAATACAAAATATAGGGTGGTCATACATTGGTGTAGAGTGTAAATGTAAATTTAGAAAAATAGAAGAGAGATCATACAAAGAAGGAATATTTAGAATAATGACCAATTAAATGAATTAATTAATAAAAATTGAGAGTAGATGAAAATAATAAAATAGAATATTTATGTTATTTTTCCCTTATAAGACTTAAAATCTGTCTATATGTAAGAGAAATACAGTTTTTGTCTACTTAGTGATTAACGGGATTGTGTTCCATGTGAATGTGGATAGATTCGGAAATGAGTCTTTTTTCATGGTTAGGGACCGTGGAAAGGATAGAGGTTTTTTCAAAATCAAATGAGTGGTTGAGTGTTAAAGCATGTTCTGATAGTTTGGAGGCGGAGGGATTCCGGGAAGTTATGGACGTTTTATGTTGGGAAATGCGGGTTTTGAGATAGTTTTTGGTTTCACCAATATAGGAGCTATTGCAATTAGGAGTAGAGCAAGGTATCCGGTAAACTACATTGGATCGGTGTTGTAAGAGTATGGGATCCTTCAAGTTGGTGAAAAGGGAAGAAAGTTTGTTATGGGACTTAAGGCCAAGGCGTAAGTTGGTTATAGTCGATTTTAGGAATTTTTGTATATTGTCTGAGAGGATAGGGATATAGGGGAGAGATTTGTATATGAAAGGAGTGGTAGATGATTGTGGAGAGTTGGGAGAGTGAGAGGCTGTATTGTTATACAACCAAAAACAATACAGCCTCTCACTCTCAGAACATGCTTTAACACTCAACCACTCATTTGATTTTGAAAAAACCTCTATCCTTTCCACGGTCCCTAACCATGAAAAAAGACTCATTTCCGAATCTATCCACATTCACATGGAACACAATCCCGTTAATCACAAAGTAGACAAAAACTGTATTTCTCTTACATATAGACACATTTTAAGTCTTATAAGGGAAAAATAACATAAATATTCTATTTTATTATTTTCATCTACTCTCAATTTTTATTAATTAATTCATTTAATTGGTCATTATTCTAAATATTCCTTCTTTGTATGATCTCTCTTCTATTTTTCTAAATTTACATTTACACTCTACACCAATGTATGACCACCCTATATTTTGTATTTATTTTTTTTTGTTTTTCTTTTCCCTCTCTATAGTTTTAAGTTAGCTCTGCAATGTATGTATGTTAATAAAGTTATTTCTATATTTACATTTTACTCTTTACCAATTTTGGGTGTATTCACTTTGTACTCTGATCTAGAATCATGAAATACCTCTCACATCTCTCAACTCTATTTTACTTGTATATTTATAATTTTAATATTTATAGATATAGTATTTTTCCATTATATCCATCCATATCTTCAAAAATTCCTAGGTACTATACATTCCTGGGTTGTTCAATCTTTACTTAGTTAACACATGTTAACTCCCTCTATACCTGCAATCCTTTACTTAGTTAACACATGTTAACCCCCCCCCCTATACCTGCAATCCTTACCGCTGCCTTTCCAGTTCTAAGTGAAACTCCTAGAGGAACACACCTGTAAGTCTTTAATCTTATTTTATTTATTTATTTATTTTTTTTTCTCCTGTATTTTTTGTAGAATTATACTCACATTTTCATTTGTTATATATTACACTACAACAATTGTTAGCATCTATTTACTTTATTTTAGGATCTTGGTACTTAGCTTACTTAGTCCATATTGTATTGTACTTACTGTTTATAATTCTAATAAGCTTATTCACATTGTTTATAAATTATGTATAAATATTATGTAATTTCCACAATTCTCTATCTTTTGTATCTTGTCCGTTCTAGCCCTGATGAAGACCTGCAAAGTCGGGTCGAAACGTTGGCTTTCAATAAAATAGTTTTACCACTATTTAGCCTTTTTATGACCGCAACCCCGGACCATCTCCTTCCTTTAAAAAAAAATTATACATTTGAAAAAAAAAAACATTAAAGATTTTAAAACTCATTATCAAGTTTCGCACTTCAAAGCACTACCAACTGCTGTTAGTTTTAGAGCTAAAATGTGTTGAAAAGACTAGAGTAAGGTGAAATAGGAGTGGAAGTAGCAGGTATATGAAAGGCTGAGGTCAGAGCCCTCACCCTAAAGGGTATCTGCTACGAAATAATAGATTTCATGCTATCTAGTGGTTCATGCAACAACCTATGACTCGTGGATTTCCCAATAGTGAGCTCTGTAACGAGCCAGATATTGGTTTTGTGCAACTAAACAACAAAGAGCTGAAGCCAATATATTGGCTCAGAGCACCAGGGGCATGGTCTTTCCGGAGCCATTATATTGACTTTGCACATCTAAAGGGTTAAATAGCTTTCCTTACCTATTTGGTCATTTAGATCTCTGAGTATAATAACTGTATTGTATCCAGGGATACTATCACAAGTTCTGCTTAATACATCATTAAAAAGCATCCTTTTTCTCATCATTCTTATCTTCAGTAAGCGCATGTACTGACAGCAATGTTAAGTTCCTAATATTTCCTTTAAGCCTCAATTTACATATCCTAATACT